ACTATTTCATCGATCGATTTGCCATCCTTATCTAGTACCCAATTTCTAGCTTACCTATTGATTACCTGATGGGCTCAAAAACACACCAGTGATGCTTCGAATACATCTATGATCAAATATGACATCGCTGTAATTTGTGGAGAGACTTATCCTTATGATGTATTTGCATTTCGATGCTGATGATCGAAATAGGTTTCTGCCAAAACGTTATCCACTACTTTTTTGAGTGTCAGTAGCCACATCAACTTATTCAACGAGTATGCAATTATTTCTAACGGTTTTCATTGTTCTCATTGTTGCTACTTACGACTCGATTAGTAATATGTCTATTTTTTCTATTTCACTTTAAAACTTATGATTGCTCATTTCGTTCAGTTTAATCAATTCATATGATACATTTATATAAGTCGGATGCTTAACCTCTAGACCAATGAGCCGGCATCCGATGGATGGACGCTGCTGATGAGTCATATACCAAGACGAAACAGCGGCCCAGTGCTTTCAGGTTTTTAATAGTGGTCTAAAATAATAATGTATGAAGTCCAAAATTATTTTATAAACTAATAGTTTGAAAGGTATTTCACTAACTGAAGGTTCTTTATAAAAGCTGTCATGGATGGACACTACTGAAAAGTCTCGTATTAGGATGAAATAATGATTCAGTAATCTTCGATTTGTAAGTTGAATTATATGAATCTATTATAATGTTACAATTTACGGATTCAAAATAACGTTTACCTATATTGTCTATCAAAATAAATAATCACACTGTTTATAATTATTAAATAATGTTTTGTGTGATGTAGTTTAGTAATAATATATAATGTAATTTACATCACTGTGCAAACAATTTGAAAATAATTAAAATATCTAAGTTAAACTGATAATTTATCTACAAATAATATTAGATAGTAATAAAATAATCTTACTAAACAAACTCAATCTAATTCCAAAAAAAATACTGGTAAGAAAGTTTAAATTTTTAAGAACATAGAAAACAGTAATTCATTGTGTGAGTTTTGTTTCATAAGCTAACAACATTTTGATGAAATTGAATAATTTTTACAATGTAGAAAACAATAAATTATATCAATAAAATATATCACGTGAAGCTTTTATTTTCAAAAAAAATATTAAAACTTTTAGGGTTATAACAGTCCTCAATACTGACTGTTAGAACAACCTGTTATTCAAGGTTTTAATTAAAGAAACCTTTAATATAGACAAAAGATAGACAGGACAGTAGGAATTGGGTAATGAAAGAAGTAGTTTATGTTGGAGATGTTAAATCCCCAGAACTCACTTGAAAAATGCCTTATTTTGGATTTCACGTTTGCCAGCATGGGCTGATCACTCGACCTTGAGATTTCATTTCCCACCAGGAAAATACATGGATGTGATTGGCTGCTGTGTATTTTAGTGTGCTATTTTCGTAACTGTCCCAAAGACGTTTCTATGATGTATAAATAAACGAGAGTTGTGTACTTGATTGTATTGTGATTGCTGGGTGTTGGAGAATATAATACTTCTACGCTGATCAGGACTTCTGTTTTGTAGTTGGGATTCAAGGTAGCCTATCTGGACGCTGGCTCATTGTCTCGTTCGCGTTTATCGACTAAGGTGAACTCGTAATAGCATCAAGAGTAGCTAGTGACGAACGTAACAGTTTATTGCAGGTTTAAGTGTCTGGAAGTGGAATGTGAATATGCAGATGACAGGGGACTTTGACATTGATCTAACATATTCATGGAATGTTCTTTCAGAAATGCTGTACTTCAATTCATTAAATGTAATAACATATACCTCACAATTTATTTAGCGGAAATGTAAAGTTAAAAACATAATTTCTCGAAAATGTATATAAAGTACAATTAAATTTCTAGCCAAAAGAAGTTATAGAATGGTTTACTGAGCTCAGTAGGAAGATCAGAAATTAAAACGATCCAACTGTGCACTAAAAATTCTGACCTGCGTTAGTTTAAAAAGATTACTTTTCAAATATCTGAAGTTGTGCACTCTTAAAATCGACAACTTGATAGTCTATTGATATGTGACAGAATGAATTTTGATAAAATTAAAGTCTAAAATAACAAAAGTCAGATTAGTGAAGAGTTTAGTGAACTAATCTTTCTTAACAAGTAGCAATCTATCATTTCACCAATTGTATCAATCAAAAAAAAAGCCAGAATAATTCTAATACATTAACTTATAAGAACTTTAATTTTACAATATACCAGGGAATTTATTTTAGACTTGGTGTATTCATGTGTTTAAATGTAAAATTATCTGTCGAATTAACAAGATTCACCATCAGTTCTATGATAGAATGTTATGATAATCATAATAAAACTTCACAGAAAACTTATAAAACTCCAGAGAGAAATGGATGAGATGTTATTTGTACGTACATGTCTAGATGAAAAAATATATACATAAATTTCTGTAAACCCTACTGTAGTGATTACAATTTTAAAGGAAGTAATTGATTGTAGGGGTTGTGAAAATTGTTTAAGTTTCATTGAAGTCATTATTATGTCTTAATAAGAGTTGATTATATTGTGTTACCATGGTTTTGTGTTTAGAAATAATTAGATTAGTCTTTGGACTTTTTATCGTAGAAAGTAAAGTGGCTAATTTTTCAGTTCTCTCATACAAGCAAACCTTGTAAGAATTCACTTATTTATATATATATACACACACACACTTAGTGAACGTCATATTGGTTCGAGAGTACACTGAGACTTAAGTACTAAAATATAGAAAAGAACAGGAAACAGAAAATTGCAACTTTACCTAGTTTTTTTAATTCCAAATTAATGTCTTGAGACATTCTAATGGTTAGATAGATATAGTTCATCTTAAGATTTTATACTGTTTTACATTCTTAATTTTATTTGAAATAAAATTTATACAACATAACTTTTATTCTTTTTTTTCAATTGGTAACCATTTTCCTATCTACTTCATAGTTATTTGATGTACAGCCACATAAAGTTCACATATTTCTATCAGAAAAAATATACTAAACAAGTACACAGATTTCTCAATAATAAAAAAAAAATATAGACACGAATAGTCAAAATGTAGATAAAACTTCATTTATATTATTTAACAAACTAATAAAATGCATGAACAGTTCTACATGACAACACACCTTGATAATTATGGAAGTGATTTTTTTCTCTTCTACAGAAAAAGTAAATTATCCGAATATTTCAAACAATAAAAATTATATATACATCCTTGGCAGTGTTCTATTTTCAAGTAATACAAATTATTGATTATTCAACAAAAAATTATGAACTAAAAAATAACGTGTTAATTAATTGAGAAAAGTAATAAATTCACACTGTCTGGAAAAATCGCAGGTACTTCTGAAAAATGAATGTTCAACCTTTTGAACAGAGTTGTAATGTTAGGTTATTTAGTCATATTGATCAAAACTATAGGATGATATTTGAAAAATAAGTTTAAATAGTTCGTGACTAGTCAACTAGGAATTTTCAATTCAACTTATTGCTGCTTTTTGTAACTATTTGTTATGCTTGAATGCTATTACGAGTTCACCTTACTCGATAAACGGAACGAACAGTAATGACTCAGTGACATGATAGGCTATTTTAATCCGATTGTCACCGGCCCCGCTAACTAGAACAAGAAGTCTTAATAAGATGTAGAGAATGTATTCTACAAGCACCCAGAAATACGAGGCTGCTTAGTATACAAACCAAGTTTATTTATACAATGATAGAAACGCCCTTCGGAGCCACGAAAAAGCGTACTAAAAGACCTATCAACCAATGACAGGCAAGGATTTTCCAAGTGGGAAATGTAAGCTGAATGTCAACTACCCGTCTTATGAACAAAAACATAAGAAAATCTTTCCCATGTGAGTTCTGGGTATCTAACGTTCCCAACATTATTCGAGTGTCTCATTAACTAAAACTTTTCAACGAAAGGTTTGATACACTGTCGACGATATTAATAATGTTTATCAAGTTATACTTCAAAATGGCAATTTTAACAATACTACAATGAATTACGGAACTCAGAATTATAGGAATAAAATGGAATGGATGCATATGCGCCTACACAAAACAGGGTTAAGTCATCTGCATATTACAAGTCAATGTTATGGTAAAAATTCAGACGGTGGAAGCGTTGTCTTTAAAAGCGTGTTGATGAAAAGGTTGAATAAGAGTGGAGGAAATGGACAACCTTGACGAACACCAAATGAAGTAATCAACTGCAACAACGGTTCGTCATGAACGCCGATCTGACCTGCACAAAGTTAGCGTCATTGTTTGGTACAACCTTCGATAGAAGACATTGCCGCCCAAACTGACGATTGACAAACTCAAACACTGCCTCAAGGTAGAGGAATACAACTATTGTCGGACGTCTGAATGTGTCTGTGTCCTAGGACCTGACGAAGTATGAATATCTGGTCTATACATCCGCATCCACCCTCACTTTCTCGAGTCTGCCCTTCATAATATCTACTTAGGTGCTGAAGTATTATTGAAGCTTATATATTAGATACTATATTGATAAAACTGATTCCTCTATGCTTGTCATAAGAGGACCTTTGTTTTTCTTTATAGACTGGGCCAATCAGGTAGAATTACTTCTGACTGCCAGATTCTAGCTAAGATCAGGATTTTGATATAAACTATTACATGGAATAATAAAAGATACTGAATTACCAATTATCAACAATTCCCGTTCATATAAGATTATCATAAATAAATATATATGAACCACTTTGAAAATGGTGTAAACCTTAACCTTCAAACTCTGTGATGTTGCACAACATTAAAACTAAACAACTGGTTCACCTCAATAACTAACTACAAGGATCTATGTGCTAGACTCCAGGCCCCACTTTGAAGATAGTAAGTACATCTTGATGTTATGCAGCATGTCCAAGCTCTAGCAAATACAACAGACTTGAATCTACAACAACTTCACTATTCGACGGTTATAAAAGATCAAACAACTATGCTTAAAGACTCAACCTTTTAAAACAAGAGAACGAATATGCACACTTGGGAACACAGAACTACATAAAAACACATGCAAATTTTGTTCTCTTTCAAAAGAAAAAAAAACAGGAAACTATATTACAAATGAAATGAATGCATAAATATGGAAAAAAATTAATGATTAAAAGCTCTAAATAAACGAAAAATAATCGTTTTTATTCATGTCATACGTAAAAAAAGAGTAAGCAAATTTAAACAATTAATAATAATAATAATAATAATAATAATAAAACGTATCATGATGATGATAAAGCCAGGAATATTGCACAAACACCAACAAAACACACAATATTTGCATGCAAATGTAGAAAGAAAAAAAATGCCCTAACAATAAATGCTTCACGTGTACAATCGACACGAATCATCCATAAGTGGAGTAGATATGATACTGTAATCGATAACCGTCGAGAAGGATTATTTCAAAAAAAAATAATAATAAAACAGCAGAAGTTAGTTAAAACAGAACAAAGTCATTTTTTTTATCCGTATATAATGTGAATGTGATGAGTGAAACAATAAACGATGCTAATGATAAATATACATTATGTGTTGTTTTTTTCTTCTTCTTCAGATTAGATAACGTAGGTAAGGTAAGTAGATAGAGAAAGTTTATCCTATATAAATATATATATATGTATATATACTACTGAATTATTTTAAAAAAGAAGAATTTAAATTTCAAAATCATCAAAACTATTATCTTGATGAAATAATCCATGATGATGATGATGATGATTGGTATGAGTGAATCGATCAGTTTTATTCGTTGTAGTAAATTGATATGCAGGATTTTCATAACCATTCATTTGCCAATTTTGTATTAAATCATTCGGATAATTATTTGTCATTGATGATGAATTGGTATTTTTTCTAAAACGATTTTGTCTAACTGGTAAAAATTGTGGTGAATTGACTTTTGGTGCGATTACTTCATCGACTTCAACAACAGTCATTGTATAACCTTTACGATTATAACGAATTGATGTGAAATAACGACGTAAAATAAGAAATAAACAAATTAAACTTAAAATGATTCCTAAAACAATGAATAAAATGTATGCTGTTTTAGTCATATGTACTGGTTGAGTTGTTAAATGATTATTATTATTAACATTAGATGAATTAGATGTATTGACTACTTGATCAGCATGTGACTAGAAAAAGAAAGTAGGGAGAAAAGAAAAAAGATAATAACATGTTTAAAAATAATCTAACATGATACAAAAAAAATGTATATTCTTATTGGAAAACAATTCTTAGAACAACGATAGTATGTCCATGATACTATGAGAACTAATAATTGTATTTCTTCATGTCAATGAGTCAGTTACAACTTAGAACTTTGTACGTACGTACATTAGCTCAAGTGGACATAACCATAATAGCACAGATTTGCAACTGTCGATTCAAATCTCATAATGGTAGATGTAGTAGAAGAATGAGCAGTAATCGGATGGATTAGGGTTTTAAGATGTTATTCAAGGATTATATAATCTGGAGAAAAAACAGTCGTGAGGAATTCAGATTAGAATGTGGGAGAATATGAAAAGTGGATGCAACGGCGCCATTGCAAATGACTTAAAGTCAAGTCACTCAAGGTCACTAACCGTTGGTGACTCACGTCTCGCGGACCCCAACCATATAGCCTAGATCTGACTATATGACTCAGTCAACTTGTTAGTGATTTCATGGATTTCTGCCATGTTTCGGTCTAGCCACCCCTAGCTTTCTACCAACTTAATCCTACAACACAAAACAAAGCTTGTCGAGGCAGCTGGTGGTTGGGCAGACGTAACAAATTTTCCAACCACCTCCACTGAAAAAGATTCAGTACCTCATCAATTGATTTGCCATCCCTACCAAGTACTCGTTTCCTAACAGCAGCATTGCTTACCCTTTTGTCCCAGGATATACGAGCAATGCATTGAAGACACCGATGATCAAATATTAATAGACTACAAATATCCTTTACTCTTACTGGCCATGTTTCAAGCCCATAAAGTAGGATAGAGAGAATTGCTGGACAGTAAACTCGACCTTTGGTTAGTAGGCGTGTATCTCGTCTACGCCATAAGTGACGCAAGCTGGCAAAAGTCAGTTGAACCTTCTGTATCTGTCAGACACCAGGCCATGAACACTGATGAAACTCCGAAGATAAATCTTCCTTCCTTCCTCGTATATAATCGAAGATAAGATTCCTTTCGGTATCGATAATATCCCCTTGAATTTACTGTATGGTTCTTGAAACTGACTTTTAAATACGGCAGAATCAGTAAGAATACATATCCAAACACCGAATCATGATATACAGAAGAAGTTTCTATAGACTCCTAATCTACCCTGCACTTCAAGAGAGATACTACGAAATGTTTCAAAATATCTGTCCCTAACTTCAAACTTTTCAGAACTGCGACTTTATTAACATTTTAAAATCCATTTTGAGTCTTACATAACATGAATAATAAGAATAATGACATCATTTCTCATTATTTTATGGAGCATCCACATATTTATGTTTGTCAGCTACAATAGGGCTGAGGTGCTGAAAGTAGACGTAGCAGCAACTGCAAAGATACTCTACATTCTCTTCAGCAACATTACGGACCATTGTGGAACAATCAAATGAATGGAACTCACCACTCTGCATCAACTAAATTGACTACGAGAAAGCATTTGATAATGTGGACAGGGCAACACTACGAAGGATTCTGACAGATACAACGCAGAACTTCGTACGTACGTACATCAGTTCAGGTTGCCATACCGCATCAGCACAGAGACGCCACTGTCACTTCAAATCCAGTAGTGATAGCGATAATATAAATATTAGCAGTAATGGAGAAGATTAGGGAGCGGAGATATGATTCGAGAAGTATAATTCAATGAGATAAATTTAGGAGAAAGATAGAGATTATGAGGAATTCAGGTTAGAATTAGAGAGAACACAAACAGTGAATGCACCTGCGCAATTGCAAACGATTTTGAGCCATGTCATTCAAGGTCTCTAACCATCGGTGACTATCGTCTCGCGGACCCCAATCAGGTAGCCTACATCTACCAACATGAATCAGTCCACATGTCAGTGACTTCATGAATTTCTGCCATGTTTTGGTTTGGCCGCCTCTAGCTTTCTTCCAACCTACTCCTACACCATAAAACATAGCTCGTCGCGGCAGTCGGTGGTTAGCCATACGTAACACATGCCCCAACCACCTCAACTGATGAAGTTTCACTGCTTCATCTATTGATCTGCCATCCCTACCAAGTACTCGTTTCCTAACGACAGCATTGCTCACTCGCTTGTCCCAGGATACACGAGCAATGCTTCGGAGACACCGATGATCGAACACTAGTAACCTACGAAAGTCCTCTACCCTTAACGGCCATGTTTCGCATCCGTATAGTAGGACGGAGCGAACTGATGCACAGTACACTCGTCCTTTGGTTAGCGAGCGGATATCTCGCCTGCGCCATAGGTGACGCAGGTTGGCAAAAGCCAATCGAGCCTTCTGTATCCGAGCTGAGATTTCGTCAGTCACCAGGCCATCAGCACTAATGAGACTCCCCAGATACGTGAAGCGGTCAACACGTTCCACTACTTCATTCCCTAGGAAGGATTCTTCTGCCTGAGAATATAGTCGACAACATACGGAATTCTTATGATGGATTAAACTGCATGATTGTGTATCGAAGAGAGCTTACTCACTGGTTCGAGGTGAAGACCGGTATCGGCCAAGGTTGCTTACTCTCACCCTTTCTCTTTCTCCTGGCGATCGACAGCATTATGAAAACGCCAACACCTGGAGGGAAGCACATGATACAGTGGAGAGCTAGGATGCAGCTGGATGATTTGTAGTTTGCAGATGATCTAGCTCGTCTATCGCACACGCGACAACAAATGCAACAGAAGACGACCAGTGTAGCAGTAGGTCTCAAAAATCACAAAAGGAAAAGCAAGATTCCCCAACACAACACAATATACACCAACAAAATTACACTTGACGGAGATGCCTTGAAGTATGTAAAAACCTTTACATATCTAGGCGGCATCACTGATGGGTAAGGTGGACATAATTCCAACGTAAAGACCAGGATTACTAAGGCAAGAGCAGCATTTCTACAAATGGAGAACATCTGCAACTCAAAACAACTATCAACCGACACACAAAAGTCACAATTTTGAATACGAATGTCAAGACAGATCTAAAGTACGGAGTGGAAACTTGGAGAACTATTTGTGTAGAGACTTGATGAAGAACTCATTGACAAATAAATATTTTCTTGCTCATATTTTCTTTTAAGTGTCTCAATGGGCCTATTTAATGAATGAACCGATGTGTTTGAAACGCTAAAGCCGACATATTTCACAGGTGGTAGATGATTTACATTAAAACTGTGTTTTCTATCCTAGATTAGTTTGATTAGTCAGTTTGTGATGCCTCGCATTGGGCATCATCGACTGTTTAAAAAAAAAATGTTGAACAATTAAATAGTCTATAGCTTAGAGATTAGAACAGCATAGACAAGAAGAAAAATACATATACATTTATTCATATGATTAAAACTAATCATAAAATAGATATAAGGCATCCAGTACATACCGTAACAATACTTCGATTCTGATATGATTCAAATTGAACAGTTGTTTTATTTTCTGTTATTTCATTATCAATAATATGAGGTGTATTTTGATTTTCATTAAATGATACTACAGATGAAGAATAATCAACAGTGTTTAACATGAATTTCATAGGAACATCGGTTGAGCTGTTAATTGTTGGAATAATTGTAGTTGTTTTCATTTGATGAGAATTAGAAAAGTCTGAAATAGATAAAACATAATTAATTAATAATAAACAGAGAAGGTAGTAATTATAAACACTAACATTCATCTAAGAATAAGAAAGACAGATTGAAATGGATATCTGGATATTCAGTTGTCTGAAACAATTATTCTATAGATAATTAACCTAGTCAGTCTTCAGGAACAACGTAGAAACTTGTATGTACGTACATCATTTTACGTGGACATACCACACTAGCACAGAGATGCAACTGTCGATTCAAATTCCATAGTAGTAGAGGTAGTAGAAGTATGAGCAGTCATCGGAAAGATTAAGGTGAAATAAATTCGAGGAGAAAGATGAGAGTCATGAGGAATTCCGATTAGAATTTAGGAGAACACAAAGAATGGAAGCACCTGCACCATTGCAAACGATTTTGAGCCATGCCATTCAAAGTCTCTAACCATCGATTACTATCAATCACCTTGCGGACCACAACCAGGTAGTCGACACATAACAATAAGTCTCAGTCCACTTGTCAGCGTTCTTCCACCAAAAACCATCGCTCGACGTGGTAGTAGGTGGTTGGGTATACGTAGTACATGTCCTAACCACTGCAATCGATGAAGATTCAATATTTCATCAATAGATCTACCATTCTTACGTAGTATCCTTTACTGCTATTGTTAATGAAAGGGTACTAAGTAGCTAACCTATATAACAATCCATTTATGAAGCAGGTAATAAATGAAATAAACACATTTTCACTAAATATACACATACTTTCAGGAACAATGATGATCAGTGGTAAAAATGGAAACTTGCCGGTCGCTAAAGCGCTCAATTCAAAATATTTTAGATCTGAATCACGACTGAGACGAAACATTAGTCTAGAACTGAATTAAGCTTTGAGTTTGTTGTTACAAAGTAAAAAAAGTTACACAATTTCATAATGTAAATAAACGATCACTCAATCCTTTCTTGGTCATTGATTCGCATGTAGTTAAATCATATTAAACAGGTTTAGAATAACGCTTAAATATACATTTATTTGAAAAACTGTTCAAATTATTATACATGTATCTAGTCTAGTCTATATATATATATATATATATATATATATATATATATATTGTTTGTGACTAATTTGGTCTCGCGGGCTGTTACGGGTATGAGGACAGATGTTACTTCTCGGCTGCCCACACCGTGGAAGTGTGTTTCTTGAGGAACCTGGAAAGGAAGGTAGACTAGTGTTGGTCTTTGAGACATGGGAGCATGACCTCAGAGCCCAAGGGACAACTGCTTGAGGCCGGTCACGCACGGCCTTTTTATGAGACGTTTTTGAAGTGATAGCTCCGCTCTTGTTTAAAAGGCCTAACCACTGGAGACGGAAATCCGTGAGGTAAGGTGAGGTGTGACATTTTTAGGGTCGACCTTTTCTAACCCTTCCTTTCTCGTGAGAAGGCAGCATCGCTGCGGATGCTGGTTGTCCGAAGGAAACACCTTACTGCTGTCACACCCCTCTACAGTCAGAAGTACAACTTTTCCCTCAGACCTCGAGTTGCTGCTTTTAGTTTCACCCTTCGCCGATCAACCTGCCTGGCATGGTTGAGCCTACAGGATAGTCAAGCCCGACCACCACATCAAGGTAGCAGCTACGGTCGGGTATATATATATATACCTCTATTTCTGCAGACATTCATTACCAAAGACCACATATTAGTGGTTTGTTTTACAGAAACCATACTATTAAGTATGAAAACAAATGAGATTATGAAAAAAATATTTACGAAAATTAATACAAAATTACAGACAAATAGATATTTCGTATATTAATATTAACATTTCCGAAGAAATGATAAAGTTTAAAATTATAACATAAAAATATTCTTGTTAATTTTAATAGGTTACTTTTATTTTTATTGTTGCCGAAAAGATGATTGGTCAACAATTTATGTCTTCTTGCAGGTTTGATTTGATCTTTGTTCAAATGGTTAGTTAGCGACTTGTCTAAATATGACGGTTCTAAATGATGACGATATTTAGCTACAACTTTTTCGGCTTTTAATGATGCTTGTTCTTGAAATGTAGGCAGTTTAACCATATCCGGTAACGTAACATCAGCGACTAAATCAGCTTTTGATTGAGCTTCCAATTTGCCGTATTTATTATTGCGAAGATAATTTGCATAAGCTGACAAAGATGGAGTTAGTTCTGGATGCTAGAAAATTGGTTTATAAGAAGGTAGTTTACAATATCAATACAAGAAATAAATATAACTATAAAACAATGTACAAGCATAAAAAGGAAAGGTGAAATGTGACTAGCAGTGAAATCTAGGAAGCACATTTCGTCCTACTTGGGATTCGTCAGCTGGGTGTACCTGGTATATTACATCAATTCTGTACAAACCTGTATTGTAATGGTTATATTGCAGCAGTCTGCATAGACTGTACATCTGCTAACCAAGATTGGTCAACAACGCGAACATCAAAACCAGTGCAGATTTATTGTACAAATATGTTTATGAAACTGGACTCTTACTACAGAACTAAGAATAGTTCAGTGATGAGATCGAATTCTAAAAATAAAACTAATAGATTAATATAAAAAAATATGAAAAGATGAAATACGCAAGCTACGATACACATTCACGTCTGAACTCAACAAACTTAGACCATTTAGTTTACGGTCTCAATTATCACTCCAAAAAGTACATTTAACCACTAGATTACTGCAATATATATACACAAAAGTGTAATTAATATAAATTTGCAAGGGCTCTAACCAGGAAACGTACTCATTCCCAACGTGTTAAAATCGCTACTCAACGAATGGTTCGATTTGTTATATTGAGCTTACTTAGCTATCATTAGTTTTCGCTGTACTTCTATGAATGCAAAAACAGAAAATTAAGGCACAGATTGGTTAAGATATGTGTTACACCTAAACAATCAACTTATTCCTATTGATAAACTTTGCATTTCCTCATAGAACTCCACAATTGCCTCATCATTGACTTATTGTTGATTCTACAATAGACAAGCAATTCAATAAAACACTAGTGATCACATCTCAGTCTAAGTCATTCACGATGTAGGACACTGCATTTATGTGTATCGGTCATGGTCACCAAAATACTTTAGCATAACAAAATAAAGTTCACAAGAGAAATACCAGGGTTGAAGTAGTAAGGCGGGGAAAAGAGGGAATATAAATCGAATAGTCTTAGCTTAATCACAAGCTCTTGTCCCAAATGGCTTCGACAGGCAGATGGCCGGAAAACCCGCACTCCCTCTCGAAATGTCTTCACATGCCTAGGCACGTATAGCCACCACTAAAGAAGTTCTACTAAATACCTTTGCTGGCAAAGGTATCGTTTACGAGAATGAGAGATATAAAAGTGAATACCCGGTGTTTTAACTGGGTTGCTGGATTCCAAGCCAATGGTGTACATGGGCTCGAAGATCCTGAAGGAAAAAGTGGAACATGAACCTACTGTTGGTCACCGGTTACGATGGGCCTGTATCTCCTGAGAAAGGCCTCACTGCCAAGCAGTAGCGCAGCCCACACATAAATACGTGTGATGTATACATATCTTAGTGCCTCTTTTTACCAACGTCTATGTGTTTAAATAAATAAAATAAAAATAGTATGCTAGCACTTAATGGATATATCGTCTATGATTCAGGCAGCGTACATTGACTGAACGAGCTATTGGTACATTTTCCGAAATTTTATCAACTGATAGGAGATAATACTAGATCAATGAAGCGTTCAACACTGATGGTTATTTCCTTTCATATCATTAGATTAGGTACTGATAATAATGAGCATTATGAAAAAACTCTGCATCTTACTTTTTTTATCGAATTTTATGACAACACTTATGTTGACTTGATATTAAATCTCGTCTGTTCTATATTAACAGGGATTTAGTGCACGAATAAACCACAAAAACAGTAATCAATGTCAAGTTTAAAGTGACAGTGGATAATGAGTGCTTTGAACTATTGAATAGCTAAGACTAACAAGACTTAAGATGCGTAAATTTCTATCACTTCTTTTTAAGATTAAAATTTTAAGAGGAGTTAACTATTCGTTTTTGATAAGCAAAACAATATAAGCTGCAATACTGATAAAACTTACTAGATTTATTTTTTCCAAACTTTGATTAAGCAGAACATCAAGTCCAACCAATTTCTTCTTGATGGATGTTAATTGTTGAACAGCTTCAGGTTGCTCCATATTGCGTAAATGTTCAAAACGTTTAACGTAGTGACTACGATCATGCTCAACAACTTGGAATAAACGTTTTAGCGTTTCAAACAGTGTGAAATTCTTTGAATTGATGGTATTGAAAATGAGTAAAAATGAGAAATACTTTACATTTAGTAGTAATTTAATTCTTTGTTTTAAAATAATGATTAGGAAAGAAGTGAGGATAAGAATATCATTAGACAAAACCATTGGAGTTTGGATATATATGTATATAAGAAACCTTAGTCCCATTTTTTATAAGCACTTGGTTAATAAGTCAAAATTAAAATATGCCTTATAAAAACAAGGCCATTGATAAACTCACTGAACAGATTATTATAACGCTATTTATAACAAATCTATTTCGAAGGATAGACTGAAAGGAGAGTAGAATAGATTGGTTATGATGTGCGGTGTCCGGGATACGTGTTAATCCCCCAAACTCATCCATGTACATAAGAGTCATCCTCAAGAAATTATTCGATTTCTTGGTCAATGATTTGTATCCATCCTTTAAAACATTTCTGATGGTCATCAAGTGACCTTCCCATTCGACCATTTCTGACTGTATATTAAGATTGTATAGTAATTGACTTGTGGTTTAGACATGTAGTTTTAACGAAGCTGGTCACTATCAAACATATGATAATTGTCACCATAGGGTTGTGGATATTGCTCAACCTCATTAAAATCCTGAGTCTCATCCCCACGTGCGGAGGTCGTGAATGAATGCTGGTGATGAGTCTTCTACTTTGACGAAACGGCCCCTCAGGGCTTCCAGATTTTTGGAGATAGTCTAACATTGATCGACTCAACAGTCTCCATAACCCTGTAATGATAATTCTGATTAATAATCCATACAGTCCATCTGTATTTCCAAGTAGAAGTAGAAGTGAATTCTGAATAGCCTAGTACATCGAAAACTGAGACGAAAGCTGAAATTAATATATCGTATATCATCTTCAGCAAATGTCTATATACAACAACATAACTCAGATTTCCAACAGACTAGTTCGTATCTGATAAAAATTACGCAGTGATATGATCAGAGTAAATATTTTATGCAGTGCGATGTAAAAAAATAAAAGTAAAATGACTTCCGTCTATAAACTCACATTTGGATTCTCAATATTTACAGCCTTTTCCCATGCATTTTGTATTGCCTTTCTACGTTCAAGCATTTGAGCTTCATTTCGCTGATGATGAGTAGTTTCCAAAGACTTCCGATCTAGTTCTGATTCATTTTCCAACTTAACGAATTTACTCCGAAACTCCTTAGGAAAACCAAAAAAAACGTATTAAAAAACCATTGAAAATCCTTAACAGAGTCCGATAACTTAAAAAGAGTTAGTGAATGAAAGTATTTGTAACATAGCATCAGGTTTTTAAGAATTTATTATTCTCCGCCAACAAATTTTAACGAATAAGCCACTAGTGAATTTGCTAGGTAATTTTTTTAATATCCTTTGCCAGCTTTATATGCTGATTAAATATATAGACGAGTATTTGTAAACATTATTCGGTCGCCAAATAAACTTCCTCTTTTATGCTCTTGCTTCCTTGCTCAAATTCAAGGGAGGGATTAGCGCACATTATAACACTATATAACTCTAAGGAAATAAAGCAATGATAAAAAGAAACTTTTCATTTATTTGATTTTCCCCATAATTTTCCACTGTGTGAATGATCCAAGTAATGTGAATATTCGTTGTGTTTGTGTGGAATAAAAGAATTAGACTCAATAAAATAAGTTAAATAATTGAATATGAAATTTCGAAAGGCCTTTGAAATAAAAGCATCAGTGATAGTTCAGAAAGTGGTATTTTGAAAGACCTTAGTTAGTCAGCCACAACGTAAAACTTAGGATGTACGTTCATTAGTTAAAGCTGCCATACCATATTAGCACAGACAGATAAAACTGTCAGTTCGGATCCCACAACAATGTAGATAGTAGCAGTATTAGTAATAATGGAGAAGATTAGACATCGAAGATAAGACTTTAAAAAGTATAAATAGTGAAAATATAAAAAAATTTACGAGCTACGAAACTTAGTATTTGAGGAAGGAAAAACAGTGAATGCATATAAGCCGTTGCAAATGATTCTGAGTCGTCATTCAAAGCCTCCAACCACTGGTTACAGTTGTAGCGTTCACCCCAATCAGGTAGCATGCGATTATTACCATAGCTTAGTTCAACTGTCAGTAGCTTCATTAGCCGGTGTCATATTTTGGTCTCATCACTCCTAGCTCTCTTCCAGACTACCCCTACACCAAACAACATTGCTTGTTTAGGTAGGCGGTAGCAGATAGGCATAACTAATACATATCCCAACCACCTCAAATCATAAAGATTCATCACTTCGTCAGTTGCTCTGCTATCTTTACTTACTAAAATTTTCCTAACCAGTGCATTACTTACTCGGTGGTCCCAAAATACTTAAGCAATCCTTCGAAGACACCTATGATCAAATACTGGTAGCCCGAAAATATCCTTGATTCTTACTAGTCATGTTTCACACCCGTAATTTGAACTGAGCGAAGTGCTGCGTAGTAAGGTTGTCCTTTGGTTAGCAGACATATTTCGCCTACGCCATAAGTGATGCAAGCTGGCAAAAGCTAGTCGAACCTTTTTTCGTACGTACCGAGATTTTGCCAGATTCCAGATTAACAGGACTGATGAGACTTCCAAGAAAGTGAAGCGGTCGATAGTTTGACTATCATCTTAAAAATATCCGGTACGTAATCTACTTTCTAGTTCCTGAAAACGCATCAGAAAGTACTTAATCGATCCATAACGAAGTAATACTTAACAATGAGAACTATAAAGCGAGTATTCTCATCATATGTGCGAAGCGTTTCAGAAATCATAACTAGTGTTGGGTTATTCAAGACCAAATATGATTTACAAAATAAGTTGCAGCAACTGAAAGCAACGTTTCACCGGCAAACATGTTCGCCCTCCCTGTGTACGAATACATCACTCGAGTCCATCATAAGTAATGTGGATACTGGTATTTGTCTGTATCGATCGAAACAGCTTTATGAAGACTGTAAAATTCATTCTGTAATCAAACTGAAATGAAACCAGTTTGAATTTGATGACCTTTCTAATGAGCACTACATACTGTAATTAGCAAGTCATAAGATTCCAAAATTAGTGAACAGGACACAATTATGATCAGATTACATACATACTCCTTGAACAATATCTTCAAACCCTAATCTTTCCGATTACTGTTTATACTTCTACTACCTCTACTACTATAAGATATGAATAGACAATTGCATCTCTGTGTGAATGTGTTATGGCAGATTGAAATGATGTATGTACGTACAAACTTCTACGTTGTTGCTGACCGACTGACATAGAAGTTCAAGTATCCATACTCTGGAACAAACAAGAACCACAACACAAAATTACCGCGGTGAATTTTGATATGAATCGACACGAAACAAAGAATAATAAAGTTAAAATTGGTAACAAAGATAGTTATATGAGTTAGAAAATATCTAATAACTTAAAGATACGGAATAGTGAGAACTGAAGAAAGAGTTATTGCTTACTTGAACCAGACTATCCTCCTCGAGTTGACTTTTTATTGGCTCGCTTAGCCAGTCCTCAGGTGAAATTAATGACTCGCCATTTGACAATTCTTGCTCTAACACTTTTTCGTGTTTGCGTAAGTCATTATTCAATGCCATTTTAGCTTGATTGTAACGTTCACGTTCAGACATTACCAAACCAGAAGGATTTGGATTCATGGGTGACAAATAGTCAATGACAACTTTATGACTATCCCGAACATCACTTTCAGTGGTAGTTAATTTACTACTCACGCTAATGAGTTTATCTGAGACTGGATCGGTCTTGTCATCTGGATTGGTGAGTGGTTTGATAGAGACAGTAGAATCTGAAATCAACATCAAATGATAAAATGAATCAAAAGCTATATGTAGGAAAAATAAAAATGCAACAATAGAGATTCTTTTAGAGCTATTTTTCGGTATCTTATTATTTTAGCAAGCTTCTACTTAAGCGATGGGATTAAGTGAGACATATATTATCGTCAAGAAATATAATGGCTTTCGCAGAAGTTATCGTATAAGTAGTAATAATGTACTTACACTGAAGACGGAGTTATTAATTAATTTAGTAATTCAAAATGAAAAATCTATAGAATCACAAGTAATGCTGCGCTAGTAAGAAAAACTAAAGCAAACAGCTGCTTATTACCAGAAGCTGGTGTTTGAATAGCCAAAGCAGAACTGACGGAGACTCTCTTAATTACAAGTATGAGCCCCGTTCAAAGCACTTTTGGCTGGGCAACTAGATAGCATCACTGGCACAGGAATATGGTGAATCATATGTCTTGAGTGACGCTGTTTGAGGGTTAATTATACCACTAAGCCACTAATTATTAAGCTGACCAAGCAAGAGTAAGGGGAAGAAACTGCGAACCTGTTGAGATACCTAAAAATTCCCAAGTCTACCATAGTGTGATATGATAACATGATAACTAACTAGTTTAATTAACAGTTGGGAAGATGAAAACACCAAAGATTCGCTCCTGTTTGATATCTATGTAAAATCATTCACCCACAGAATCAACGACAAGAGACAACCGTACCATTGTCAGTATCAGGCAAGATGAACTAGACTTAACAACGATATAAACGACATTGCAGTGGACAAATGACTGGATTGAAAGGAGAGAAAACTCTTAGCCTAACGTACCCAAAAGTATTGTTTACAAATCGCACAAATTATTCCAGGTTTAAAAACGCCAAAGAACAGTTGAAAATGATATCTTTTAATAGCAAATAATTGCTTGAAATTTGAGTCGACAAAGTTTGAAGGCACGGTAAGCAAAAGCAGCCCTTTCCTATGATGCAGACTAATGTACATCGAACAACTAAAGTAATTAAGATTGTGAGACAATTTAAATTACATTCAAATTACAAGTCAAATGGCCCGGTATAGATAGTTCCATTAGTTTATACAAATGCTAGTATACTGAATGAAAGATGTACTCACTTTTGAACTGGGAATCATGAATCTCACAGCAAACTACTTTAGCAGCCGCGAAATATATAGAACTGAAGTCCTTTTCTTTGACACAGGGTTTGATTGGCAGATAACTCTGAAATTTCATGTTACGTCTAAAACAAGCTTCTTGGGTAGAACTCTCCCAAAACTTATAGTTTTCACAGACGTAGCTTCGATCACTATCAAGGCTGCTTAACTGACAACCAACAGGAATAAACAGTGTGGACATCGGGATGGTATCTAAGGGACCAACTGTTAGGTAGCAGAATATAAAACAAACCTAAGCATATAAATGGTTTAATCTCATGCTGTTTATTACTGAAATTTTGACACTTTCCAAGCTGTTTATGTGCAAATTCACACCAATCAGATAGTACTACAGAAATAGGAGGAGCGGAGACAACAGTGGTTATATTCCTCCCACTGTATACTTTCCTACAATAATTTAAAATTGATAATTCGTCTTCGAGACAATCCTGAGTGAGGTCCGTCACCCAAAACTCATTGTTTAAATAAATGGCTGGTTTGCCACATTCAAATGCTACTGAATATAGAGAATGAACCAGGATAATGCAATTAAAGAATATTAAGAAACCAAGTGGGGCGAATAACATGGCAAATCAAAATACGATATTGGAACAGAACAGGGTATTCGGTATGTAAATTCGACAGATGAATTCAATGAGCAAACGGATTTGTTAGTAAAGACTATAACAAATCGGGTTAGCCAACGAGAATACCCTGTAAATTCGAAAACAAGAATAAAATGAACTGTAATATACATCTAGTTTATGAGCATGTGTCTTTAACATGGTTGAAAGAATTACAACAGTTACCTGACTAGACATCATAATTCAAAACCTGCAGAACTGAATAGATTTAAGGCGACCGCGTATAGAGTTGAAACAAGCTAACGACAAGACAAAACAACCGTCCCCAAGATACAATAAACAGTGTTTTACCACTTTTACGTCAGTCATACCTAAATACTCCTGCATTCCAAGGACGGAAACCATAGTAAGGGTTTCACAGATAATGAGGATGGTATACACGGGGATCGATGTACCAGCGTTCAGCTGTCCATATCCAATATCCGATAAATTTTTCATGAGATAGTATAAGCGTGTTGATTTCTTTGCGTTCGATTCTTGTTCGTTCAGTACAGTCCCAGGTATTCGGTAGTGTCCAGTGAATGGGGGTCTAGCCACTCGAATGTCTAATTCTAGTCATTTGGAAGTCGGTGATTTAAATGAATACGTCTGTTTCAGGGCAGTAGGGTTTCTGGATACCAGTAGCTATCACATTACGAGAGCGTAGAGCAGTTAGTTAGCGTAAGCACGGGAGAGGAAACGGAGATAATAGGCGAGATCGATTAAGGTAGTGATCTGATTAGATGACAGCAATAACGACTAATAAGTCTTTAAGGCATCAGGCGCAGCTTGTCCGTGAGGGAGATGATAATCCTCATAATATGTACGTGTTTATCAAATCTCTTCTTGAGGCTGTTCACTGAGTGGGCTGTGGTCACCTCGACAGGAAGAGAATTCCAAGTTGCAACGACTCTTGATGAGAAGAAGTGTTCACGAACCTGAGTATTCGCTCATTGGTGCGCGATTTTTCGGGGATTGCCCCGATGGGAGTGGTGGTGATGCATCGGTAGGATGCTGACGTTGGGATGGTTTGGCGTGCTTAATATATTGTACGCTATAGTCAGATCACCTCTAATTCTCCTGTAAATCATGTGAAATAACCCCAAGTGCTGGAGTCTATCTTCATAAGGTTTGTTTTTTAACCCTATCACCCATTTCGTTGCTTCTCTCTGCACTCGATCCAATAGATCTATGTCTCTTTTAAACGGAGGGGGAGCGACCATGTTGTGGACCTCCAGGTGTGGGCGCCCGTATGTCTTAAATAACGTTAAGAATAATTGTTGGGTGATAGCACCAAGTTATCTTCGCATAAAGTGGAGAGTCGCATTTGTCTTGGTTGCGTCCCCTATATTGTTCGATCTGGTATGGAGGCTTTCCTTGGTTATTAGACCGAGATAGCTCTCTAGGGTAACAATAGCGAGGGCGTAAATCGTTTGCATCATATAGGGCAGAATTACATGACGTGACACTTCGGTTGGTTTAGTTTTAAACTGTTTTCCACTGAACATTCCTCAACGGATATAAGGTCCTTTTGGGTCCTCTTCCTTTCTAATGGGCATCTAGATAGTCGCATCGTCTGTGCAGATAAATGCCGGTGAGCTAATTGTGCCTAACGGGTTATTAGTAAATATCAGGATGATGAGTGGACCTAAGATAGTTCCCTGTGAAACTCCCGATGTGGATGCTAATTTCTTTCTTTGTAGACTTGACTTCAGGGATTCTGTAGTTAGAAACGAATGCCACTGCAATTCCACTAAATATTTATCAGTCTGTCACTCCCTGCGCTGAAACACTGGCGCAAACCTGCTTCATACTAATCATGTGGAGAATACTACCTAACGGAAGAGACTTTCCTGGATGAAGACTCGGAACTTCTCATTTGAATAATGAAATTGTAAAGTAACGATGCCTAACCACTTGGTTTGGCATCAGAAGAGGCAGAAACAAAAACTGTACATTTTTTTGCAGCTCATTCAGGTCTTACTACTTCGTGGTATCGAAAGAATACCGAAATTTCGCTAGAAATGAGAAACAAAATAACAGACGGTGGAGCCAAAATGGCAACAACACAAACGGAAATTTCTCTTGTACAGGGTAGTATTGAACAAAGAGTTTCAGTAAAACAATCACTGGTACAGTCGGTTATAATAATGAGTGTTTCTAGTAAACCAGTCGCCTTCTATTCATAACGGTGGATTCACTAAAAGGCATAAGTCATCAATCGAACTACACGGTAACATGGAGTTCGGTCAACTATTCAAAATAAAAATTTTGGACTCGGAAATTCGAGGAGCCTAGTACGAAAAAATTATACTATTAATTCATCCTCAAATAACGTGTTACAAAGACCTGATATAATATCTGGTATAATACAGGGCAAAAGGATTAATAAGTAACAATTTTCCTATAGAACGTTTTGAAGCTACAAAAATAGACAGCCAAAAATGACTTCCGGGTAATTGTGAGAAGGAAACAATTACATAATCGAAAGCTATGGACACGACTTCTAGAAAAGTCAAACCTATCCTCCGTTTGATTATTTGAAATCTGGAACAGCAAAAAAGCATGCTGCCGAAGGAAATGCTCCTTATCTTTAGTTAATGAAGTCTGCTATCAACAATGTGCTGTCAGGAAAGGCAAAAATGGTTACAGGACTCAGTTAATCAATGCGGGGTGAAAAACAAATCAGGAGGATCCTAAAGTTAGTACTGAGAAACAATGAGGAACGAAACATGCTGCTAAATAGATAACGCAAAACTCACGAACCCACTATTCTTATACGACCTGATCAGTCATTTGATGACTGACTTAGGTGAAAGGGTGGTATTGTTGAGTTAAACTCTTGGAAGCGTTGGCTTCCAGGACCTAAACGGATAAAACATACGACTCTCGATACACCTCATGTTTGTGCAGCACAAAAGCTAGTAGACTTTAAAACAAGACGCCCGAGCCATGCTTTATGATGAAAGAGTATATTTCCGAAATAATAGTTGTCACAGAAATGTGGTTCATCGTAGATCAGGACTTTTCGGCAGTTCTTTGGAATGCATCTGTATTAAATGTGACAAAATAATAAATCACAGTATCAGAGGTGTATTATTATTCGTTAAGGAAAGAGAAGAGGATGAGAAACAAAATAGACGGCGTGTACAACCAGGGAAGTTTAGCTGTGTCCTGGCTAAATCATTCGACAAACCAGTCAAAAAATTTACCAAGCCTCTTCAACGTCAAGAACAACCAACGTGCACTAATCGGTTGCATGTTTTGAATAGGTGCGAGCGGAAGTTGTTCCGCCATGTACCTCTGTTAACTGGTGAATCCAATGTATGATGTCACCTACCAAAAGCGTTTATTCTGAAAAGTGACTCGGTGATGACGGTGGTATAACTCAGGTTAAGCGATAACGTGAGGCGCGACCTAAGCTTATTCTAGGAGGCCATAACATTAAAAGCCTCATAGGTTCTCAAACATCAACAAACATCTCCTACATTGATGATCCACAAATTTTCGTGACTGGGAAATTCGAGTTATTAGTCAGATGAATACGGCATAATCATCTAAATATATTTCTTTTTTTTAAATCACATATTATTGTAATGTATGCCGACAGTTCGACGAGAACGAACCAATAATATGGTAAGGAATGGTCAAAGGTCTGTGTGAATGTAGTGGACCTGAAGAGTTCAAGATTCTATAAATCTGTGTTTGGACAAAAAAAGAGTTTATATGATAATTATCATTACGTTTTTATCACTTTTATTACGTTTATGAAGTCAGGTGTGAACTGTATGTTGTAGCTATCAACCTCAGTTTGTAGTGCGTCTTTGAGATAAAATCAATTCAAGATAGAAAATGTGAACGAGCAATTGAATATGCTATGGAATAAATCTTCCTTTTGATTCCGTAGACTACAATTTGGAGATTTTAAGGTTATAATATGGATTCAGTCGGGTTGATTTATTTCATTCAACCGTTCATGCAGACAAAGCATAAAAGCAAAGCGAAGGGAAGTAGGGAAGGCATATAGGCGAACTCATTGTAATGAGGCGTGACTAAGTATTTCCAGTCGAAAAGAAATTAGTCAGGCACGTCACAGCAGAAGTTAGCGAATACAGGTTTAGTCCCAAAAGGATGTTGTTGCCAAACACTTTTTATGGCCTGTCATGACCAGTAGCGTCTCGTTCTTTCTCGATTCTGAGGAGACGAGAGGCAAATAATAATGTTAAAACATGTGCAATGAGAATTCGGTTCTTAGTCGTTAGTGAATATATGATTTCTGTTAATAAAGGAAATTTTAGGGACTGTATTATTCTATTGGTTAAAATCAGCGGTCTAGAGGTTGAGCCTCCGCTGTCGAGCCTGCAGGTCCACAAGAAAGGCCGTGGATGGTGCTTCGATGTTGGGTGGGTTCAGTGGAGCTGGTCGATTCAGGAGTTCTTTGAAGTGCTCTACCCACCTATTTCGCTGTCCTTCAGTGTTGCTGAATACTTTGCCTTCTTTGCTTTTCACTGGTCGTTCTGGTTTACAATAGTTTCCGGCCAGCTTCTTTGTTGTTTCGTACAATTGTCTCAAGTTTCCGTCTCTTGCAGCCTATTCCGCCGTCATTGCTAGATCCTCCACATATTTTCGTCTGTCGGCTCTGATGCTCTTCTTCACTTCCCTGTCTGCTTCTGTGTATGCAGCTTATGCCTTAACTTTCTCTGCTCTTGTTTGGCTGATATTGATTGCTGCCTTCTTGTTCCTCCTCTCTTCAATTTTCGCAAGAGTACCAACAGACTTCCATTACTTATGATGGTACTTCTTGTGGCCCAGAACTTCGTGACATGTTGAAGTGATTGCCTCCTTAATCCCTTTCCAATTGTTCTCCAATGTTGCTTCCTCTCCATTGAGTAAATCCTGAAAGACCTGGAACCTATTGGTGAGGGCAATATTGAATTCGTTGAGTTTTACGGTGTCCCGAAGAAAGGCTGTATTAAACTTGTGTGATGTTGTCTGCCCCGTTGTCCAGTGCTTCTTTAGCTTCAATCTCATTTTGGCGATCAGCAAATGGTGATCTGAAGCTATATCAGCTCCTCTCTTGGTTCTCACATCCTCCATGGTCCTTCTGAACGTTTTGTTGATACAGAAATGGTCAATTTGGTTCTGAGTAGTGTGGTCCGGTGAAATCCATGTGGCTTTGTGAATGCGTTTGTGCGGGAATATTGTTCCGCCGATGACCAGTTTGTTGAAGGCACATAGGTTTGCAAATCTCTCACCGTTTTCGTTCCTTTCTCCCAGTCCATGTCGTCCCATGATGTCTTCATATCCAGTGTTGTCCATGCCAACCTTGGCATTCAGGTCTCCCATAAGAATCGTCAAATCCCTTGATGAGCATCTCTTGACAATTGACTGCAACCTTTCGTAGAATTGATCTTTAACGTCGTCATTGTAGTCATTGGTAGGTGCATAGTATTGGATGACGTTCATTGTAATGTCCGCTTTCGTTGTTTTGAAAGATGCTTTATTGATCCTTGCTCCATGAGATTCCCATCCTATTAGTGCCTTTTGTGCATGTTTGGACAGCATCAGTGCAACTCCTTGTGTATGTGAGGCATTTTCCTCTTCATGGTCAGAATATAACCGCAGTTCTCCTGAAGCTAGTCTAAGTTGTCCTACCTGTGTCCAGTGCGTTTCACTGATGCCGAGCACCTCGAGGTTGTGTCCTTTCATTTCTGCAGCAACTTGAATTAGTCTTCCAGTCTCCCTAAAAGAACGGTTGCTCTGGTTGTCAGAAGAGGCATCGGCCCCGTGACTTCCGAGGGAACTCGGCATTCATCACGAGACTTCATAACTCTTCTTCCAACTTCCAAGTAAGAGTTAAAATGGTTTGAATAATTTTTTCTGGTAAGCGTTGTTTTGGCAAGTTACTTTTTGACGGGATGGGGTCGCCAGTCCCAAGCGCAACCCTTTTGTTTCCGGTCTTGGGACCGGCAGTAGCCCTGAAGATTCTACTGTGGGTTTTGCCGTGAAATATCAACCTGATTATTTTTTGATTTATCATATGTCATTCACATTTCTTTGGACTAGCAATCACTAATTAGGAGGATTATTTAACTTTTTAGTAATCCGTTACGGTAGGCGCATCACGTTTCTTTCATATCCTCGAAAATACGCAAGAAACTGCATTTAGTCCTTACATTTAACGATGGAAATGAAAAGATGTGCGACTGTATTATGGTGAGCTGATGTACACTTTTACCGAACTACACTGCTTCACTCTAGGAGACTTGAACTGAGCAGTTACAGAATTCTTTCTTCGGTCTCGATTAGTAGCTTGGTGAAGTTTCCCTATTTGTCACAAAATATACACGCTAATTCCACTGAAAAACGTCAAAAAATTCTGAACAGATGTCAGCAGTTACAGAGCTTCTTGTATTTAAAAATGAAACCTCGGAGATGATCTGAAAATTCTGATGTATTTGCTTCACACAGATTGTTCACGTGAAATAAATATATTCATCCAAAACAAACCGTACAAATGCTGTTCGCCCAAGAATCATATACGAAAATTAGACGAAAGAATTATTTTACCGCATATTAGATTGTTAAAAAAATTGGGGTCAGAAGCAGAACCACTAAATCTGCCTCTGGAAACACTCGGTGTCTTTGTTATGGCGATTATCGGATAAAGGAAAGTGGAACTTATAAGCTAGTTCAGACTTCTGTCATGGATACTGACACAGGAACAGAAGACTATCTATCCATAATCACGGTTGTATTTTCAAAACCAAATTACCATAAAGAATGATTACTTAGTCTGTATATGTGTGGCAGATAAGTTCGGAAATGGTCTTAATGACATGTACTGAGCTTCTTATTTCCGCTCCCAATGGCCCTACTGAGTAACGTAGCTCCTAAGTTCTAACATTCCATCAACGATATATTCTTATTTCGAACCTCAGGCATTCTTTACATTTATAGTAGGAACAACTAGTCCCAAATCCTAGTGAGAGATACACCTTTAACAGCGCTACTTAGATTTCCGCATTCAGTAATAATGTTCAATAATTTGTCTGGTCCTACTCAATCAGCACCTAAATCATTTTAAGAGTTGCATAACCTATGTAATCTCGGTGTTTGAGCAGTTATCATGCACATCATAGAAACACTCGTCGAGCCCATAGGGAATGGGAACATATATATATATATATATATATATATATATATATATATATATATATATATATATATATATATATATATATATCATAGTCACTTTGACAAATTCTTTAAAGAAATTATATTTATTAAACGAAGCAAACTTTCCTGATAGTTTCTCACTGAATCCATATATCTGAATAACTGAATGCAATTGTTAAACATTTACAGCTAATTCCTAAATCATTAACATGTCATATGCAGTTGATTCAGTTTTTTGTTTACAATATTTTTTTTCATCTGTACGTTCATATAATGACCTTACAATTCCTAGAATACAAATTTCTTTTAAATTTTTAACATTTACTTGTTAGAAGTGGACAAATGCTAGTTTCGGTTTCATTCAGTTTCATAATTTGGAAAGAAATCTTTCCAAATAACATTAACTGGTAAAATTTTACTCATACTACTATACAATTTGATCCAAATTTCTTATTCAAAAAGTTATTCAAAGAATAACTATTGCTATTTTTGTAATTATCATTGATAATAATTGTTTAATAGATAAGTAATATAATATACAAAGACAAATGATACAAACATAATAACACAGAATCAATATCTTTTTAGGGTTAATGTTAGAAAAGATGAAACTGTTATCAGTAGTAATAACATAAAGCAATAATAACTATAATCGTACTAATAGTTCATTTGCTTTTTTGTTTAAGAAGAATAAATAGAGAATTGCTAGTGATAGTTTTGTTATAAATAAAGTTTTAGAAATTATATATACTATTCTATTTAGTAAATATGCAAATCCTGATCATAAAAGACTTTTTATAGGATTTATTTTGTATATCACTGATCGTCTTTAAAATATTATATTGTAGCACTATATTTATTCCTTTCCACTGATTGAAATACTTTGAATTTTCATTTAAACTGCTTAGTGAACATTGAACGTTTGATGAAACTTGAGGAAAATTCGTGTGAATTTCATTTAATGTTAGGCACTATTTATGATCATAATGCGTTGAAGAAAATAGGCTAGTCAGTAAATTAAACTGTTCAATAAAGGTCACGAAGACTAGACGGAAAGTGTAAAGTCAGAGCGTTGTCAAAATGGCAGTAAACGAAGCTAATTTTCAAGCGTTTTAGATATTGGGAGTGGCAAAAAAGTGTACTGTAATAAATGAGGGGTATTTTCAGTGGAATAAGATTGACGTAGCGTAACTCTTACAAAATAAGGTTCGTATAGTAATAACGAATATGTTGAACCGTGTAATAGTGGTAGTTTTTGTAATCATATAGTTAGTTTGGCCGGATGAATACCAGCAGCAAACGTTTCGGTATTAAGTAAACTTGACTGTTTCCTTAAATAATTTGATTAGTCAATTTACAGTTTAGGTACACTTGCCATAGTTGCTATACCACACATGTTATTGTAATTACGACGTATTCTAACATAACCATCTTCGCCCCACGATGTCCCCCAACTATTTTTAACTATCCAGTATTGTATACCATTTTCTTCTCCAAATCCAACAATAAGAACTGCATGATTAACATCTGTGGATGAACAAGACTGGGATTGGTATATGCCATTCCTAAAAAAATGAGAGATAAAAATCATTTTCGTAATAGACAGTAGTTAAAAAAGATTTTCCAGAAGCTTAATGAATTTTAACTGAACCAAATGTGATCACGTTTCTTTTGCCAATGCTCTTAGTTTGTGTTGGGGACGTTAAATCCCCAGAACTCACTTGATAAAGGTCCTAATTTTGGATTTTATTCATGGGCTGACCAGTTGACCTTGAGATTACATTTCCCACCAGGAAAATCCTTGACTGTTATCGGTTGATGTATTATTTTAGCATGCTATTTTGTGACTATCACCAAGAACGTTTCTATCATGTATAAATAAATTCGATTTGTGTGCTTGTGAACCTCATATTTTCTGGGTGTTTGTACAATACACTTTCTACGCCGTATCAAGACTTCTTCCTCTACTTAGTGGGGGCCTTGGGACTCTCGGATTAGAGTAGCCTACCATGTCACTGGATCATTTATCTTCGCTCTCGTTTACCGACTAAGGTGAACTCGTAATAGTTTCAAGCATATCAAGTGACGAGCATAACAGTTTACTAAAGTAATTTACTAATGGTAATTTTCAAAGTTCATCACCAACAACTTTCTATAATAAAATAAAGTAGAGCAGTAACATATGATAAGTTATACATGAGATAGATAATCTCATTTTTTGACAAACAGATAATTTAGAACAGACAGATCGTTTCCAGTCTGATTGAACATGAGTTGTTAGTAAGCTGAATGAAGACATGAGACTTAATATTATTCAAACCACGGAATCCACCGATTTAAATATATGTAAAAAGTGATACTGAAGGATGTAAGGATATTCATCAAATATCCTAAAAGAATTATTTTTGTAAGTCTAATTCTATTGGTCAGTTCCTATTAGTCAATATTATGGTCGTCCTGGCTATCGATGTCATTCAAATGTTGTTTCCTATTGGCCGTCCTAACGGTCAATGTCACAGATTTCAATGTTGTTTCCTATTCGATCTAATTGTATAAATAAGCATTATCTGTAACGTTTTATGACCCGGACCCGGATTCTTAGTCCTGCATCCTGATTCTCTTCTGGACTCGGACCTCGTGATTCCTGGATGCTTGCAGAATACGTGTTCTACTTCATATTAAGTCTTCTTCTTTTACTCAGTGGGGGTTTAGGATAAACAGATTATAGTAGTATGTCGTGTCGCCGGATCCTCGATCCTTGCTCTCGTTTTCCGACTCGGGTAAACTCGTAATAATTCAAGCATATCAATTGACGTGTTCACGTGTATGAGTAACAAAGGACTAAGTCAATTCCACGAGTAAAATATATAAAAAAAACTCAACGACGCCGTATTCGCACCGGATGGATGACTTTGTACTATTTCAATTTAAGCATGAACTCTATATTCAAGTGCGAAATGCTTAGTCTCATTCGACTATGGTTTCAACTGACATTTTTTCCTACTTTAGGATAAGTCATTATCAAATGTATTTTTTCCTTTATCTCATCGATAAGGTATCATCAACTTAGCATTTCCGATTATTTTCATATTATTACAGAGTCGCTTTTGTTCTTACAAAAGTATTTTATATATCTTTACGCAAACTGAAATAATCACGAACTAATCATCAGTTAGATGAAAATATTTGATAACTTTTTCATTGTAATGTACTTGACAATAAGTTAGAGTTTTGTTCTCTGAGCTGGATGTTTTGGTTGTGAAGCTTTCATTGTTCTTCTGAACAACATCATTAGCATAAACTTCATATAGAAGTCATCCACCTGAGCTACAAATTTTCTCCGCTATCTCATGTTACAGATTTCTGCTTTTTCCACATGTTTAGAGTTTTTCAAGAAATCTTCTACTCGAATTAAGCCTGCAATGTGTTTTAATGAGGATTTTAAAGTCTGTATGGTGACTGGACAGTGACTATACATTTCTGATAAATGCTGTTGTTAATGTTAAGTGTGATTTACTGTTACTGTCATTTCTTATTGAAGTTATTCAATGTTAAAGACCAAGTAGATATTAATAATTAGTCACTATTAACTCAGTCTTCTGATGTTAATACTCATAGATTTTCATTACATATTGTTGATTCGTTCGGACATAAGCCACTCGGGATTCTCATTATTCTACAGTATTTTACAACTCTATTTTTTTATTTAAATTGAAATCAATATGAACATAATTAGTTTTGTTGTGCATGAAAACTCGGGTGAGGAGATCAACATCTATAAATAAGGAAATATTACAGAGTTGTTAAGCATATGTACAAAACCGTCCCGTGAAATCATCATTTGCAAACTAATCCTTATTTGTTTCAGATTTCAGTGCTCTTCCATTTAGACTGTTTAGAATGTTCAGACTTCAGTCCACTTTACGTTACCTACAAATCGCCTTCTGTTCTCTTTCTTTCCTTCTCAATCTTTTGCTGTCAGACGTTTGATTTCCGTTTGATATCATATACTACTTATGTGAACATAAGTAGCGTACACCATAGTTTGACAATTATTCATTGACTGATTGATTGTGTAATTCTTTTTCAAATTCACTCTAGAACTATTATCATTTCCTCTCAGTCCACATAACTTGCATAATAAAGATTTAATCACGTGAAAAGACTTACTTGTATCGTATAAATTGTGGTTCTACATTTATACCAGCTGAAACTGGTCCATGTTCATATAAAACAGTTTTTAATTGTTCTTCATTATTGAGTTCAATTTCAATAATTGATTTGGAGTAGGTCAATGATGTTGATTTGCTGTGTTGACATTTACTTTCCTAAAATATAAGAAAAAAAAATAGTACCTATATAATCTGAATTGGTTTCGTATTAAATGTTTATAGTGTACATTTATGGAATTTTTCTTCAGATATTAAACCCTAATCAAATAGGCATTTAAACAACTTTTTTCGACAATACAGAATTATTATGCTAACTAATTTTTTGGTTTTAAAAATCAGCATAACATTTAATCTAACAATCTGACTTCAACCAAAAAAAAATGAAGGTTACTTGATAATATCATAAGTAAAGATACATATGTAACTGTAAGGAAATGTAATTGTACTTAATTAAACTATTTTATTCAATACTTGCATCAACAAACAACAAATGCTGTTTGTTTTGATGAATAACCGACATAATTGGAAAAGTGCAAATTTTCTTTAAAAGTTTAATGTTGAACTTGGAATGGACATTTGATTATTTCACACAGTAAACTGTTACGCCTGCACGTAATCCCGTCAACTTGATATACTTGAACTATTACGAGTTTACCTAGTCGGAAAACAAGAGCGAGGATCGAGGATCCGGTGACACGACAAACTACTCAAATCCAATTATTTCAGACCCCCCCATAATCAGTAAAAATAAGAAGACTTGGTACGAAGTAGAACTTGTATTCTACATGCATCCAGAAAGTACGAGGTCCGAATTCAGAAGAGAATCAGGATCCGGGACCAAGCCCTGGTCCTGGTCGTGGTCCTAAAATGTTACAAATAATGCGTATTTATACATTTTGGTCGAATAGGAAACAGCATCGAATTCTGTGGCATTGACAGTTAAGACGACCAATAGGAAGTAACATTTAAAGTGACAATGATAGTCAGGACAACCAGTAAGAGACAACATTGAAGTATTTGACTTTGACCATTATTTTGACCAATAGAAATCGACTAATAGGATTTGACCAATAATTCTCTTAGGATATTGGATGAATATCCTAACATAAGCAGATAAAACTAAACACTTGAACCTGTCAATGATATGCGCAAGATCTAAGTATTAGGAATGTCTGATCTAGTCACTAAGAAAAGACACTAAATATTATCAGGTTTGTATAACTTTATAATTGATTTATATATTTAAGAATTAAACTGTAAAAGAACTGATGTGTCACAGAAAATGAAGATTAACATGTATTTTTGGTTGGTTGTAAAGTAAACAGTTCACTTTCTAAGTTATTTCAAAATGTAATGTGTGACCTCAACTAGGAATTTATGGTGGCCAATTTATCACTAGTTTTGTGACGGTCGGTATACAACTTGTTCTTAGACTTCGTAATTCGCTTGTCCAGACAGTCGTTAGTAAGTAGCACCTGACGGTTTATAAATCAGAAGGTGAAAACAAAGTGGTGAATACATTTATCCTGGCATATCACGAATAGACCAACAGATCACAAGAAAACAGAGAAGGGCATTCACGCCAGCGAGCAAGCGAATTGGAGAATGAATTAAACTGTTTATATATATACACAGTAAAATGTCCAAGTCATCGAACTATGTAATAGATTAACATTAAAGCAAATAAGATGAATATGCGCATAGTTGGTAAGCAATGTTCAGTCGTACCAACTCATTAAAAAAAAACAGACAATAATAAAAGCCAATGGTACATATAAGTTATTGCTATACAAATGACTTGGTTAAATAAATCTTAACCAAATTAAATATAAGTGAACTCAAATGTGTACGTGGAGGCACTACAAAATTCACTGCACTGAGCAATTTAAATACATTGAGGCAAAACACTGTCTTATAGTTCGTAGTTAGTGATAGTATAATGTAAAGCACTATTGGAGCTTATATACAACCTCTGGTTCAGTCCCAGTGAATAAATGGATGTACAATAAACATTTCAAGTGAAACATTTATAAACAACACTGTAAATTTATTTAGAAAAATAAGGCTGAAACGTTGTTTTCATTTAATTATTTTAAGAAAGTGATGTTTACTTAATGATAAATTTTTTTTAAAACATGTTTTACATTTGAAAGTGTTAATTTGAAAATACATTTGATTTCGTTGTTCTGTTCAGTAGATATTTCGTTTTATTATTATTATTATTATTATTATTATTATTATTATTATTTAGGTGTGACTTATTTTTTGTATTTTATTACAAAAAAAATTTCAGTACAAAAAAAAAAATGAAATCGTAAACAATGTAATTCATTACGTGATTATTTATATTAAGTGGAAATCGTTTCAATTGGAAAAATGTTTACTACCTGTGGGACCATGATTTGAAAAAAAAATCGATATTTTCAATAGTATGCTTACTAATTAAAAAAATTAAAACGATCAAATGAAAATTCAGTAATGTAATCATTTGTACTTTTGGTTGGTTTACTTGGAGTGAAATGTTAACATTAGTAATATTATTGAGTGACATAAAGGTTAAGAATCTTTTAATGACTTGGAATCGGATTTCCATTTGGAAGAATGATTGAATATCCTATGAATTAAATCTTTCATTTCATTTCTGGATATTACATTTCGGCTAAGTTTGTTTACGCGACGACAGTAAACAAAAAAAACAGTACTGTTTTAGATGTGAATAAATTTATTTCATATATTTGCTTTAACAGACAGACATCTGAGTGTGAAACGTGAAAGTGAAATGGAGGAAAACTAAGTGCAGAAGGAGAATGGGCCGACTCGGTGAAATGAGGCAAGAGTAAGTATTTATAGTCAGACGAATAATCAGTTAGACTTATTGTAAGGAAATGCACTTACAAATAAAAGTAACCAAGTTGAAAAGCTTAAACAATGTGGGAACAGTAATTCCAGGAGAATGGATTAATTCGTTTTTACAAATGCTGAGAGAAGCCGTGTGCGTTCGACATATAAGCACACACTACTAACTCTTAATTTTGTATTACTATACGGAAATTTAAAATTGAACGTATTGATCAGGTAAGAGATCATTAGACGGTATAAAGGAGAAAAAATTTTTAAATAATTAATAAAAGAGATGACAAGTGAGAGATAGTGATGCAATCGACCACCAGGAATATGAGCGAATTATTAACTACATGATGATTAGAAAGATGAAGCAGATGAATATTAAAAAAAAAACATGAATTATAAAGTAATAATATCAGTTCAATTGTATTGGTTGTTAGCAATGAAATTAATCAGTCTCTTTGGCATATGCACGTCTTGTGCAAATTGTCTCAATATTGCCTTTAGGTGGCATGCATTGTCAGCAGGGGTGGATAGTGGCTAGCATTAGAATCCAGGGGGCGTGTTTCAACCTATTTAGGGCTCTTCGGCTGGGCATTCCTGCATCTCAGAGTTGATGTCAGATCCAGGACTCGAACCCAGCATCGTCAGCTTCAAACTTTCTTGCCTTACACATTTAGCCATAATTGACGACAATTGTCTTGTTAAGATATACTGATGACAATTTTGTTGTAATAAAACGAGGAGTATACGTAATCTAGTAAACAGTATTTCTAAAAGAATCAAATTTATGAAAGAGATTAAGATTGTTAACCACAACCTAGGGTTCTCTAATTGTTCTGTTAATGTGTTAATGTAAAAAATTAGCATCTTATAAAAAACAGCTGATACATTCAGAGAAATATATAGACAGATACAACGCAGAACTTCGTACATCAGTACATCAGTTCAGGTTGCCATGTCACGTCAGCACACAGACGCAACTGTCAGTTCAAATCCGAGAGTGATAGCAATAGCAGAATTATTAGCAGCAATGGAGAAGATTAGGGAGCGAATATATGATTCGAAAAGTATAATTCAATGAGATAAATTTAGAAGGAGAAAGATAGAGATGATGAGGAATTCAGATGGTTAGAATTAGAGAGAACACAAACAGTGGTTGCACCTGCGCCATTGCAAACGATTTTGAGCCATGTCATTCAAGGTATCTAACCATTGGTGACTTTTATCTCACAGACACCAATCAGATAGCCTACATCTACCAACATGAATCAGTCCACTTGTCAGTGACTTCATGAATTTCTGCCATGTTTTCGTCTGGCCGCCCCTAGCTTTCTTCCAACCTATTCCTACACCACAAAACATAGCTCGTCGCGGCAGTCGGTGGTTAGACATTCGTAACACATGTCCCAACCACCTCAACTGATGAAGTTTCACTGCTTCATCTATTGATCTACCATCCCTACCTAGAACTCGTTTCCTAACGACAGCATTGCTTATATGGTTGTCCCAGGATACACGAGCAATGCTTCGAAGACACCGATGATCGAAGACTAGTAACCTCTACTAGTCCTCTACTCTTAATGGCCATGTTTCGCATCCGTATAGAAGGACAGAGCGAACTGCTGCACAGTACACTTGTCTTTTGGTTCGTGTATATTCTAACGACAAGGTCGTAGTTAATGAAAATGCAGTAAATTAATATCAACTGATTGCACAGACAGAAGTCAAGCATATTCTATTAAACCTGAATATATTTGCACTCACAGTAAACAATGAATGTAAAGTGTTTATAAAAAAAAACTTAATTCAAGGTAAAGGTGAAATGAAATCGAACTGTATATTGAGAGTTTAATTTAACACTGTAGTCACATCTTAACCTAAAAACAACCATTTAAGGAAATTAGAATGATTCTACATAAAGACGATACAGAAGTTGATTTTCAGACTGATGATATCTTTAGGTTTGCAATGGCAAATGTTAGGAATACAACTCCAAAGGAGGGACTTCAAAACTGCCTGCATAAAACTGCTATATTTTTAGCTGAAGTATACAATCAGCTGAGCGTGAAGGTTAACGAACACAAGCATTACTTGAAACATATTTATAAACCTTTGATACACTTAGGAATGCTTGACAATAAATCAGAAGTACCATTACATTCCAAAGAAGTAAGATATTATACTTTTTTCAATAGAGACAAAATAGTTCAGAAAAATTAATTACATATGAATAAACATTCACGATCACAGCTCTATATACAGTGAGGATTCCTAAAAAATATCAACAATTATTGATTTATGAATTAAAACGTTACATTTTTAACATCAACATCCTAAAAACAATGAAATTTTAATTTGTCTTATTGATTCTTGTTCCAGGGCTTATGTTCAATTACTTTTGACTAATATTAAAACATGAAATCCAACAATGTTTTCTTTTGTTCATAATACACATACTTTGACAAGCTTACTTTTAAACAGACAGACATGTTGTTTTCAGTTTTATAATTAAGAGAACTATTAATACAGCACACTAGACGTAGCCAAACATTTTATATTTTTCACTGGGTTTTAATAATAATAACAACAACAACAATATACATATGCATACTCTCATATTGAACATATTTATCTCTTAATGACTCATTCCTATAATAAACAAAAGTAACATTTCAATATGATTGGATAAATGTTATGGTTGAGAATGATCTTCCATTATCTTATTTAAGTTTGATTTCGACAATTTTCCTGAAGAAATTCACATCAGTTTGTCCAGCTAGATGTTTGAACTACTTAAATTTCAGTCACTTAGATCGCTGTACACAGTGATAATACGATTAGTTCATGATGAAATGAAAATGACATTAATTAGATGGCTTAGCTGATAATGATTAAAAGTTTTATTAAATTCATTAAAAGATTCGTAAAGCTAATTAAAGTGACAATTGTAAATTAGATGTGTAAACTTGACTTGACAGAATCATCAAGCTGTTAGTGTACTGAGGTCACACACATGATAGAGAGGATGAAAAATAACTTTAAGGGTTCCAGTCCAAGCCAGAAATGTAACAATTATAAACATTAATCAGTTTGAAATGTTTTGCTTAATCTCACTGTTGATAATTTGACTGAAATTTTAACTAGTCTTTCATAGCATATATGCATTCTGTGTAGAGTGACTTGATATCGTCATTATGACACATGTTAATACAGGCTATATCGGATGAGACTAGCAGTGAAATACAGGATGCCTATGTTGTCTACTGTGGGATATATCTTTATTCAAGCAGATGTTCACTTTGATACTCGAACCTAGTATCATTAACTTCAAATTCCACTGTGTTATTCATTTGTAATGGATAGTATTGCATGTGTGTAACAAAAATCAATAATAAATTGAAATATTTCAGATATTATAACTTCGTTTACTATCTAATCAATATCTATGATATGTTTATCAACAGGATTGTTAGACAAGCTAGTACCATTCACTGATAAGGCAATCCGTATAAGTATTCATTTACAGTGATATGGAAATTTGATCTCAGAAAGCAAATATAACTAGTGGTATGTAAATCAATATTCCAAGTATTTTATTTTATTCTCTACCGATCCTTTAGCACCTATTCTTTTTCTTTACCTCTCAACTTTTTACTATCACTAGACAGTATCATATTACTGTATTTTAACAGTAGTATGAGTGTTTGAAAAAAAATAATCTTAATCTATCATTAATCCAATAACCATAAGATTGTGTTATTACTAGTTTTATTTGTCCAAGAATGGTAAACACTAAATTTACAAAACTATAGATTCATTTTTTATCTAGTGTTAAATGTTAACTGATCTAACTAGAAAGCAGAATTGTTGTGTATTGTGAGAGTATTTCTACCAACTTTTAAAAGTTAACAGTTAACTGTATTGAAAATTGTGAAATTATTTTTCATTGAAATCATGAGTCAATCATTGTTAGAACAGGATTAGAAACCTACAAGCACCAGATAGCCGTTTCGTCCTAGAATGGGGCTCTTCGACAGTGCGCGTTCACAACCCCGCTCTCGGGGATCAAACCCAGGACCTCTGGTCTTGTACGCGGACACCTAACCTATGGACGACTGGGCCGGCATCCAGCTGTGTTATTGTCTAACTTTGATCAACCTAACGTTTTGCGTAACCGAACCCATTGTCTTAGGTAGTTAGTGCCTGCACCTGACAGGCTTGAACTCCACTAGTTACACCTCCGTAGAACTCCGAGAATTCAATCACGAAGATCATATAAATTGTTTAACATCTTGAAGTTTGTATTTCATTCCATTGCCTTTATGCATAGACCATCAAATTTCAACGGACGTTGAATATTGCAGAACAATGATGAATATCTCAAGCGTAACCATTGTTTGTTCTTTGAGCCTTTGGAAAATAAATATCAGTGGAAATTATGTCGTCGCTTATAAATATATATAAAGTATTGAGATATAATTCGTCATTGCCTTGGCAGTTCAATTCAGATAATCTATCACTGCCGTATATGTAATAAAATAAAACCTTATTACGAACTCAAGAAAATAACGATTATAACTTCATAGAATGGCAATCTTTGATGAGCAATAACGAAGAATATGATGTGAGCGCAATAGAATTACTTGGAAAAAAGTTCAAATAATCATCTTTCAGTTTCATAATTCAATAAAATTTTGACTAAGGCTATATTGAATAATATTTCTGGAGAGTGAACAAATTAATTGATTGTAATATTCAAATTTATAGTCTCTTAGCATTGTGAACAACTTTTTAGTTTATTCATTCATAACGTGGGGTATACTACTTACAGTGATGGTGATATGCAGCTGAATGTCACCCTGAAGTTACCACCTAAAAGAACGAAGTTGTATCCAGACGCATGACATGATCAGAATATTTAGAGGAACAGACGACATACGGATGAGGATAGACACGAATACACTTGTTTCACAAATGGATGCTTTATGATAAGGTGTACACCTTCTGGTCAGTAGAGTCTGTCTATCACTCTCCAGGTATTTTGTTTAAGTCAATTACAATAGCAGTCAGAAATGTGGCCACTTGAGTAAACTAATTTACTTGACATTTGTAAAACAACAATCAACTGAGCGAATAGTGAAACTCACTTTTGTTAAATAAGGATAACTTTCTTCCGTTTGTATTCCATCTTTTTCAACATATCGAAATGCATTTTTCATTTCACCACCTAAACATCCATGATTACCAAATGAATGACTACAGTCGATTAATTGTTGTGATGATAATTCAACAAAACTACCAGTTTTATTTCTTAATTGACCTTCTAATGCACCAGCAGCTGAAAACGCCCAACAAGCACCACATTCACCCTGAACATAAAATGAATCAGTTGCAGTTATCTTACAAATATGGATGTGTTAAATTATACATGAATTTACAAGCAACTTAACACTTTTATGCAATTCAGGTGTCTTCTGCAGTTCCAAGTTTTTTTACACGACCAAGTCTGAGAATAAACTCGGTCTTGTATAACGTATGTGTATAAATGAGGCGATCTTACATAGTGCGCTAACTAACCAGATAACCAGCCCACAACAATCAACTAAAATGTAGAAATTAATTTTACCGGTTTTCTAACTGAGATCAGTTTGTAGAAAAACATACTTCCACATTTCATCTCTAGTGCCATTTTCTATTTCAATTTATTGATTAAAATCACTTAATAATCAGTTACGACGTTTAAATTACAAAATAATGAAACTTTCAGTTCATTGATCAATGCTTATTATTCGTGTAAATTTCAAATAATTAATTGAGTAATTCTTTATTAATCAGTATTCATTTTGGTGATAATTTTTTATAGAATTATTACAGTTGCTTTCCGTTAACGTTTTTTTTTCAAGTTATTATAGAACAGTGTGACATTTCATCGTAATTATGTATTCTTGCTTAATTACTTACTTACTTACGCCTGTTACCCCTCAATGGAGCATAGACCATTTTGACCAGCATTCACCAACCTACTCTGTCCATGGCCTGCCTTTCTAGGTTCTGTCCAATTGTTGTTCATTCGTCTCCCATCTGTCTAATTATTATGCATTCTATTGTATGATTATTCTCTTCAAAATTGTAATTTTAACAGTCATTAGAAATGTAACGCGAATTTAATGAAAAATTACCCATAGCAAATTAAAACTCACCTGTAATTTAACTTTACTCACAATACCTAATTTTCTCCAATCCCATGAATTTGGTATTTCTTTCAATGGTGTTGTTTCATTGAAAGGTTGTTTCAATAGAACTTCACCCACTTGTTGATGACTTCTATTTGTGGAATATTGACTTAAATTAGTTAAATACAATGCATTGATATCACTCCAATTTAAATCAGAGAATTGATTTAATCCAGTTGTATATAATTCTAAACCTTGATCATGCATACTATTATGTTTTTTAATAGAATATAAATTATTTCGCCAATTTTCACGATGTTCATTATATTCCTTGTAAGTAGAATAATTTTTATGATGTAAAATTTTCCATTGCAACCATAATAATGAGTCATCGTCATCATCAGTATCATTTTGATGATTGTTGAAAGTAGTGCGATTAACATGCTGTTCCTTTACATTGTGATTATCATTATTATTACTGTCATTAAGAATGTAAGTATGATTTGCATAAATATCAATCAATAAATGTAAATAAAACAACACTGTAATCATTTTTTTTAAAATAAACAAATCAATACTCTTTCTTTCTTGTTCATGCAAAAAATCACACCAGAAACTATTGTCGTAACATGATTAAACTTCTTACTGATAGGTAAGAATTCAAAGTGAAAATGTCAAATATGCCCCATGAAATATATGTAGATCATGTATTGAATTGCAAAGAGTTCAGTAGGATATTTTAGAAAGTGTAATAGTGAATTGATAAAAAGAAGGGAAATCGTATAATTCAAATAAATAATTAAGTTCAATTTTAAATCATCTGTTCAATTTATATTGAATCCGTTGTTTACGCTGTCTTTTTTCTGTGGTACTCGAAGGTCAGCCGACTGAAACTATGGTTACAACTTATTGTTTTCATATATATATATATATGTGATGGGAGCAGAAATTCTTTCCTATTACTTATTGGAATTCAACGAAATGAATTAAATATTCGATTGATGATAATTGGACATAAAATATTTGTTTACGTTTATGTGAATAATAAATAGTAGTTCGTGATACTTATTTATGAGTGACATATTAATTGAATAAAACTGTTTATTTACTAAATGACCTAAATAAATGAAGATCACAGTAAGTTATGTTATTATTCATTATTGGATATTCTGTGGAAATGAACATTAAACAGTGGCAGATTAGTTTTTGTCTTAGAATACAAATTCATACATAGGTCAAATAACTTAAGCAAACTGTTGTTAATGAATGTATTTGTTCATTTTTATCTTGCAAATATTATTTATTGAAATCATGAATCCATCATTGTCGGACTACCATTAGAAAAAAACCTGGAAGCACTAACATAAAAATCCTCGGAGTTCTAGTTGGAAGCCGTGACCGGTGGAGTTCAACCCCATCGGGTTTAGGCAGTTACCTACCAAGGACAACAGGTGAAGTTGCTCAATAACTTCGATTGGTTAAAGTTAGATATGAGCACGTGCGCGCAAGACTGAAGGTCCTAAGTTCGATTCCGAAGAGTGGGGTTAATGGATGCACACTGCTCATGAGTCTCCTACTAAGACGAAACTGCTGTCCAATGCTTCCAGGTTGCGAATGGTAGTCTAACAATGATCGGTTCATGATTTCAATGAAACGCAACAACCTTCACAACTCTAATAATCCAAATATTTTTCTTCTTCATACGAAAATACTATTTTATACTTAGAAAATCAGATCATTTTATGAAAACGTAACATTTGGGTAATAAGTAAAAAGTACACAACTTATATGCAATTGTAAACAGTATTTAGTAGTTAATTAAATATCTTATCGGTTCATTCAAACACATACAACAGTAGAATATTCATATTCCATTTTAACTGTAAGTAGATTTTAACTGATTTGAATGATTTAACCACATGTTATTTGACTTTATGTATGTATATATTAGCCAAAAGTTGTAAACAGACAAAACAAAATAAAAAATTATCCAAACTATGCTTTAATGTTCTGAAGAATTTGAGACTAAACAGTGAATCATCCTTTAAAACATTGCCAGTACTCGGCATTGAAATTGACAGCCGGTATATAATTGCGTATATTAATCCTTGAAAAATTATCAACAGACAAAGTAACACAGCTTCGTTTCTTTTATCGACAGTAGTAACAATTAAAAATTTGAAATTGGATTAATATGTCTAAGTAGAAATAGTTGTTAATTTATCATTGCTTTGGTAAATTTTCATACTTTTGATTAAAGCTACCTGTAATTGTTATTCTTACGTTACATTATCCTCACTAAGCCAATTCATATTTCATCAAAGTTCAAATTATCCTTTCATTCTTCCGTATTTTCACTTTTCAGAAATAAGTATTACGTAATTCAACTTATCAATTTACAGATCCCATTTCATTATTGCCTTACCTACTGAGTTAACACTGATAATCATATTGGTGTCCCAATTCTTTTCATCATCAATGTTTGCTAATTCATAGTTTATTATACCTTACTATTATACTATAGTACAAGTACGGTTGTAAGCGACTAAAGAAAACTCAGGAAATTTATGGAATTTATCTTATTCTGTTTCAGCAATTGTTCTGAATTTATTCAAAATAGAAAGTATGTTAAATCGTATCAGATTGTATTTATGAATATTCCTGTAAAAGAGCATTACTGAGTTCCAGTCTCTAGGATAGCTTTCAAGCTTCTATATTTGTAAAAGACATAGGTTTTGGTTGATTATTATCAATTAGGCCCATCAATAAGCACTTATTTTTCATGCGTACAAAGGTCTTGCAGTGATGGTTGAATTTTACAGTTTAAATCACCAACATCACTTAGATAATCCTTTGAAACTAGGAAGCATTGAACGGTTGTTTCGTAAAACGATTCCTTAGTAGTATGAATTTATGACTCTACCAAGGATCGAACTAATAACTTTTAGTTTTCTATTGAATCAGAATCGTATTTCTTTCCGCATTTATTGTTATTGAAAACTAAATATATATAACTGAACTTCTAATAAAAATTTTTTAACTAGTCGATTGTTCCAGATCAACAGAAGTTAAATGAGTTTTTACCTGCATAATTCTTGTTGGGTGAGATCAAATCAGTGCATAATTTTTGTGAAGAACTCATGAATTTAAATTGTAATTTATTCATGAAAACTTAGATTTTAGTTATTCGGCTTGAATTGATTAGTCAAAATAAAACTTCCTGGGTTAGATTTTAAATAATCGACTGGTAAATTCACTTCATCTACAATGATACATCTTATAACTTACACCAACACAGTTGCTTAAATTTCATATATGATGTATCACTAATAATCGGAGTAAAGTTGTTTAGACATATAAATAAACACCGGAATTAGAGCATGGCTAAATAATACAATTATGAGTCATTTAAACCAAATAAAATCTAATCAAATTATAATTTGGACACATTTTATAGGATGAAATAATAAGACTGATATTTAGTCGTGTGCAGTATTGTAATCTTTTCGTTTGAGAGAACACATCCGAATGAATCAGGCGAATGCAATATAACCTTTGGAGACACCAATGATCAAAACCCAGTAACTCCTACTGGCCTTGTTCCACAGCCATAAAGCAGGACAAAGCGGACTGCTGCTGAGCAGACGGATATCTCACCTACACCATAAATAAAGCAAGTTAGCGAAAGATGGTTGGGACTTCTTGCTGGGGACGTTAGATCCCCAGAACTTACTTGGAAAAGGTCCTAATTTTGAATTACATTTTCGCACCAAAGAAGTTTATTTGACCTTCAGCTTGCCTTTCACACTAGGAAAATCTTGACTACCATAGGTTGACGGATTAGTTTAGTACGCTATTTTGTGGCTCTCACTAAGGACGTTTTGTCATTGTATAAATAAGCTTGAGTTGTGTGCTTGTGGACCTCGTACTTTCTGGTTCCATGTAGAATACATTTCTCGAAGTCATAACAGGACTTCTACCTCTAGTCAGTGGGGACGATCGGATTAGAGTAGCCTATCGTGTCAATGAATCATTGATCTTCGTTCAGTTACCGAGTAAGGTGGTTCGTAACAGCTGAGGTATATTACTTCAGGTTAGAGATCTTGAATGACATGGCTCAAGATCGTTTGCAATGAGGCAGGTGCATTCATTCTTCCGCTTCCCTCAAAAACTTTAATCTTCTGAAACCCCCATCACCACTATCATTCTCTTTCTGAATTTATTTCACTCGATTATTCTTCTTGAATAATAACTTCGAACCCTAATCCTTTTGATCACTGCTAATACTTTTACTAGTATGAGATATGAAGTGCATCTCACTGCTGATCTGGTATAGCAAGGTGTACTGATGTATGTTCGAAGTTCTACGTTGTGGCTGATTGACCAAATGTTCTAGAAATAGGCAGTTATCTGGGCGTAACAGCAGTAGACGGTTACCATTATCTTTTCCTTTGGTCGCGACACCATAAGGTTCACCCAGGTGTCTTTCCTTTTCCCTTAGTCTACCTACTTAACCACTGAAGTCACCAGACACTATTACTATATCAGAGCGCCTAACTTTTTGAAGGTTAGTAAGCTGTCTGTAAAACGTATCTTTTATCTCGTCTAAGCGGCAGTCGGTGGGAGCGTAGGTAGATACGATAAAAGAGGCAACGGCGAATTTCCATATCTTTACGAGTTTTTACTGTCCGGTTTAGTCGGACAGTGAAGTCCGTATTTGGACCATGTATGCGCGTTTCGAGACAGCATACATCGATGGGGCGAGATTCTGAATTCCTAGCTACGGAAGCCTGTTGCCCTATTTGACACAATTTACGTACATTAAAAGCTCCAACATGTAGTCTAGAACGGGGTTTCAGGAGACCAGGAATAACGTTTCGTGAAGTCAAATCGTTTGCATCGGCGGTGCGAGGTAATAAACGAACGTGAGGAGGTCTAGTTGTGGAGATTAGAGAGAGATGTTAGGGGGTGTAGGAAGGATTTGATTGTGACCAATTTAACCTCGAGCGCTGTCACGGGTATGAAGGCGGACGTCAGTTCGCGGCTGCCCACACCGTGGAAGGATGTTTCTTGAGGAACCTGAAAAGGAAGTTAGATGAGTGGTGATCTTAAAGACCTGGAAGAGTGACCGAATAGCTCAAGGGACCTGCCTGTCATGGTAGGACCTAAAGTAACATATGTTCCAGCTAGTATAGTTCGGTAGGGTCATCACGACAGGCAAGCCTGATCAGCACGTCAAGGTAGCAGCTATAGTCAGTTTACTTAAAAATGAACAATTTTCAATGCTGCTTTATAATTCATATTTGAATCGTTGTCAAAAGGTCACTTTGAAGTTACACACATATATTCATTTCGTGTATCGATGAGCCTGAAGAAAACAGTTGGTTTCTGTCTGTACCCTTACGTTCAGGCTCATTCATACACAAAGTAGCCCATTAACAGGGTTACGAATCAGATATAAATTATAAATCAGCATCGAAAGAGATACACTCAATCAGATACAGTAGATCAATGATCAAAAAAATGAACACACTACAATTATTCAATGACAATAATTCATTCATTTCCATTGATTCGATTACAGTGTACAACCTTACGAAATTAAAATCATTTATTGATTGATTTATCGTTTTTTTTTTTCAAAATGTTCATCGGAAATAAAAAATACCACAAACATAATCAGTTTGTTTGAAGACTAACAACAACAAACAAGACTATGTGATAAATTTGTAAAATAATAATGTCTCATTCATGTAAATATTTTAATTTTTTAAAAAAAAGATGAAGAAGAAATGAGAAAGTAAGTTAATATATGTATAATCATCCATCAATCAATCAAATAATAATCCGAAATTGACTATTCCACTCTTCTCTTCTACATTACGTAAATGATGTTTCGATTTTTTTGTTATACATAGAATATTATACAGAAAAGAAAATCTTCACTAAATCATTTTAAAAGTATATGTATGACAAGTGATGACAGACAAAGACAAAGAGAGAGAGACAGAGTGTGTGTGTGTGGACGAAGAACAATGGATGAAAACAAAAAGAAACATGAAAATAACAATCAATAAAAAGAAAGGATTCAAAGAAAAAGGCAAATATGAAAAGAAAGAATCAAAATATTGCAGTTATTATTCAATTATTATGATTGAATTAGTTAGTTCTAATGGTTGGGTTAAAAATTGATCATGAAAATTAATATGATGAAGGCGGAACACAATAGTGTATACAGGAATTAAGAAGTGAGAAATAAGAAAGAATATTCATTAAGGCAAAACAATCAGTTCCTAATTCGCATACACGCACACACATGAACAGTGATGTGAAGAAAAACTCTAGAATAGGCAAAGAAATGAAAAATTTTGGCAATTCACCAAATATAATTTATATATCAGTTAAATTACTACTATGCATATAATCAGATCACGCATGACTGAATGTCCATAATTGGACGTATGCACAATGTGTATAGCGCCATAATACAATGAATGAAGGAAGGTGCTTTAAATAAAGTCAGGTTGAAAATGTATTCGACCAAAATATTAATACATCGAGATAGAGAGAGACAGAGAGGAAGAAAAACCCGAAGCACCGGTTACAGATATATGAATAATAATAATCATAATAATAATAAGTATTAAATTAAGGGAAAATGAAACAAGTGGACAGGACAGAAGCAGGGCGCACTTCGACATTTTTAAAATTGCTACGTTTTTTTTAATTTTTATACACAGGGAAAATGCTTCAGTTACATGATAAAAATTCCTGAAATAGTTCTTCACATATATATATATTCTTCCTCAAAAAGAAAATAGCATCAAAACAAATTAGCAACGCAAATGAAAATGATTTGAATAAAGAAAGGAGGAGTGGTTGTGTTATGAAACATGCAGTGCAGTGTATTGATGTATATGTATGTATCCTATGCGCAGAGATAGAGAATAAGTTAATAATAAAATTAAATAGACAAAAAGGGATGGTTGGTTGTCTTTTGATTGACGAATTTTTTTTTTAAAGCAGCAGATATCGATGATGAGCTGAAATTGAGAAACAAAATACAAGTAAGGTAATTTTAAACAATCCCCAAAATTGCAGCATCCAGTCGGGGGGGGGGGGAAATAGCAGCGTCGAAAGAAAATTTTTTCTCTGATTAACAAACAGATAAGAGATCACTTTCATTTCAACATGAAACAAACAAACAACTAGAGTTAGTCTGACAACTTGATAATAATAATAATAATAATAATGATAATAGTAGTAATACTAGTAGTTATTACAATCCTACATTATTTTCAAATAAACACTAAACGGTAAAGAATATTCGTAATTCGTAGTGAATGATTATTGTTGTCATTGATGCATAAAGAAATAATTTCAACAATAATTATTTATTACAAGAAGATGATGAAGAAGAAGAACATTGAGACTGAAATTACAGTGAAAAAAAGAAAAGAAAACAAAAATGACAAACAATGCAAAATTGCTCCTATCGCCGCCAGCTATAACGAACGATATAAGAGAGAACATTGGGAGAGAGAGAGAGAAAATACATTGCCATTACAAAACAAACACTCACGCACAAACACATACACATTGATTTTTTGTCAATTAAATAATTTACATATTATACGATACATAGATTGGATCTAATTTATCATTAACAAAACTATCTCTTAGCAGAATTCGTTGTTTTTCACCTGATGGATTAATTGGCACAGTTCTTGGATCGACTACAACCACTACACCAACAATCATTTGATGTTCTGTGAGTACATGCGCTGTGATTGGATGAACAAGATCCATGGCTTCATTTTCTTCACCAGCTAATTCTGCAACTACAACTAATAAATTTGACCAACTGAATACAGCACTAGAGAGAAAGAAAAAGCAAAAAAAAAATTAAAAACAATTTGTTTCAGCAACAACAACAACAAAAAAAACCTGATACGATTAAAACGATACTTTTCGTTAAATATAATGAAACAATGATTATAGTAATGAATCAGTCAGTCAGTTACAAAGTAGAACTTCGTACGTAAGTACAGCAGTTCGAATTCCATAGTGGTAGAGATAGTAAACGTATTAGCGGTTGTGGAGAAAATTAGGGTTCGCAAATATTATTCATAAAGTATAATTCAGTGAAATAAATTCATAGAGAGAATTTACAAAGATTAGAATTTCAGACAACACAAAGAGTGGATACACCTGTGCCACTGCAAACAGTTTCGAGCCATATCATTCATGGTCCCTAACCATCGATTACGATAATCTCGGGGACCCCAATCAGGTAGTCGACACCTACAGACATGACTCAGTCCACTTGTCAATGACTTCATAGATTTCTGCCATATTTTGGTTTAGCCGCCCCTAGTTTGCTTCCAACCTATTCCTACACCACAAAACATAGCTCGACGAGGCAGTCGGTGGTTAGGCATTCGCAACATATGTCCCAACCACCTCAACTGATGAAGTTTCAACACTTCATCTATTGATCTGCCATCCTTACCTAGTACTCGTATCCTAACGACAGCATTGCTTCCTCTTTTGTCCCACGATACACGAGCAATGCTTCGAAGACATCTGTGATCGAATACTAGTAACCTACGGATATCTTCTACTCTCACTAGCCATGTTTCACAATCATAAAGTAGGAAGGAGCGAACTACTGCACGGTAAATTCGTCCTTTAGTTAGCAAACGGATATCACGCCTACGCCATAAGTGACGCAGGTTGGCAAAAGCCAATCGAGCCTTCTGTATCCGTGCTGAGATTTCGTCAGTCACCAGGCCATCAGCACTGATGAGACTCCCAAGATAAGTGGAGCGGTCAACACGCCCAACTACTTCACTCCCTATCACTAGTTCAGGTGCCGATACAAGCCAACCTTGAAGCAACATTTTGCATTTCGAGGGGGGGGGGGAAACGGTATCACGAACATGCTTGCATTGTTGCTTAGGGTAGTCAGAAGGCTCTGCATCATGTCAGCATCTTCATTACATCATCGGCATATTCTAAGTCAACCGATGAATCTCCTGGTAGAAGGTCCATCCCTGGAAATTCAGACGAAGACAATGTTATCTCTAAAAGTATGTTTATGAATACAAGATATATAACAAGATCTTTGTTTTAAACACAATCTGACTATCTATGCATATATGTGAAAGATAGCTAACTAAATTTATCTGTGTCAAAAATAACAAATACATACTTAAAGTGAACTAAAGAATAACAGTCTGACAAGTACATGTAATGTAGACAGATATAGTCTGTGATAAAATAGACGTGATTTATAAATGGATATACTAATATTTTATCTAGGTTGGTAGAATGTTAAATATTTTAACCATTGTTCTTTGAAACTAACCTACATTCTTTTTTTTTAATGAATATATATTATAAATTATTATATTATTCTTAAAATGTAGACATTTTAACTAATTAATACGCTGATTTATCAAATAAAAGGAATTCGGTTAACCTGGATATTATGAAATAATAAGGATAAGTATTAGTTAAGCATCAAAATAATATGGATTACAATTAAATTTATTAAAATCATGAATCAATCATCGTTAGACCACTCACTCTATTAGAAACCTGGAAAAACACTGGACAGCTATTTCGTCCGGGCATGGGATTCATCAACAGTACGCGACGACAATTTCTGCTACTTGCAGAATTCAAACCCAGGAACCTTCAGGTGAGGGTATGCAAACTCTAATACTGATCAGATGCAGGTTTAGTGGTCCATAGATTAAGCGTTCGCGCGCAAAACCAAAGGTCCTGAGTTCGAATACTAAGAGTAACAGAGTTCGTGAACGCGCACCGCCGATGAGTCCCATACCAGGATGAAACAGACGTCCAGTACGTCTAGGTTTCTAATGGTAGGCTAACAATCACTGATTTATGATTTCGATAAAAACTAAAATCTCTATAACTCTATAGTGAAATTAAATATATACGATTCGATATGGATATTGTAAAAAAATTTGGATTATCAGTAATCATTGTCAGAAATGGATTTTTCTTTTCATAAAAACAAAATGTTGTCATTAAATAACATTAGAAAACAACTTACCATTCACATATTTTCTTATGTGAACGCATCACAGTATTTTCAATATCGATTGGATGAAAGCGCATTCCACGTAGTAAAATAGTTTCCTCTAAACTGCCCACGACAAATATGGCATCATGTAGTTCTGTTATGAAATGAAAAATAGGTATGTATATTGACTATCGTCGAGTATATATATATATATATATATATATATTACTTTAAAGGTTAATTTACTTGTATTAGTGTTTCCCAATTAAAATATAGAACTAAACTACATTACTTTAACCGAATTCATGTTTTATGCACAGCAATGATAAAAAAAGAAACATTTTGTCTCTAAAAAATGTCAGCTATTCATGTTCATACTTGTGTTGACTATTGTTTAAGCCAAAACATATTTTTATGACAAGATTATAACTATTGTCATGATCGAAGAGTTCAAGACCAGATGGTACAGGTGGCTTATTTAAAGAAGACATGATTAATTAACAAAATGTATACGCCTTATCTTCAGATTTGAATTTGCAAAACATGCAAATTCTTGGATGTTTTGTTTTTTGCATGTCTTCTAGTCTTCAAAACACTTTGATCAAGATAAACATCTGGATCCGAAACTCATCACTTGGACTGTAAGTTTTAGGTGACACTTCGTTGCACACTATTCAAAGGCACGTACGTTGAGAGTAGTATCCAGCACACTACAACATCAATTTATAAAAGTTCTTATTGGCGGATTCGGAATGTACCACATATTGGTATACTAATAAATCCCCCATTTCAGGAAGCAGTTATTCATTTGATCATCTATATGATAATGACTATTAGAAGATTGACTGAGATTATTTGTTAAATGTTTACTCAGTAAACTGACACTTCATAGGACCATGTGAAAACAAATTGATTTAATATTGACTGTATAAAAAATTCAAAGTTTTGGAATTATCAAGTTACGTTAACATATCATTTATGCTTTTGCTAACAATCGTGAAATTCGACTAAAAAATGTAAGATAGTTATTTGCATTACAGGATGTAAAAATATAATCTACAAAGCGAATGGTTCTGGATTCCAGTGCCAGAGTGAACATTAACTCCAGTATACAGGTACACTCAGCTAACGAGTCCGAAACAAGACGAAACGCGTATCCTGGATATCACTGCTACCCAACATCCATCCCTGCTAGGGTTGACCTAATGGCGATATCGACGCAATACGCACAAGGTATACAGATGCCAAATAGACTGATCAAATGTGATCCTAAACATCGATGGGGAGATTGAACCAAACTACAATGTTTATTTCAGATAGTTATCTATATGGTTCATGGTTTATTTCCTTATCTTTGAGTAGATATAACCAATCTCCCAGTTCAGGGAATATTGTTAAATTAAACTACGCTCAACATGGAATATTGAAAACAGAAAGTTGAACAAATGACAAGAAAAATGAAACATCTGAAATAAGAATTAATCGGTCAGCATTGAAACCTATTACAGATTAGAAAGACAAATTCGAAAGTGTTGACAACTATTTTAGTGCAAAAGAAGGTTTCAAGAAAAAATGAAAGTCATGAAAAACAGTATTTCATCGAAAAAATCATCAATACCATACTAAATAGTAAAAACATCTTGAAAAAAATAATAATAAACAGTCATTACCTCCATCCGATTGTGTTAATTCAGTTCGTCGAACAAAACCCAAAAATCCAGTTCTAGCGTAAACTCTTTCAGTATCACCAGTAACTAAACGAGCATGCAAAGAATCACCAACATTTGATCCTGGTAGAGGTTGTGAAGCAACACCAGTAGGACGATTTAAACTAGCACTATCAAATGGACCTAATAGTTCAGTTGAATTATGTGGAGATGATACCCATATTTCGCCTAATTGTGAATCAGCACATTGACCAAGTGTATCAGGATTAGCTATTGCAACATGTACACCAGGTAATAACTGAAGAGATAAAAAAAATACCATTGGAACAATGAAACAATTTATATCGGTCTTGTTATTAATTAGGCGTTCATGAAAAAAAAATTACACGAAAAATATCTGATAAAAATACCGATATGATTCAGTGATCTAGGGTCTTGGAACTTTGAGGATCAAGTACCTGGTGAAAATTCTTCTAACCAATGAATTTAACTCATTCATCAGAATTAGCGTTGTATATTCAGCTTTGAACCATATTGCAAGTCTGAAGAATAGTAGATGAAGCAATATACAAACGTGAAACAGTGACGTATCCAATCAGCTCCACAACACCCTTTCATATAAACTTTCAGGTCTTTTCAGCAACAAAAATGAGTAAGGGAATAGGAATAGATGTTTATCTACCTTAAGATATTTTTGTTCATATGGTTCGGAGGAAAATAAGATGAAGTTATGTGAAGATATTTTACTTTATATAGCTAATTATTTTTCAGAAGTGTGCAATTCAAGTTTTCATAATGAATATTACTAAAAATCTTGAGGTTCGATCAGTCAGTTACAACGTAGCACTTCGTATGTACGTACATTAGTTCAACTTGCCATACTACATTAGCACACAGAGATTGAATCACATACTAGTAGAGGTATTAGAAGTACTAGCGGAAATCAAAAGGTATAGGGTTGGAAGATATTATTCAAGAAGTATTATCTGGTGAAATAAATTTTAAAAAATAGAAAGGTGATAAGGAATTTAGAGGGTTAGAATTTGAGAGAACACAAAGAATGGATGCATATACGCCAATGTAAACGATTTTGAGCCATGTCATTCAAGGTTCCACCATTTGCCCTATTCGAATCTATCTAATCGTTAATATTTAAAAACTTGAGACTGTAAATAATTCAGCATGAAGATCGTAATTTAACACGGATAACAATTCCCACATTCCTAAATTGTTGACATAAATACAGAGCATACACTCACTTTTCCAGATTCCATAAGACATAGACTATGCGGTGATCCTTTTTCTAACAATTTAACACGATCATTTCGTAAACTGACACGATCCACATAAACAGTTGTACTTTCCGGTGAACTAGCACCCTATTTTGAAAAAATGTGATTGAAGAAATAAAAAGAAACAATGATCAATGAAAGATAAATAAATGTAATCTATGGTTTGAGATTTCAAATGATCTTTTCGAAAAACAAAACAGTATTTCTTTGTGTTTCTGTATGGATAATATGACGTACATTTACAAAAAAGACTGTCATGTATTTGGTAGAACCATAAAAATAGTTATCAAGAATACTGGTAAAAATGATAAAAGATACATATTTATTTGAAATTTAGTAAGCAACTAGTCTTTATCTCACCCAAACACAACCGATCTAATCAGTCAGTCAGTCACTTACAACGTGGAACTTCGTACGTACGTATATCACTTCAACTTGCCTTACCACATTAGCACAGAGACGCGATTGTCAGTTCAAATCCCATGGTGGTAGAGAGAGAGAGTGTAGAAGTATTAGCTGTAACCGGAAACATTAGGGCTCAAAGATATGATTCACAAAGTATAATTCAGTGAGATAAGTTTAGAAAGACAAAAGGTAACTGAGAAGTAACATCCACCCTCATACACGTAACAACATAAGACACCAAATCAGTCAAAATCAATAAGATCTAGTTTTATACAAAAACTTTTTTCATTGTCTATTAATTAATAATACAACAAGGTTTGACTTGGTAAAAAAAAAATTTCATGAATTCAAAATAGAAAAGTTCAAACATACTATACTACAATTAATACTGTCTAGTATAACATACTTACTGTTCAATATAAAAACGACAAAAAGGGAATTATCCACTTTATATATATATATCATAAAATTTATTATAAAAAATTAATATTTAGACTAGATAGAATTCATTGAATTATTAACGATAGTATTACTGTTTTAATTATTATTATTATTATTAACAAAAATCTATTTTACGTGATTATCATGTTTTGAGAAAAAAAAATAGTTAAATCTTATTAGACATTTAAACTAGACTTATTAGAAATAGAATTTTTTTTAGATAAAAGTTTTTTTCCCGTCTACGAAAAATTTAAACGGGTGTTTCAGTATTCTCTGGGTTAATAGTTTATGATAATGAATAAAGTAATAGTGTGGATTAGTTTTTGTTTAGTTAGTTTAGTATAGTTGAAGGTATAATCAGTTACTTTGAGCTACTACTGTGGTGAAGGTGGCTGTGTTATACTCCGAAACTTTGTATATCGCTCGTCCTGATAACCCTCATTAGATAACGACTAACGGTGTATACATTAGAAGATGAATGTGGGGCGTTGAATATGTTTATTATCGCAACACACACACAGATCACAAAATCACAGGCTCACTGGCTCGCTCACTTACTCTCGTTGGTACTCTCATGTCACTGGCACTTTCGTGTCGTATGTCTGTGGTTTTGTGAACTGTGTGTGGTGCGATGATAAACGTATTCAATGTTTTGTATTAGTCTTCTGATTTATACACCGGTGGGAGGTTATCAGGACGATAAATTTACGAATTTTAGGAGTATAATAATGCAACCAACCAACTGCACCAGACTACAAAGAAAATTGCATCTTATGTATTGAAGATAAGTAGTTGTAAAAGGCATTCACAAACTGAATAAGGGAGAAAAGTAGTTAATATTGTTACAATAACATTTAAATTTATATCAAGACAAGAAACATAATTTATCATATGAGTTAATCAAGAAAAGCTAAAGTGGAGCCTGACAAAACTAGGTATCAGCTTAAACTGTCTTACCACATTGTCATAGTCAGACAGACAGATAAATAAGCCAAGGAGTAAAAATCAATATGGTATAGAAAATGGTAAAAAAAAAGACAGCTTGACATTAGATATATGATTCGCTAACCCAACACACATCAATCGTTGAATTTAGTTGATAGTAAGTATTAACCGAAATTAACCGATCAAGAAACGAGCCAATCACGATTACAGAGTACTATCCTCATGTAAGGAAAATAATAATGGACATACCTGTAACGATATAGCTAAATTGACTCGACAACCAAATGAAGTGCTCACAGCACGTCCTGTTAATCCCAGATTAGAAAACAATTTAGTGAACATAGCAGTCAAATGAATTCGAGGACGTTCTTCAGCTACAACAACTAAACTTCGAATACTTGACAAACTTATTTCACGTTGCTAAAAAGATAATAAAAACCAAAAGTAAAATTCAGAAAAATTAAAGATTAGATACTTCTAAATATGTTTTTAAAATAGAGAGAATAAAAAGGCTTGTAAAATGTAATTTAGAAATTTAAGATCTAAGGGAAGATAAAGAGCGGATATACACGTGCGACAGTGAGGATGATTCTTAGCCATATCACTCACTCAAAGCCTGTAAACGTTGATTATAGTATACAGATCCCAACCAGCTAGTCTACACCTGCCTACATGACTTAGTCTAGTAGTTTTTGTCTTCATGGACTGACTCTAAGTTTTGGTTTGACAGCCCTGAACTCTCATTCAACCTACCCAAACAATCAACTATCATCGCGTGTTAAGGTGATCGATAGACGGGCACAAATTATTAATGCCGTAATCATGGTAATTGATAGAGACTCACTGCCTCGTCAATCTATTTTCCATACTTACATCTAATAGTCAATCAGTCAGGAACGAAGTAGAACTCGGTACGTATGTATATCACTACAAATTGCTATACTACATTAGCAACTTGAATTGATGCGCGTACGTACCTATACCTGATACTTTTGAATTGCTAACCCAGTTGTTTGAAGCTTAATGTGCAATTGTACAAATCATCATCATCATATTGATACACATAATTAGTGGTATAGAGACGAAAGTAAATATATGTTCACCACACAAATCATCGGATTCTCTTATCGACTGAGATACTATTTGGGTGCATGAACTAGACTACATTGTGAGCTTTGATCCAAGATTTTAATCCACAAGGCAGTGGAGCAACGTCAGGAGATGCAGTCCCATCATAAACAATGAACAACAATAGTTCATACGCTATTCCCTTCGTCAGGATACTGGAACCCATGTGCACTACTGGTGTGGAACCCGGGTTTCACGACCCCCCACAGAGATCCTCCGTACCCAATATCCTGATAAAGCGCTGGACATACGATTTTTGTGCTCTTAATTTCGTGAACAATACGTGTGCCACGAGATGGTGAATACGACCTCCCCAACAGTGACTATAAACGCGTTGTCATATGAGAGCTTTCCCTGAGAGAGAGCTAACTTTCAGCACACTTAGTTGTACTAAAACATCATCCAAATGCCTAACACATATACATTTATCAATCAAGTAAATAGAAAACTAGAAACAAGAATGAATAAATTCCCACTGAAAAAAAATCTAGAAACTATTTCTTGTCACGTAAATAATTATTTACACATAAAAATCAATAATCTAATCAATTTATTCAACACACTAGAAAAATTCATTTGTGCAATTGTTCAAGGGGCATATATATAATATCCATATATATGCAAAATAAATAAAACGAATTTTTGTTTTCACTAACCTTTAAAATAGACATTTGTTTAGTCAAATAACGTGTAGCTAGTTCCATGGTATAATGTGAACAGAATACATCACGAACTAAAGAGATCAATGTGAATAGGATAGATAGTTAAATAAATCAGAGTAAACAATAACAGTTTAATAAATTCAGTATTTAAAGAAAAAATCTATTGATATTCATCTCTAAAAAATTATTCAGGATTTATAAGTTTCGAAAAAGCATATAAATAAGATTGTAATTCTTTGAAAACTAAAAGGTTGAGGAGTAAACATTGAGTCGTACATAGGTTGTGTAAAGACTAGTGCTGATTACAATCGATTGTGTAAATTGAAGTAGATGAAGTGACGAGGGTTCGAAAATGTAATTATTCGGCTGAAAATTGAGAGCTTTGAAGACTAATTTCACTAATTTTCATAAAAAATAGTAATATTTCACATTTGAATTCATCAATCAATCATTGTTAGACCACCACTCCTGCTCCTCGCAGGAGTCGAACCCGGGACCTTTGGCATTGTAGGCGAACGCCTTACCATCGGACCACTGGGCCGGCATCCAACGGTGTTAATGTCTAACTTTGATTGATCTAGGGATTTTGCGCGACCTCACCCATTTCACACAAAAAAGAGAAAATTTATACTACAATCATTTAAATATAGAAGTAACTAGAAAATTCTTGTAACAACTGCTTCTAACTGAACCATTTTACAATGAATTTCGTATTACAGAATAAGCTTGATTGCATTAAGTTTACTTGTCCTTCGTTAAGCGAAAATAAAAAGTTTAATAGACCACAGGTAACAACGAGGTGAATACGTGTATGCGTTACTGACGAGCAGCAAAAAACCAATATGGATAATATGTAATGGGCAAATCTTTTAGGGTCAGTTTTCTTGTAGATATTTGAATGGCACTTAATGTATGCCTAAACACTATTTATATTTACAGGATTGTTTTTATGTTAACAACAAGTTAAGTAACTAAAAGTGACTAATCATTGAAAGAAAACACACATTTAAGCAGTATCAAATAAAACAGACACACGTAACAAATTAGTTCACTACCGGTCAATACTTCATTTCGATGAAAGAAAAAGACAGATCCTAAAATGAAATTCAATAACTAACACGACCATTATAGGTCACTATATTGTCGTTGGTCAATAATAATTACAACTAGACATTTAGTAAACTCATTTAACAAATAAGTGAGCCATCATCAGAATAAAAAAGGATGGAAGCTAAGGTGTTTTAGAAGACATGTGAAAGAAGAAAGGAGAACTACCAAATCCACCATCCACAAGATTCAAGTATTCATTAACAGTTGTTTACGCCAAATATTTTAGATCTGTTGCCCAGACACCATCAGCAACAATCTACTGTGGGAAAAAAGAAACCAGATTCCAGTGGAGGAGGAAATCAGGAAGAAGCGGTGGAAGTGGATGGGACACACACTGAGGAAAGCACCCAACTGCGTCACAAGACAAGCCCTCACGTCAAAAAGAAAAGAGGAAGATCAGGAAACACATTACGCCGAGAAAAGGAGCCAGATAAGAGAAGAATGAACAAAAATTGGACAGAACTGGAAAAGGAGGCCTAGAGACAGAGTAGGCTGGAGAAAGATGGCCGACGGCATATGCTCCATTGGAGGTAATAGGCGTAAGTAAGTAAAGTACTTATATATTTTGCTAATAAACTGAAAAAAAGTAAAAGAAATTTAAAAAAACTGGTGACAGGAATTACCTTTTCTTTGACTACATATTGTAAGCCATAAATCAGGTACCACTTCTGTAACATTTGGAGGTATCAATACTGAATGATGTCCACAATAGACAGATGTTAATGTCCATAAAGTGAATCCAAGACCAGAATAAGGATCAAGACTAAGTACAACTTCACGAGTTGGATAAAATTCACATTGAATTTTTTGAGCTTGACATAATGCATAGACAACTTGGTGGGTTACACGAATTCCGGTCAATGTACCTGAAAATTAAAAAAAAAGTGACAGTTGGACATATATTCAAGGGTTGTATTTGATGCAGTTGTAGTTGAACACTGTTGAGTTACATATTGGAATGAAACAACTATCCAGGGCTTCATAGTATTCAGTGTATGTTTAAGTTAGGTTATCTTGTAGTGTGAATAACGTTCATCATTCTTAACAAAGTCTTAAACGTACAGTTTTGATTTGTTATTAAACCAGAACAACATATACAGAGTAGATCATCAGTACTAAAAACCTTCATATCTCAGATTACAATTATAAAATAATAGGAACTGGGAAAATAGAAAGTTCGTTTTATGGATCGATAAAAACAGTGGTGCTCATTTTCACTTTTGTTTTAAACAGCAAGCAGAGCAATCGTCGCGGTAATAAAGTTATTACATGTATTACAACCACGGTAGAAATGAATATCGGTCTAAATTATCCCAATAAACATTCATTCACATAATATGCGGTAATTAAGAGGCTACATGGAGAGTAGTTTTAAACAAAAGAAAAAAATTTGAGGAAATGAAAAATAAATTTACAAAATACAATTTCCATTTTTTGATAAACGTCATTCAGAAAATCTGAACCTGAAGAATGAACACCAACAAAGTAGAGCAAATTTGTGGGGGAGTCAGTTAGTTGCAATGTACTTAAGTACGAAGTTGTTCTACGTTGCAACTAACTGACTCCCCCACAAATTTGCGCTACTTTGTTGATGTTCATTTCATCAGGTTCAGATTTTCTGAATGAAGTTTATCAAAAAAAAAATGGAAGTTTGACTTTCGCTAATAATGAAAGAGCTTTATAATTAGCTAGTTTAACATTCTGTAGTGTCTGTCACCTAGAGCTAAACGATCAATTGATTTTGTTCACCAACAAACCGGAATCATGAAGCAACAACACATAAAAACAAAAAAAAAAACCGATTAGTTAAAACACATATCATGAACCACTATAATATCGATACAAATTTAGTGTTACAAATCATTTAACAGAATTCCATTGAACTTTATTCATAGTCTCAAACTTGTTCGTTCATACACACACAGCAACAAAACCCATTAGTAAAATAAATCAATCAGCTTGATCATTGCGTACAAAATAGTTTATTCATCCTTTCAATTCACCAAGAGCTTATTCATTTCCGTTACAATCAATGGTTCTTAAAATCTTTAATTCTATTCAATTTTACTTTATGCGACTAACTGCACGTGATCTAATCATTTATCTTGATAAAATTTGATATGACATAATTTTCTTTGCGCTAGTTTTTATTCATTGCAAATTAGTCAATTCTATACTCATAACACTCAATAATGATATTCAGTCATTTTTTTTTTATAGTCTGATTCACACACTGTAATGAATTTTTGCACTGAACTGATAAAATTGTCTTGTGTTCTCTCATTGAATTTTGATCTGATTACAAACCGTTTTAGCTTTGAACTGTAAAACGTGTTGTATCATTATTAGTGTTGAGCTATTGAGATGAGGAGCTTAATTAAACAGAAGTATGTCTGTTCAGCTTTTTAATTAGAATAAAAAATAATAATTTCAATAATTAACATTATTATTGATTGAATAAAATAAGCACACATACACACACAAAAAAAACAATGTATCCATTATGCAAATGTAGTGAGTTAGTTTCGTAATTACATTATATTTTATTTTTTTTATAAAAAAAGGGTTATGAAGTCACTTGTCAAACAAATAAATAAAAACACATAATGTATCAAACGTCGAAAATAATGACCCCAACAAAATAAAATAATAATAACAATAACAATAACACTAAAGCACATGATATTGATCAAATGTTGTGTTCAGCGAAATGATGAATTTACTAACAACAAAATACAACATTTTGTCATAGAAATGAATTTAAAATACTTTTTTTGTGTAGACGTTCAAACACAAACACAACTCATTCACATGATACAAACTGAGAGATTTTAGTCAGTTAGTCAGCTACAATGTACAACTTCGTAGGTACGTACGTACGTACGTACAGACGTACATGCATCAGTTCAAGTTGACATACTATATATTAGCACAGAGATGCAGTAGTCAATTGAAATCCCATAGTAATAGTACAAGTAGAAGATGTATTAGTGGTCATCAAAAAGATTAATGATCGAAGATATCATTCGAGTGGTATATCCCCCACAGGAATCAGTTCAAAAAATGAATTGTTTTATTTTAATTCCAGTGGATTTGTTAGAAAAGAGAGAGAAAACAGAGGAGAAATGTGCAATACACAGTAGCTTTCTAGCAAATATAGTCTTCAAATCTTGGGATATGTATATCATTAACATTATGAACTAAATCATTTAAACAAATCATTAGGGAAGTGTTCCAAACTAACATACGTCATGAGAACGTAGTATTTAGCATCTTGTAGTACTGTAACTAATGAATGTAAGATGGTCTAATTTAATGTTCACAAAGACTGATTATTGAGCAGTAACTAGTATCATGCTTGTGTAGTCATTAGACAGTAGTCGACTACACCAAATTGTAATAATGTAACTTCAGTAGTCTGAGTGACTCGGCATTGTATGCACATATGTTTGGTGGTGGAATATAGTCGGAATGAAACCATGAACTTCGGATTTTGTGCTAACAAGAATTAGTCAGCAAACTGTACCTGGAATAATTGACAGAAATCAATGCTCACCTGTCAAGGTTAAACTGGCATATCAATCAACAATCAGTATATAAAGTTAGATAACACAAACGATAAATAATGATGAGCCGTCAAAGAATGAACTTTGAACGGGATCTCCAGTTACAGTTGCAGAGTTAGTGCAGTGTAACAGCCAATCAATCAATCAACGTTCAACTGGCATATCAATCAACAGTCAATATATAAAGTTACATAACATAAACGAAAAATAATGATGAACCAAAGATTAAATCATCAAAGAATATAGTTTGATTGGGATCTCCAGTTACAATTAGAGAGTTAATACAATGCAATAGCCGATCAATAAAAACAATATACATATATGCTATTTTTCCCAAGAAATTATACTTCAGTTATAAAGTAGACAATTTTTAATTCACTAGATAAGTTTATCATTAGGTTGTATATAAATTAACTAAAAATCATTGAAACAAACCTGTTGTTGATGCAGCAAAATCTAAATAAGCAATTGGTTGATCTAAACAAGGTGTTTGGATAGTGAAATTAGATTTTCGACGATTGTATTCTTCCGAATCAAGTATAATTGGCCAATGATTAAAGGGAATACGATTAATAGCCTCCTAAAAAAAGTTTCAAGAGAAAATAATTTGAAGAAACGAAATCAACTTCTTTTTGTAGTAAAAGAAAACCTAAAATGTTAAATCATAACTACATAAAAACAAGTTTTAAGCCTGATTAGTACGCATAACAATGAAAACCTTGTCCATTGAGTTCAACTTTATTTTTCAGTCTGGTTAAATTACGGCAAATTCATTGTGCGAATATAGTTGAAAAACTTAATACATTGACAATATAACACAACTAGTAAAACAAATTTTCCAGACACATACACGTATTAATAAATATTATATATATATATATATATATATATATATATATATATATATTTCACGAAATAATATAACATTTAGCTGTCATTTATCTAGCACATGGAGCCAATTAATAACACTATAAAACGTTAAATTCGGTTTGCCTTTAGTAAAATCAAATTATTTGACTGAGCTATCTTGTATGTGAACTGTTAACAAAAAGAGAATAAATAGGAGATATTCGTCTGACACACTTAACGATTCTAAGTTCAAAGTTAGTCTGGGATATACAACTATTGGAAGAATTTATATTCTTTGGTGATAGATAGCTACAGGTGATCAATAAACTTTCCTCCAAATCTTTCTTTTTCTGGGTATATATATACATATATCATAGCAATCACTGAGTATAGAGCGATGTCAAATGCATATAGTCCTAAAGTGTTCAGCTAATTTTATTGATCGAGTTGTAAAATGACCAATAGCTTTAGTGAAGCGACATCGCCTGCATATGTTGAAATTTTAGATAGTTGCAGGTAATCAACTGCATTTAATAGACTAAGGTATCATGATAGCAAAGTACGATGGCAATGGTGAGTAAACTGACATTCCGAATGGGATTCAAATCAGCATCAGCCAGTCTCATAGTTTTAGATACTGTCATTGTGAAACTGGGAGCATGAATTTTCTCAAGATTCCGAGTGCAGTTTGATGATATGTTCCAATTAGAAAGAAACCCAAATTTAGGGTTTGGATCCTCAAAGTTTAAACTGAGAAATAACAAGTTGAAGATTAAACATACTAGATATGAGAACATAATCTAGACAGATTAAAACAAAATTTCAAACAAATAATGCTTAATCATTGAATAGAAACAAATAAATATGATAGAATAATATTTCTACTAACTTTAGATTTCAATAATTTAATTAAATTATTTTGTGTGAAAATCACTGTTGCTCCTGAATGCTTGACAACATTCCATATTAAATCCAATGCACTGTCTAAACTTGGAGTATTCGGTCGAAAATATACATTAGGAAAACTTCCAGTACCAGAAGATAATTGACTAGCACTACCAGTAACTGGTGAATTCCCATTACAACCACCACCACCACCTCCTAAGCCTAATAAACTTAAACCGGATGATGATCCTGAACCAGGTGGTCCAGTTAATAGACCAAGAGGACTAGAACCAATTAGAGCAGCAGCAGCACCACCAACCCCACCACCACTACCACTATGCGTTGATGATGAAGAGTCTACACGAGGTGGACGTACCGGTACTGGTATGGCACCAATTAGAAGACAAGCGTAAAATGCACAAACAAGTTCAGTACCTGTGAAAATATATATAAACATATAAAGAAGATAAACAGTAAAAATAAAATGAATCATGACATGATATAATACACTAGTGATAATAAACTATTCTACTTGATCTAGTCAAAAATACAATGAAATAACTGAATGTAACACATTTTTTTTTGAAAACAGAAATGTCACGAAAAAGAAAACAAAATAGAAAATATTTAAAACTTGGAAACAAACCATAAAGTATAAATTATGGAAGTAAAAAAAAATGAATCAATTCAGATACTGCTGCTTCTGGAATAAATCAATTTCTAATTATATATGAAAAAAACCCAGAATGGATACTCTTTCAGAAATATTTAATACCATCAAGAAAAAAGGAATTATTCAATGCAGTGATAGTTTAATAGTTAATGTCATTGTCCATCGTTTGCAATGGCGCAGGTGCATCCACTCTTTGTGTTCTCTCTAATTCTAACCTTCTGAATTCCTCATAATCTCTATCTTTCTCCTTCTAAATTTATCTTGCTGAATTATACTTCTCGAATCATATCTTCGCTCCCTAATCTTCTCCATTACTGCTAATAAATACTTCTATTATCGCTATCACTCCTGGATTTGAACTGACAGTTGCGTCTCTGTGCTGATGTGGTATGGCAACCTGAACTGATGTACTTACGTACGAAGTTCTGCGTTGTATCTGTCTATCTGTCATTGTCCACTATTAATATGACTGGTCAACATCACAGTTACAAAACATATTCTTTTCTATAGTACAATTAAAATAGGGGATTTATCAGAGAATACACTTATAGAATTTTGATCACAAAGTAATTACTACGATAATTATGAAGTATAAAATGCTTCACATCATTTCACATGAATAACAATGGGAAATATTGATTATACTGACGGCCTTGAAATAGGTATAATCCGTCAATCAAGGTGAACTTGAAGTGAGATTTACAAAAGGGAATCGCCGATACACTGTTACCGGAAACCTTTACTCCACAAGATTAAGTGTTTTGTCCCATTTCAATGATAATATCATCAGAGATTACAAAGAGAACATTGGAATATAGAGAAAAAAGACCTTAGAAAACGGTAGTCAGGAAACAGCACAGAAAAAAGCCAAAAAATGCAGAGATAAATTTATTTTCAGATTCCTTCCTACATTCAGATGTTAAATGCTTAGTTTTGGGATAATATACTTAGCACAGTAGCATTTCAAAAACATAAGTCTCTCGTAATTCAGCTGAGTTTTCTGTAAACTCTATTTTATTTACGAAAGCCACATCCTGATTGCGCAAACTTTCAACAGTTAATCCCATAGTTGCTCTTAAAATTGCCCAAGGTCATCTGTGTAGTTTGGTTCTACCAGAAAATCAATATTATTTAGAAAGGATTAAGCCTAAGTACAAGCATTTCAATGTCTGTATAGTCTGAGGTTAATAGATTTTACCCTTGGTCACATTTTATACATTTCGCTATAAAATTAGGGTATTTTTGTAGGTCAATTCGATAATCAGTGAAATATATACAGTTTATAATAAATTTAAAAACTATGTATCTATGTCCCTAGAATTTATGAAACTAATTAAACCGACAGTTGAATATTTAACATGATGCTAATAATAATAATGTTGCTCGATCTATTATTGATTTATCCGTAGATTTTTGAAATTACACGATGATGCGAATAAATGAAACTAAATTAATCAGATTGTTTGAAAGACAACACAAACTGATGATTTATTGATAATATATGAAGTTTATTCAAAAAGGATAACTAGTTTGTAACATTTTTTTAGAAAAAAACATGTTATTTTTTTGAGTACATTTGATTTGATCATTATGAATATCAGATGTATCACATGTGAGATAATTTAGTTCCGCAAATTTTTTTTTCAAATCTCATTTATAAGCAAAAGAACCGATATCACCGTCCTTTTTCCATTATCGAAGTTGTAGATTAATTTGATTTCAGTTATTTCAGATCTCAATCTATGTGTACGTCTATTTCCTAGATTGATCCTATTGTGTAATGAGATTAAAGTGAATACATGATACACGAAGTTGAATAGCGAATACTCTGGGAATAGATAAACTTGATTTGAATTAATCTAGCAGATCAAATGTCAATCAGTTACAACGTAAAACGCCGTACGTGCATACATCAGTCCAAGTTACCATACAACATTAGCATAGAAACGCAATCGTCAATTCAAATCCCATTGTAGTAGAGGTGGTAAAAGTAATAGCAATAATCGGAGATATTAGGGTTCGACGGTGTTTTTCAAGAAGCAGAATCTAGTGAAATAAACTTAAAAGGAGAAAGGCGATGAAGAACTCCGAAGGTTAGGATTTGACAGAACACAAGGAGTGGATGCATCTGAGCCATTGCAAACAATTATGAGCCATGTCATTCAAGGTCTCTAACCATCGATTACTATCATCATATGCATTAACTATAGCGATTTCAGATGTTTTTTACATTTTTTTACTTACGCCTGTTACCTCCAATGGGGCATAGGCCGCCCACAAGTTTTCTCCAACCAACTCTGTTCTGGGCTTCCCTTTCTAGTTCTTTCCAGTTTGCGTTCATTCTTCTCATGTCTTTCTCTATTTCTCGGCGTAATGTGTTCCTTGGCCTTCCACTTTTCATTTTGCCTTGAGGGTTCCATGTGAGGGCTTGTCTCGTGAAGCAGTTAGGTGCTTTCCGCAATGTGTATCCTATCCACTTCCCCCGCTTCTTCCTGATTTCCTCCTCCTTTGGAATCTGATTAGTTCTCTCCCACACTACGTTGTTGCTGATGGTGTCTGGCCAACGAATACGAAGTATTTTGCGTAGACAGCTGTTAATAAACACTTGTATCTTCTGGATGATGGCTTTGGTAGTTCTCCATGTTTCCGCTCCATACAGTAGAACTGTCTTCACATTTGTATTGAAAATCCTGATTTTGGTTTTGTTTGAAAGTTGTTTGGAGTTCCAGATATTTTTCAACTGTAGAAATGCAGCCCTAGCTTTGCCGATCTGCACACTCACATCTGCATCCGATCCACCTTTCTCGTCGATGATGCTGCCCAGATATGCAAAGGTGTTAATGTCCTCCAAGGCATCTCCATCAAGAGTGATTTGGTGGGTGCATGTTGTGTTGCATTGGAGAATTTTGCTTTTTCCTTTATGTATGTTGAGACCTACTGCTGCAGAGGCTGCTGCTGCACTGGTCGTTTTCTCTTGCATTTGTTGTCGCATGTGAGATAGAAGAGCCAGGTCATTTGCGAAGTCCAGATCGTCCAGCTGCGTCTTAACTGTCCAGTTGATACCGTGCTTCCCTCCAGATGTTGACGTCTTCATAATCCAGTTGATCACGATTCCACATGTGATATATGATATGTTGTTACGTGTTATGATGGCATTGATTCAGGAATACTAATTGTAATGTGAATTATTGAGTGGTTGTATATAATTCCAAATATTTAATGGAGAAGATAGACACATATAAAACAGCCATATGTATAGAAAAAATTATGCATCGATAAATACTCATAACTAAATCATTCAAGGTAAGATTAAAAAAAATAGGCAATGAATAGGATTAATAAACCGCTAAATATGCATATCACATGATTGTTTAGTCTCTCATTATTATAAAGCTTGTACAAGCGTGTCTAATGAATTCATCATGGGTCAAATTACAAATTGAGGTAAATGTACAATCTGTAAATCTTAACAATAACATCACCTCAACAACTTGTCTGTATTCTTCACTTACATTAAAAATACATAAATATATATTTACAAATTACACTGTCAAAAATAATTATTACTGAGAATAAGAATCCAAATAATTATCCTGTATTTTTGCGTAAGCAGAAAAATATAAACACAGTCAGTCTGTTGACGGTGGTTAGTCGATTTCCAACATGAAATAAACCATGACCAAACGACTATCTATCTTATTCAATATCTTTTGATTTGTGTATTATTACACCAATGATAACACAAGGATAATACTATGATGATACCCTCAATTAAGTAAAATATTTACTTTTTTTACATTTAATAAAAATAACCTACCTGGAGGATAGAGTAAAGCAACAATTGTTCCTAATTGAGCTTTACCTTTTTCTTTCAATTGAGCTGCTAATCGTTCTGAACGACGTAAAAGTTGACTACAAGTAAGTGTGGAAGCTTCTTGTCCTTTAGTATTATAAACAGTAAATAATCTATCATCTGGAGTATGATTTGCTCGATGAATCAGTATTTCAGTTAACAGTTGAAACTTTAGTTTTTTTTTCAAACAAAAAAAAGTAGAAAGTAAAAAAGTCAAGTGTATGGTTACATCAACATTTAGTTCTCAGAAAAAAAAATATATATATATACATGTACGTAAACACATTTACAAATCAGCATTCAGCAGCTAGAACTACAACACTAGTAACCAAATATCGAAATTGGTAAAGTGATTTTTGATTTGTAGTTCTAGTGTGACATGCGCTTTTTGAGCCAAATAGATGATGAGATATTTAAACTTGTAATTAGACAACTGATCGTTCTATTGAAAATCATTAACTACTACTATACAGTAAATAGAATTATAACAAACTAATAAAAACAGCTATTTTCATGTTACACTAGAGATAATGAAGCAATCTCAGTCAGTCAGTGGGTTACAACGTAGAACTTCGTACGTACGTACGTATATCACTTCAAATGCCATACCACATTAGCACAGAGACGCAACTGTCAGTTCAAATCCAAGAGTGATAGCAATAATAGAAGTATTAGCAGTATTGGAGAAGATTAGGGAGCGAAGATATAATTCGAGAAGTATAATTCAATGAGATTAACTTAAAAGGAGAAAGAAAAAGGTGATGAGGAATTCATAAGATTAGGATTTGAGAGAACACAAAGAATCAATGCATTTGTGCCATTGCAAACGATTTTGAGCCATGTCATTTAAGGTCTCTAACCATCGGTTACTAATGTCTCACAGACCTCATCCAGATAGCCTAGATCTACCAACATGACTCAGTCCACTTGTCAGTGACTTCATAGATTTCTGCCATGTTTTAGTTTGGCCGACCCTAGTTTCCTTCCAACCTATTCCTACATCGCAAAACATAGGTCGACGAGGCATTCGGTGATTACACATACGCAACACATGTCCCAACCAGCTCAAGTGATGAAGTTCCACTACTTCATTTGCCATCCTTACCTAGTACACGTTTTCTAACAACAGCATAGCTTACTTGGTTGTCCCACGATACACGAGCAATGCTTCGAAGACATCTATGATCGAAAACTAATAACCTACGAATACCCTCAACTCTTACCGGCCATGTTTCACATCTATAACGTAGGACGAAGCGAAATGCTGGTGGTCTCACACTGATCGAATCATGATTTCAAAAAAGAAGTCAACAAAGATAAGTTTCTTTTGAGCTTCATCAATCCTTCTATACAAAATCATTAAAACGTAATATATCAGACAAGAGTTTACTAACTATTAAACTATTCTGGCCACTTTCTACAAACTTACAGTAAAAAACAGTTTTAATCAAGATAAACAATCTCAGTGTATCGGTGTTGACACAAGCTAGCTAATATATCTAGTTGTCAGTCATAAATCGCAAACTAGTATGCAATTTGTTATAGAATTAGGAATTTCTGTGTGAACAAATTCCTTCACACACACACAAACTGCTTAATCCACTCAGATCAAGTTGTACCTGGTATTTTCGTTAGGTGTACGTAAAATCACGATGGCATTGGTTTAATCTAGTCTAACACCAAAACTACTAGAATTCAGACTATTGCTTTTATCATAAAATCACAGAAGACAAATTTAAAGCTGTGCAAAGTTCAAAGCGAGTAAATTTAACATCAACAATCCGTATAACTTACTCCATTATCAGGTGAACTTGAAGTTGTATTAGAAGATGAGGATGATGAACCTAAAGGTCTTCCACGTGCCTCTGCAAGTCGAACTCCTTGAACAACTTGACCAACCATCATAGCTGACGGTCCAACTAAACTAGGTCTGAGTTGTCGTGGTTGAGGTAAATTTTGTATAGCCGAATGAGGACAAAGGAGTAATGCTGTAGGATGTAAATGTCCTTCAGAAAAAAGTTTTTTCACAGCATGACAATTTATCCCACCAAAAGGTGTCTGTTGTAGAAAAAAAAAACAATGAAAGAATCTATTTATATCCTGTAAATAAAGTCAGAAATTCACCATTACACATAATATATATTCCTCATACCGAAGCTTAAATGCAACATTTTGAAGGAAATAAGTAGGAACTGACAAAACATTGAATAAAATGCCACTTTTTAATATTTCATTCAAGTGTACATTAAATGAAAGTGTTAAGATCAATCCCAAATAAAAACCATTGAATGAAAATATTTATCGGATATATAGGGAAGTGAATAATTACTTTTCATGGAATGCAGAGGAATAAAAGTTACACAAATAGATAACTAGATATATAAACGATTTTATAACCTGCAATATATATTCGCTTATAAATTATGTTATGATTAACTATACCAAAAGTAATTTTGAGATAGATTAAAGCAAGGTCACCAAACAAAAGCGTCCTTGGTCTATAAGCCAGAGATCCATGAATTTTAACTCCACCTAAGGCTCTTCTAAATGAATGCATAGTTCGACTATTCATCCCTATTCATATAGACCGACAGACATTACAGGAAGTGATAAACTTAATCCGATATGATAATGTTACATGTAATTGTTAGACAAAAACCCAAATAGAATAAAAAGCTTTGTTTGTACAATAAATTGAAGCAAACATGTCTACAAACCTACATGAAGAAAAAGAGAAAATAGAATTATCTCCTTTTAAAGATAGAGTTGAAAAATTTTCTCAAAGAAAGAATTAAAAATATGTTTAGTGTTATGTTCGTCACTAGGTACTCTTGAAGCTATTACGAGTTCACCTTAGTCGATAAACGCGAACGAGACAATTACCAACGTTCCGGTAGGCTACCTTGAATCCAAAGCTGTAAAACAGAAGTGTTGGTAAGCGTAGGAAGTATATTCTACAACACCTAGTAATCACAATACAATCAAGCATACATCTCTCGTTTATTTATACATCATAGAAACGTCCTTGGGACAGTTACGAAAATAGCACACTAAAATACACAGCAGCCAATCACAGCCATGGAAAATAATCATCTATAAGAATAGTATGAGTCACTATATATAGTTAAACTTTTATAGAATATTGAAATAAAAAGGATTTCCTATTACAAAGTGTATAAACATTGCCAGATTATTTAACGATCGATTCCACAATGATTTCCTTAGTTAAAATTGTTCATTATTCAAATTATTCTTACTAGGTTGAAATCTTGAGAGTAGCAGGAGTTGTGGATGCGCACTGCTGATAAGTCCCATACCAGGACGAGATGGACGGCCAGTGCTTCCTGGTTTCTAATGGTAGTCTAATAATGATCGACTGATGATTTCAACATTCTTACTTAATTTTCGTGAGCAAAACTTCAAATAATAATTATCGTGAATGATACCTATACTAAATACCTATATGTTTTAAACAAAGTTATTCACAGCTCAGAGAGATGAGTCGTAAAAATTCACCTCATAATGATATACACACACAAACAAAACGAAGATATGAAGTGAAAGGATTTGCATATCTGGTTTAACGATAAGTGGACTGAGTCATGTTGGTAAGCGTAGACTACTTGGTTGAGGTCTGCGAGACGAAAGTCACCAATGGTTAGAGCTCCTGAGCGACATGGCTTAAAATCGTTTACAATAATGCAGGTGCATTCATTCGTGTTCTCTCAAATTCTAGTCTTCTGAATTCTTCATCACATTGAGTTATCTCACTGAATTATACTTCCCGAATCATATCTTCAAACCCGAATCTTCTCCATTAATCCTAATACTTCCACTATCTCTACCACTATTGGATTTGAATTGACAGTTGTGTCTCTGTACTGATGCGGTATGGCAACCTGAATTAATGTACTACTCATGTACGAAGTTCTAAGGTGTAACTGACTGACTTAACAATAGTTTCATTATTGTTTCAGTGTATATATACTCTCCAATTACCTACTACAGACACGTTGATTTAATAGGTAGGTATAGTTACAAAATAAATAAACGGGTATTATTTAGTTGGCAGTCACAGTATGCAAATCATCGCTCATGAGAGCATGATAACTTAAGTGTTCATAACACAAAATGCTGCTTTGTGTGTGCATGAAAACCAAAGAAAAAAAAGAATCCATTACAACCTCGAATAATTTATTTCTTGATCAACAAAAAAAAACAAAAGAAGTTAAAGTTCATAAAATAAATTAACAAGTCAATAATTATTGATTTGCTTTTTGGTTGGTTGTTATGAAAGAAAAAAAATAAAAAGGCAACCTTGTGTTTAATTATCAATAAACATGGGATCTATGAAGTGAACAGGAGTGTAAGAGGAAAATCCATTTGAAGAAACACCAAGTTCATAGTAATAATAATAATAATAATAATCATTGGCCTAAAGAAACATTGAATGATAACATGGATGGATGGATATATGTAGATGAAAGCACTTGCACATAGACATTTTTTGCTTATTTATTCATTGTAAGTGAAAGTATAAACACTAATGTTCAGTCAAACCAAAAAAAAAAAGTTAAATCAATCGATAAAATCAATAATTATTAGAGGGACTGACTGATAAATAAGAAACGACTGATATATAAAAATTGAACGATGATGAATGTTAGTCTGGTGACATATATATATATATATAAAACAAAGTGGAGAAAGACCAGGAGAGATAGAGTAACAACAACATAATTGCCGATAATTTTTATATGAACAATAATACCACAACAACAACTGACATATTATGTTTGAATAAGATTTGATTTTATTTTTTTAAAAAAAAACAAAAAAGAAGGATCAATAAGTGAAGTATTATGATTAGTGAATAAAATGTTTACTGTCAAGGCGTCATTTCTCTAAGAGAAATATGAATGTTATTTAATAATCTCACATAAGCTAAGCCTTAATTATATATTATTACTATAGACGAGGAAAAAAAAACATGATTAACTTTGTGTCACATGATGAAAGTTAAGCTTTCTGTTTAACTATTGAAACTTGTCTCATCGATAGATGTCGTATACAACATGTATTAAATGGTGCTTTGTGCCAATTGATTTTAAGTTGACTACTGTATTATAACAATGAAAATATGTTGTAAAAGGAAAAAGGTTACGCTTTGTAGTCAGTCATAAAGTTTCTTCTTATGGGTAAATATTTGGAGTGATAACACGTAAGGTCTAGCTGTAGTGCGAACAACAATATGAATGGCATTGTTAATAATCACTTTGAAAAAATGAATGGAATATAAGTGTTCGATTTCTTCGGTAATCACGATTCAAGAGATTAATTAACAGATGTAGGAAAAAATATCAACTGAGAACGAAAGGGGTAGTAGTTGACAGAAAAATGGACGATGCTTGAAATTTACAGCCATACCATAGAAAGTATTCAAATGTTGTAGAGAATAGATGAATTATAGCTGGTAATGTAATCTAGAAAACAGATTTCATCCTATTCGTTAATCGCCAATTAGATATACTTTGATCCCAGTGGTGATGTTCACTTTTGGGATTCGAACCCAGTGCCTTCAGCCACGTTTATACCCATGTTATTTAATAACATAAGACTAATCAAAATCAGCCTAACATTATGAACAATCAGGTAGTTTTAAATATCTCCAATTATGATATATTCAATTATTGCTTACTAAATAGCATAGATTATAAACATACGGCATAAACTCTTCAGAATAAAAAAACATTACAGAATTCTATATAACTTAAGGAATGGTCTGTTACTTGAAATACCAGTAGGATTATTAGATAGCCACATCTACAGGTATTATTACTGTTTCTTACAATCAAAACATGTTCATCTTTATTAGCTTTCATAATTGGAACATGAATATTTTGATTAAAGATTATGAATTAGTAACTACAAGATGTATAATATTTGTTTGTATTGAAAATTCCAGCAACCAATTAACATATTGTGATTTCTTTGAAAGAATCGAATAGACCGTATCAGTCAAATAATAACAATATTCTATTGCAGGGCGACCAAGGATAAACGCTTTGGAAGCAGAAGAGCAAGCCCTGCGTGCACTGAACCTGCAAGACTATTTTGTAAACAAGCCATTTCTTTGGTAGATAGCCAGCGAATTTCGATTTTCAAATAAAAGACCCGTGGCTAATACTCTGTATTCTCTCTCTTGGTGTGAAGTGCTTAGTTAACCTGGTGTGTTGTGGTTTAAGGTCTTCTCCGCCCTTCAATAACTGCTGATTACACATGTTACAATATAATTAAAATAAACTAACAGTATAACGCTAACAAATATACATGCAAAACTTACTTTTGGCAATGTATTCTGCTGAACCAAAGCTAAACAATAAACACTAACTTGATGAATACTATCAACAGCTTGAAGTACAAGAGACATCCATGTGAATGCAGCTTCATCGGAATAACCTTGTCTTAATTCAGCTACAATAACAAGACGTTCATCTTTCAATAAATCCACTGAGAACACTGCAATCCTGATAATAAAATAATGCAAACAGAAAATGATACAATGATTAAATCAATTTAACGATTATATTTCATTAAATTGAATATATACGTACAAATTTAATAGTGTGATAGATATATCAGTTAGTCAGTAACAATGTAGAACTTGGTACGTATGTCAGTCAGTCAGTCAGCAGCAACGCAGAACTTCGAACGTAAGTACATCAGTTCATGTTGCTATACCACATTACCACAGAGACGCAATTGTCAATTCAAATTCCATAGTGGTAGAGATAGTAGAAGTACTACTGGTAAAGGAGAAGATTAGAGTTCCAAGATGTTATTCAAGAAGTATAATTAAGTGAGATAAGGTTAGAAAGACAAAGGTAGAAGTGCTGACGAATTCAGAAGTTTAGGGTTTAGGAGAACACATAGAGTGGACGTACCTGCACCATTGCAATCGATTTTGAGCTATGTCATTCAAGGTCTCTAACCATCGGTGACTTTCGTCTCACGGACCCAAACCAGGTAGCCTACATCAACCAACATGACTCAGTCCAGTTGTCAGCAACTTCATGGATTTCTGAAATGTTTTGGTCTGACCCCCCCTAACTTTCTTCCAACCTACTCCTCCAGCACAAAACAAAGCTACGGTCGGTCGGGAGGTACGTGCGTACATCAGTTCAAATAGTCACGTCACATTACCGCGGAGAGATGAAATTGTCAATACAAATATCTTAGTGGTAAAGATAGTAGCAGTATATTTGAGATCTGCACATGACTTAGAATCTACTATGTTGATGCAGATACGTCTATATTTTGATTTCGCGAGCCAGTATTAGTTCATACATACCCTTACAAACTATATTCTCAATATTTAGTCAATAATACGACTATTCGTTCGATATATTGGCTACTTACTACTGTGTTAGCTTCATATCGCTATACAGAATGTAATGTAGACTTTTGAAAAGATTTATGTAGTCAATGATTAATTAATCCATTCTATATATCAATATTAAGTTACATTAATCCAGGTCAGATAAATAGTACTTTAGTTTTGTTAGTGAAGATCTGTGGTTTGATCGCTTTAGATTAGACTAAGAATTTTGTTTCAATTTAATTCTACAACGCAAAACTTCATATGACAAACGTTAAGCACAAATTTAATGCAAACGTAACGATCTATCAATAACGCTTATAAATATTATTGTTTGAGAATGAGTGACAGTTGAGAATTATGTGTAAATATAATCTAACCAAAAAAAAAAAACACAGTTTAAATCTAGACATGTAATATGTATGTGTGAAAAGGCAAACATGGTAGGGGAATAACAGGAATTTATTTAATTTCATGGATTCTATTCAACTGTTTACAATATAACATCATAGTATTATTCATTAGAATGAAAGGATTGTAAATACTTTCTATCGCAGACATCTTGAGTAGATTGAATTAAATTACATATGGAGGAGATAAAATAGCAATCAGCACGAATGATACTCAGGAATTAAAACTGTTCAAATGTACACTTATTTACAAGTAAGTAAAGTAATTCTTTATAAATTAGAAAAAAAATTATTACGAATGAAAATCTATTCCTGACAGTTATATGACATACCTTCCTCTATATACAATTTTTGTCGGTTGAACTGCAAGCACTGTTGCTATAATATCATCAGCATTGTGACGTCTACTTGCAATAGTCATTAATCCGTCAATACAACCGGAAATAAAGATTAATCCACCCTAAAAATGTAATTTATACAGTCATATATTACATATTACAGTAATTCTTTCACGGTACTACATTTAAATAAGAAAAAAACCATTAACGAATCAGCAAACTACTGAAACTAAATGTTATATTATTGGAAGCAATTAAACAAGAAGCTATAAATCAAACTTGTAACAGTCGTCATCACTTATCAGTAAAGTATGTTTGCATTATTCAAGGAACCGAAACTCTCCAATGGGATGCAAGCCTATATCATCTTAATGGTTCAATCAAACGAATGGTAACAGAACAAAAGATCAATTTTACAGTGTAATTGTTGAGGACGTTAGATGCCCAGAACTCAATCGATAAAGGTCCTAATTTTTGGATTATGTGTTTTGACGCATAGGCTAATCAGTTAACCTTGAGATTACATTTCCCACCCATTGAATCCTTGACTGTTATTGGTTGGTGTTTTATTTTAGTGTGCTATTTTTGTGACTCTCACAAGGACGTTTCTATGATGTATAAATAAACTCAATATGTGTGCTTGGCGACCTCACATTTTCTGGGTGCTTGTACACTTTTTACGTCTTGTCAAGACTTTTTTCTTCTACTTAGTGGAGCCTTGTGATACACGGATTAGAGTAGCCTATCGTGTCACTGGATCATTTGTCTTCGCTCTCGTTTACCGACTAAGGTGAACTCGTAATAGTTCAAGCATATCAATTGACGAGCATATCACTAGTGGCATAATGTTAGTTTTCAAAACACATCAAAACAACATAAAACTCAACATAAAAGATCGACGAAACACTGAAAATGTAATAAAGTTGATTAGATATATTTACACGTAATCGCTACTAGGTAAATTAAAGCAACCAACAAGACAACGAAACCACAAATCACTTACAGATGATGCTGGACCAGGAAACCCAATAAATCCAGATCGTGTATACTTTTTAACGCCAGTGGTAGAAGAACATACAGGAGTACCATCTTCATGTATGGGTTCTACATGAAAATGTGCGTCAGTATGACCACGGAGACCCCAATAACCAGAACCAGTATACTCAGAAGATAAGCATATTTCACCAACTTCATCGGTTTGACAAAGTATTGGTTTGGGACCCAGGCGTACAACAACTGCTGAGGCTACATTGATTAGAAAAGTAAATTATTTAGTAAAGGTATATTCAATTACATCAATATATGATATAATATACAATGAAAATAACTGAGCAACATTGTATTCACATAAATATTAGTGCTTACCTCCTGGAAGAACTTGTCCACAATCTTGCAATGTAAGTGAAGTCAATGAATCTTCAGTGTCGACACGCACAACACTATAGGTAAGACTATGGATTGAAATAACTCCTCTTACTGAACTGGGCGCAGATGTTACCAGTGAATCAGAACGAGAATTTGTGGATATTTTACCATTTACTGAATTCATTGCTGAATTCGTTTGATGTGGTGGACGACGTAAACTAAGTGTAAGTGTTTCTGAACTTCCAGCACATGGACATATAGCTTCAGGGCAAAATCCTCGAGATCGGAATTTTTGTGTAAAAGAATCGCAGGAGTTTAAAGACCCTTCATAAAAATGTAGAAATAAAATAAAAATTATAAAAACTCATTGACATATTAGATTAATTAAACAATTGTTACGGGCTATCGGTTTACCAATTTAATAAATACAACTAAAAATCACTATTTAGTATAAATTCATCGCCGCAGCTACTAAGAGTCAAGGAGATGAATAAGCAAGTATCAGTTGATAAGTGGTTACTATTTAGTGTGTAGTTGGATATTAACCACCAAGGGGAAATCTTACAGTATAATAAATCATGTATCTATGTGATCGCTATCACTACTCTTCCTTCTAATCATTTTATTTTAACAAATTCCCAACCATCATCAGAGTTATTTTAAAATGAACCAAGTTCAGTTGTTAATAGTTGAACATTTAAAAACTTGACTGACATACTAGACAGAAAAAAAATTCAGACAATTTAATAGATTAATCAATAAACATATTTTTATTCTAGGCTATTTGTGAAGATTTATGAGAATTTGAAGTTTTATATCACAAATTCATCTGATGTAGAATTTCAATAAATATTTTTTTTATTTTTCGAAAAAAAATAGAGAGTTTCTATTAAATGAACTTATATGTCAATCAAATCAGTTTGCATTGTATTTAACTATGTATACAACATATATATAGGAGTGCTTGGTAAATAAACAATATCACGTGGTGGATAAGCTCAATTAATGCAGCCTCTATTTATAGATAAGTAAAATTATTATTATTATCATTATTATTAGTATTATCATCTTTATTAATAAAACTAATCATGTGAGTCCAGAAATGTGGTGAAATCTCAGCACGGGTACAAAAGGCTCAATTGGCTTTTGCCAATGTTGGTAATTGTCGACTACTTGATTGGGGTCCGCGAGATAATAGTAGCCGATGGTTAGAGAGCTTGAATGAAACGGCTTAAAATCGTCTGCGTTGGCTCAGATGCATCCAATCTCTGTGTTCTCTCAAAGTATAATATTCTGAATTCCTCATCACCTTTATCTTTCTCTTTTAAAGTTTATTTCACTGGATTCTAATTCTTGAATAATATCCTCGAATCCTAATCTCTCTAACTACTGTTAATACTTCTACTACCTCTACTACTATGGGATTTGAAATGACAATTGCATCTCTTTTCTAATGTGATACGGCAACCTGAACTGGTTTACATACGTACGAAGTTCTAAGAAGTTATAGCTAACTAACTAAGTGAATTAGGATTTTCGAGATCAAAACATTTCCATTCAAACTTACAAGGATTTGATCCGTCTGCAACTAAAAGCATACGTAGTGAAGATAAATTTACATTAGGATGATCCCGTTCAGCTAATAATGCCCAATGCATATCACGGCTTTTTACAATAGCAACAGTTGCTGAAATAAATAAATAGATAAATAGACGGGGAAAAAAACCCAATGTTCAATTTAATTGAAATTATCAATTCAAATCTTGATAGTCATACATGTGAAGACAAACAGTAATCAAAGGCAAAGCATTGTATACACGACGACATACATGGTGCTTGCGTAGACAGAAATAGTCAAACTGACAAACAGAAACAAAATTTGATGCCACAAACATATGACATGGCTTTTTACTGAAATTTTTTCCGAAGAGCTTTAGTAGATTCCATTAATAAAGTATGTCTGAATCAATATTGTGCATTCTTTTCCAAAACCTTTGCAGATAAAAAGTACTGATCATTACCGAAGTCAGTTACTATCAAAGAAACCTAAAACATGTAATTTTCGCCTGTTTTTGACTATTTAACAAACTCCTAATATAGTGAGTTTTCATATTCATTTTCAATAAATTTCGAATTACGCATGTACTACTTCTGTTCAAATAATGACAAGGTAAAAAGAGCAGTCAGTCAGTTATAGACAACGTATGATGTTCTAGCAATACTTGTTGCTCCAGATTCCCACAGATTTTGCTTAACTAGCGAATAAAAATTGTAAACCCCTCACTTGGGACCCCCAAGGTCAAAGGAAAGAGGAAAGTCAAGGAAAACATTACGCCGAATAATGGAGACAGACATGAGAAGGATGAACAGTAATTGGAAAGAACTAGAAAGGGAGGTCCAGAACAGAGTAGGTCGGAGAATATTGGTCGGCGGCCTATGCTTCATTGGGGGGTAACAGGCACAAGTAATATCAACTCTAGTTTGTAAAGATAGATTACAAGTAACGACCATATACCTTACAAGAATATTTTATTCTATTCATATTGGAAATCAACAATACTATGGAATGATACATTATTTTTTAAACGCCTCTAAACTTTTTACAAGATAATAAATTGAGCCAGAATTATGTTAATTTCAGTCGATCAGTGCAGTACCTTTTAGAGAGGCTATGAATAACAGAATTGTCGATTTATGAAACCGATATCAGTAAACCTGTTAAACCAGTTCGTGTCGAATGTATGATCATGACAATCTGTAAATCTCTTCAAAGAACATTTTGTTTCTGTAAAACGAGAACGATTAAAAACGCTACTATAAAAAAAGAAATAGAGAATAATTGAATATTTATCACGATTTCAACTTTTATTACAGTTCAATGAAAGTGGTGGTAATTATTGTGACAATACCAATAACATGTTCATCAATACTCATAATTTTTTTTTATAGAAATATTGTAATATCGTCAACAATTACCTCTGTACTTTGTAACCATACGTAACCACGAGCCAGGATCAATTTGCATTACAGAATAAGGCACAAAAATTACATGTAATCCATTGAAGACACTCTAGAACAAAAAAAAACAAAACAAAGCACAATTAGAATATACATTGAAAACCATACGAAACTGAAAAAAAATGTTTGATCATAATTAAAACGCTAGACAGTTTCGTTCATTTGTAGAACATATGAAACTAATTTTAAACATTAGAAAAAAAATAACAACCACATATCATAAGACATATGTGACAGCATCATATGCTCGTCAATGGATATGCTTGAAACTATTAGGAGTACACCTTACTCGGTAAACGGAGTACAGATGCACTGACACAATAGGCTATTCTAATCCGATTGTCCCCGGACTCGCTAAATAGAGCAAGAAATCTCGATAAGGCGTAGAGAATGTATTCCACAAGCACACAAATCGAGCTTATTTATACAATGATACAAACGCCCTTGGTGAGAGCCACAAAATAGCGTACTAAAAAATCCGTCAACCAATGACAGTCAAGGATTTCCGAGTGGGAAAGCTGTAAGCTGTAGGTCAGCTAAGCGTCTCTTAAAGCGAAAACATGAAAACTCAAAGTTTCAGAAATAAATTACAAAATTAGCACACTTTCCAAGTGAGTTCTGGGGAACTAACGTCCTCAACACAGCAGTGCAGCATCACATAGTTTAGAATATGTTCTAAGAATTTTAATTCCAGTTGATGTGTTAGTAATAAACCTACTTACCTAACAGTCCCTGACTTAAAAAAAACAAGAACATCCCAAAGCAGTGTAAAATGGATTCTTAAAATATAGAAATATCGTTCAGACATGGCCATTGTCTATTAATCTTTAGAATTTGTCTAATAAAATGAACTATCTATGGGACTGTTTACGTGAAGATTAGTGAGTTTTACACGGTTGTGTCTAGCTTATGCATAAAATTTAACAAAAGAAATATAGCATAAAATAGCATACTAAACAAAATCTAACATATACATACCGTTAAAACAGCATGCCATAATCCCATTTGTCGACGACAATCTACAACACAAACAACAACATCCTCCTCGGAATAATTACAAGCTACAGTTAACGCTCGACAATGAGATAATGCTGCACGTCGACTTATCATTACACCATGTACACTGCCATCTTTACTAAATGTATACTGTAGAACGGAAAGAAAATATGCGGAAAAAGAAAAGATTTGTTTAACATACTTTGACAAGGACGAAAATCAACCATGAAAAAAAATGAATACAGAACAATTAAAACTGTAGTGATAAACAATACAGTAAAAATCTTGGTTTATTATTGATCACTCACTCATATGAGTGATTTTTATTGATTCATTAAAAACTATCGAACGCTGATAAACATGCGTATAAACACAATAAACTATTTCATTTGAAGTAGAATGTGTGAAGAATAATAAATAATCAACGAGAAACTCTAACTAACGAGTAAAAAGAAACATAGTCAAACATAATTAATGCAAATAATCTAAATAAATTGAGTTTAAAAGTTTAAATGTACAAGGCGGACAAAAAAATTACAAAAAAAATGTTATTCATTGAATTAAATTATTTCATTAATTAAGGGAGCAGTTCAACCAGCCTTCAACCCTACACTTCAGTTACCCAATTGTTAATGCGGTTGAAAAGGCTATAGGCAAGGAAAGCAGCGATGACTGATAGATTGAACCTCGATATTTTTAGGGATGTTGGTTCAGTTTTAGCAGTTAGATTGACTGAGATCTTAGGTAGAATCTGGGAGCTGATAGTAATCCCATCTGACTGGTCTCAACCATTGACTGTTCCAATCTATAAAAAAGGACAAAAGTCCTGTTGTCATAATCATAGAGGAATCAATTTAACTAATATAGTGTCTAAAATATTATCTTCAATTCAATAATACTTCAACGCCTGATGAGAGCTGATGAAGAACAGACTCGAGAATACCAGGATGGTTTCAGACTAGAACGTGGGTGTATAGACTGGATATTCACACTTCGTCAGGTCCTAGAATATCAAATCATCATAGGTTTATAAGCCAGTGGCTGTTTAGGCTTAGTAGCTCAGTGAACAACATGTCAAGCATCTGAAATGAAAGACGCTGGGTTTGAATGAACATCAATACTAGAATGCAGGTATATAGAGCCAACAAGTGGATGAAACTTAATTTTAATCAATTACTACTTAGGATTCAGCTTCATGTAATTAATCACGTACGCTTGTGATGAGCATTAAAAGATAGGTTGTACTAGCGAGGATAATTCTGATGTATTTCTGCAAAATTTAAAAATTCTTATAAATGAGCAGTTAACAGTTTCTACAATCATACCGGTATCAACTTGCGATAAGATTTTGATAATGACAATAAATTGTAAAGAAGTCTTTATCTGTGCTTGTATATAACACATAGCATATAACATATAACATAGCAGGTATATCCATCAGACAGTGTTGGCAGCCGGGAAATGATATATCCCCTCGTAGCCGTAGCAGCATAAGAGATGCTAAATTAAAATTATTTTAAGAAAAATGTATTCAAGTTAGTAATAATGGACATTGATAAATAAGTTATATAACTGCACATTAAGTGGAATGAATCATCACTGATTTATCATGACTGTGATTAATTTTTCTGGTCATTCCCTAAAAATCAGGTGAAAGAGTGGGCGGGAAAAGAATAAAATGAATAATTGTGTGCAGATGAGTGTAAATGTGTAAAACAACAAAATACACATAACTAATGTTATGCTGTTTCTATCCCACAAAAATGCTAAGTAAACAGAAAAAGAGGGATGACAAAAACACAAGTGAAACGTGTATAAATCTTTATGAACGAAAAATGAAGACTTTAACAATAACACACAAAAATGATAGATACCTGATGAATATACACAGTCAGCCTTATCTCCTGCGAATTCTCTCTCTCTCTCTCTGAGTGGATTTAAATTAAAATCTTTTGAAATTAAAATGCATTGTGTCTTATTCATTGTAATATCTATTTAAAATAAAATAAAACCTAATGTAGCTCTCATTGCAATAAAGTATGGGTTACATTATTTTGAAGGAGAGGAAGTATAACTAGAGCGATGCCAGATATGCATTGAATGCATTGAACAAATTTTCAATCTGATATGCAGTAGTTGAAAATTATAAAAGCTTGAACATGATGCCCAGTTCCATAACTACCTGTGTCTACAACAATAAATCTGACATAGCCCTAGAATAAAGAGATAAAAAATGTTCCCCCACCTGTAGTTCAAATGAAATGTCTGTCTCTCGATCAGAAGAACAATTATACTGATAAACAGTAAGTACTGTGTTGCTACGTAACTATGAAATATAATCTGCATGATCAGAAGATAAGCGTAAAATTTAAATTCTTAATCACAACTACTGCAAAGAACTGGTCATATTTGATAAAAATCATTGCGTAATAAAGAGGTTAGATGTAGAGCAAGATAACATAAAATTCTTTTTCGATTGTATTTCTAATGTTCACCTCGCTTTTATTTCAAATCGGTACGCATTCATATTAAATTCTACATCAACTGAACACAGTTAGACAGTCAATCAGTTACAATGTAGAACCTCGTACGCACGTACATCAGTTCAGTGTGCCACTGAACACAATTACTTTCGGTTAGTATAATAATTACTAACATCATAGTTGCTTACCAGATATAATACAAATGAATTAGACCATAAAGTGTAATTAGTTGTGCATTTTTGATTTCTTCTCATTACTCTGGATATTGACTATTTCAAATTTAACGCGAATTAGATGTCATTCATAAGATCAACCAGGGTCTTTTAGCAATCAAAATCAGTTCATCAAACCAAGGGTAGACAATATGATCCGTTTATTTAATGAGGTTAATATATAACAGTTTAAAAATATTTAGCGAAACGAACACAAACAGATAATAAAATTTACAATCTTACATTTATTGTATATATATATACACACCTTTATATCTCCTCCTATATACAATACGTAATAACTTTAGTAAAATAGAATTACACATTTGAAATCATCAATCAATCACTGTTAGGCCACCATTAGAAGCCTGGAAGCACTGGACGGCCGTTTCGTCCACGACTCCTGCTTCTCGAACCCGGGACTTTCGGTATTGTGCACGAACGCCTAACCATCGGAACACTGGGCCAGCATTCAACGGTGTTAATGTCTAACTCTGATTGATCTAGGGATTTTGCGCGACCTCACCCATTCGTCTTAGGTAATTACTGCCTACACCCGACAGGGTTGAACTCCATTGGTCACGTCTAACAATGATTGATTGATGATTTCAAATGTGTAAAAACACAAACTTCCAAAACTCTGCCCCGAAATAGAATTAATTTACACACATACGGATTTCAATGATTTCAGTATAGCATAACACTATTTGTCTTAATGAAACTTTTCAATGAATGCGTAGTAAAACTAAATCAGTTCACAATCTACAAATCACTTACACTTTTTTGAAAAAAAAATAACAAAACTAGTAACATTATCTTACAAAAAATGGTTAGCAATACTGCATAGTTGATAAATGACGCAACCAAAAATGTTCGAAATATATTAAAGAAGTAGAATATCAAATAACAAGCAAATCATAAACGATAAAACAATAATAAAATACGTTTCTTGTGTACTGATATTACTGATAAGTATATATGATATACGAGAAAGGTTTTGAACACAAACAATGAGACTGATTTGAGATTAATTGAACATGGTTGTATTATTACATAAACTTTGAGGAAAGCAGCCAACTGTATCACAAGACAAGTCCTAACTTGGAACCCTCTAGGATCAAAGAAAAGAGGAAGGCCAAGAAACATATTACCCCGGGAAGTGCAGACACACATGAGAGCAATGAACAAAGATTGGACAGAAATGGAAAGGGAGGCCCAGAAAAGAGTAGGTTGAAGAATAGTGGTCGGCTGCCTGTGATTCATTGGTGGTAACAGGCGTAAGTAAGTAAGTAATTAAATAATCTAAATTTCTGCTGTGGAATCCAACACGAAAAGATTGATTGATTTTATAAAAGGAATGTATCTCATTACACTACCATAAAATAAATAATTATTTCTCTACATGGTTTTCATGCATCTAAATCCTTACAATGCACTATCGTTGGATTCTGGTTCAGTTTGCTGATACAGAATAAAAACACGAAAACTCAAAATTCTATTTTGATTACCGATAGGGTTGGCGGTAGCTGTCAAACGATACTTTGTCGCTGGTATATTTTATTTTAATTCAAAACCCTAAATTCATATGCTCTAATCTGAAACAATTTTCTTTTGGAGTATCGGCTTCGTCACTTCCGAAGAAACTCGGTGGCTTTCATCACGAGGCATCATAACGCTTATAAATGAAGACTTTTCAAATCCCACTGCAGAGTTTTAATGGTTTGAATTATTATTGCTGGTTAGGATTTTTTTTAGCGAGTTGACTGTCTGCGGGATGGGGTCGTTAACTCCATCCACAACACTCCTCTGTGCTTAAGACAGGCAGTAACCCCACAGGAGCTTCAGGTGGCCTATGCTCCCTTAGGGGTAACAGGCGTAAGCAAGTAGATTATCTGAAACGATGTGTTTTGCCATAAAAAAGATAACATCGAGTCTTTTTTTCACAGTTAGTATGATAATAAATCAAATTAGATCGAAAATTAATGTATACATGTCATAATAGTTCAGTAGATATGTCGCGTAATGCATGGAATATGCAAATAATTTCATATATTATTCAAGACGGTTTTTTTTTCTTCGTTAATTTGAAATGAATTGAAATTCATCAGATATCGTAAACTTATTCCAAGACCAAAAAAACTATGCCTGTTGAAGCTCTTACTACTACTACTACTACTACTACTACAAACTCACCAAAATGATTTTGCATATCGAATTGTTTCATATGTGAATAAGTGATTCGGCATTAAAAAAAATATTACTGAAATTATGAATCAATCATTGTTATACCACCAGTACAGACGAGTCTCGAACCAGAACAAAACGGCTATCCATTGCTTCCAGATTTTTATTGGTGGTCTAACAATGATTCATTCATGATTTCAGTAATAAACAACCATCTCCCTAACTCTATAATGATAAAAAAAAATTCATTGCTATCGAGTTTACTTATTCACAGACATGGTGATGCACTTGCATTTTATTTATATATATGACCAGTACAAACCAGTAAAACTAAACACTGAAAACATAAGTAAACAAAACAATTGTGAATCGATAAAAGTCAGTAAGTACTTGCCAAGGTTAATATGATTATACATTATTGGACCACATATACTAGATATACATTCACATATATATCAGAGAGAGAGAGAGAAATAGCCACACCAACACAGTTTGTACAAAATAAAGAAAGAAAATGTTTATTATTTTGCACTGGATTAACCAATAGGTCATAAAAACAAACAATTCTGTAGTACCAAATACATTTTTCTTCTCAGCAGAGATGAATCACAGAAAGTGACAGTAACAAAAAATAAAAAAAATTAAAGTCTATACAATGGTGGTAATTATGATAATAATAATAATAACGATAACTACATTTCGATTAAAAGTCATACAACTAATACGAATAGACATGACTGAAAATGTCTACTGTGTTAGACAATAAAAGCAAGTCATTCAGTCAGTTACAAGGTAGAACTTCGTACGTATGTACATTAATTTCACGTTGCCATACCATATTAGCACAAAGACGAAATTGTCAGTTCAAATCCCATAGTAGTAGAGAAAGAGAGGTATTACTGGTAATGGAGAGGATTAGGGGTTTAAGATATTATTCAAGAAATATAATACAGTGAAATAAATTTAGAAATCGAACGATAGAAGTGATGAGGAATTAAGAAGAGCAGAATTTGGGAGAACACAAAGAATGAATGCACCTGCGCCACTGCGAATGGTTTTGCAACTCGGCCTGTAGACCCTCCAGGGCTACTGCCGGTCCCAAGCTAGGGATAAAGAAGGAGGGTTAGGACTGGGGTTGATGACCCCTTCCCTGCTGACAAGCAGAGCCCTTCCAGGGTGTGGGTAGCCGGGAAGTAACATCCGCCCTCATACCAGCACACGAGACCATATTGGTCACAATCAAACGAATACAGCAAAGATAATCTATGTCGACGTCAAATTCCTGCAAGCCATTTGATAATGCGACTTCATTAAGCAAGCGTGTACAACGCGCTACATGATACACTATGAGATAGATCTATTATTTATGAGATAACTAAAGTACCTGGTTGCTGCGATTTTGCCGATGGCTAGTGAATAGAATTCTGTATAACATAAATTAGTGAGAAAATTGTGAATTTAACTGAAAATAACAAGACTATTATGATCAGATAATTTTGACTAACCGAATATATAGGGATAAGGTGCTATATGAGAAAGTTAGAACTCTAATTAAAAGCAACCACATAATAATAATGAATGAATGACCGAAAAAACTAGATATCTTAGTGCAACACATTGATTTGATGAAGTATATAATGTAAAACTGGAACGATAAATGAAACATTAGGGGTATAGTTGAACAAACTATCTAACCACAAGCAAAATTTTCAGTCTATGATATTTGACCAATCAGATAATGTGAATTGAATAGAATTATGAGGAACCATAATATACTAAGTAAGCCAAAACATTTAAGTTATATAGTTTGTTATTCCATGCAATTTTGAGACTATGAACCAAAAGCAGGTTGGGAAGAAGCTGAACTTTAGATCCCTAAAAACAAGTATTATTGTCAGAAAACGAATGCTCTGACATCTCAATCTACCGAAAACAATAAGTTTTCTTTCTAAATCACGATTTCATAAATTCAAAACCGACAACGTTGGTTCGTCAACGATATTACCAAGTTATGCATACATTTAATGACTGACTAGACAAGATTACAAAAGACACAAACATCGTATTCCCGTGAATTTCCACTATAATATCATCTGTAGGAGCTAGATACACAGCAAATGGTTTGATGCTTATCTTCATTTTAGATTTCTTTACCACAATTGATCATCAGGATCAATTGACTCTAAGGTTCTACTTATTATTCCCAGTAGAATTACAATCAAAATTTTTAAAAATGATAGTTAAATTAACGGAAAACAAAAAGAAAATCTCGAGGGATATAATCAAATCTAAATTCTTCTAAGCTTCACGCCAGTTGATGATAACAAATTTAAACTAGGCAATATTTTTGTAAATTAGTTAATTTTAAATTTCTAAGTTACAAATTACAATTTTGACTATATATATAAGTTTCAATTTAGAAGAAGATATATGTACACAAACTAATTATTTCTTGAAGGGTTTAACGATAATCAGTTGACATTGATTTTTCACACGGATTGATTATATTCTGACAACTACCTAAAAATCATAGAGTACTTGGACAGGTGTTTCTTCGTAGTTTAAGGTTTCGCATAGCTACAAGTGTATATCTATGAACAGTTAGGAATCAAACTAAAGATATTTAGATCTTGCAACGGGTGTTGGGATAAATTTTTAAAAGATAAGTTATTAATACTTCACGAAACTGGGACATAGTAGAATGAACAAATATTTCATTACGTAAATTCATGGAAAACAATCAAAACTGATGTACTCCCATATTCAGCAAGGATTGACAAATAGCAAAAACGGGATAAAGAGGAAAAGATGACAGAAATGTGAGTAAAAGAAATAGTTGCTTTGAAAGAATTATCATGTGAATCAGTGGCTATTTCTTGTTATCGCCTAATTTGGTTTAGCACTGGAATATACTACTCACTTTATTTCCCTATGTATTAACACTATATCATTTAAATTCAGTAACTCCACCTGCGGACCCTTCAGGGCTACTGCCAGTCCCAAGCCCGGGTAATGAAGGAGGGTTGGGATTAGGGTTGGCGACCCCATTCCAATTAAACTCTGCTCTGGGAGTTAGAAAGTCTTCATTTCTAAAAATGACAACGTCTCATGATGAAAGCCGAATTCCTTCGGAAGTCACGAGGCCGATACACTTTCTGACAACCAGAACCTTTCCATAAAAGCACACGAGAGACCAAATATGTCACTTAAATTCATTGAGACAATTAATTCACACCAAAAATACTAATAATCAGAAGCCAGTGTATATTCTCTATAAATTTCTTAAATAACCATTGAATATTTATAAGAAATGATATTCTTCATAAAATAAATAAATAGTTAAAATCGAATTTTGCTACACAACAACAAATAACCATAGAAATCTCATCGGAAAAAAATATATATATACACATAAATATAGAATAAAACCGGTCAAACAAACCAATCGTTCTTTTTTTCTTGTAACTGTCTAACTATATAAAATGCAAAAATGATCAACATATTTGAAAACGAGAACAACTTGGGGAACAAATGAATGACTACAATCAGAGTAAGGAAAAAAAATAATGAGTAACGAGAAAAATACAGCGAATTTGCATTTACAATCTACAAATCGAACAAATAAACAGATAAATATACCACGTTTTAATGAAGTAATAATTATTTTTCACCTTGGACAAAAACAAATGTTCTAAGTAAAAAATATTTTTTTTAAAAAAGGGAAAGAAATATTGTTAAAGGTGAAGAAGAAGAAGAAGAAGAAATGAGAAGGAGTGATAGAAACAATGTAAAGACTATAAGTAAGACAATTGAAAATGTCAAAGTGAAATTGATGAGAACTGACTGTTTTTAGAAATAATAATAAATGTTAACAAACTAACAAAATAGTTTAAGCAGAGCGACCGAAACGAATCAAATAGAATAATATGTTGGTAATAAGTTACTTTTTAAAAACAAAAAATAGTGGAACTGCAAATACTGTATTTGAATGGTAGGAGAAAATCTAACTATGAATAACTAACTATGACCAATGGTGTTACGTAATTTTTTTTGGTACAACAACCAGTAAGATTAGTTTATCTTTGACATGTTTCTAATCATTATGATCAAGTTTCACATGTGGAAACTTAACACACTACATACTTTGTATTTGAATTTGCATGTAAATGAATTGTCAAATAAGAAATAATTAATTCCAACAAAACAAAAACTTACTTCCAAATACATTGTTGCATCATTGGCTAATCGATCAGGAGGAGTCCAATCTTTCGGTGGTTTAGTTCCACTAGCATGATGATCTGTATTAATCCATGTAACACGTGGCCAACCAGAAAATGATAAAATTTCACCATTCTGACCACGTGGTAATGCTTTGTAACATTGTTCACTAGCTAAAACTATACGTGCATCTTGACTGCCTAATAAAAATCCCATACTTTGACATGAAGCATCCTTTATAAATAAAATAGAAAATAAGGTTATATCGGTAATGGATTTATGATATTCTTTAGTTTGGAATAAAAAATGAGTAGACTATACATGAGGACATTAAAACGATTAAAACATACTTTATGATTCGCTTCATTTACCCTCATGAAAAAAAACCGGTGATTTTTAATACCTTAACTTATTAACATTAACACAAATGCATCTCCATCAAGTGTACAATTAAACCAGAGTAGAATTGTACAAAAAAAGTACAAATTCGATTATGCTTTTTCCAAAAATTGCTCAAAACTCCACATACAAACATATAAAATGAAAGTTTTGAAAGCTCTAATTTCAAATAAACATGAAAAGAAAAAAACTTATACAATGAGGATACTTACTCGACGAGCAGATGGAACTTCGATTGCTATTGGTATAACACTTGCTAAAATACAACCATAAAATGCACACAAGAAACTGATTGGTTCATTATTAGCATATACCAATGCAACACGATCTCCAGGTTTTAAACTTTGTTCACCACGATGACCCAATTTATTCAAAAGTGTATAAGCTATTCGAATAGCACGCTAAATAAAACATACAAAGAGGTTATTTTATCAGAAAGAATATATATGACTGCTACTAAAATATAAATAGTCCAAGTCAATAATTAGTTGGCACTAGAATTTCTTCAATATCAGAAGTATCCATATTGTCGCAAATACAAATACTTTATAATTCTAGTGAAACGATTCAATGTTTAGAATATAAAATGACATGAAGAATTATGGCATTTGAGAAAATTGCATTCATAACAACCTGTACTAATTAAACCCTAATCCGTTATGGTCATCTCTAAGAGACCATAATCACGACACATAGACCTCTCTTTACAGGGTTATTCAAAACTCCAGTCAATCTGTTGATTGAACGTAGTAATTAAGGATCATATATATAATATTATCCTATAACGTGATAAAAATATGTCGCGAGGTCAATTGATTTTACTCACTAACTTTCAATTTATTTTTATTTCAATAAAACAGTTAATAAGTTACGGCATATTATGTATTTAACTGAAGCAGGTCATGCGAGTCGATACATATAAGCAGTACATATCAGTAAAATAGATACGTATTTAGTTGATTTAAATTCACTCAATACGTGCAAATTCATGTAATAGGAATGGGGCAATACATTACACTGTGATAGCTAGCTAGAGATACTCAGTTGCTAAACAGAATTGATATATGCTTAAAACATGTGAAAATTAACTGTTTCAACCATTGAATAAAAGTTCTATATAATAATAGTGATATAATAACAATCTTAATATAAACACTTAATCTCAAAGAAATACTTAAAACATACTTGCAGTAACTTTGCATAAGTTAACACCTGAGTTGGTCTGCCAGATACATCTAAACAAGTTAAGGCTGGTGTTTTACAACTCAAACTAGCGTAACGTTGAAGAGCGGATTCTAGATTTCTTGGCAAACCAGAAGGTATCTATAACACAAAAACAAATTACAATCGTAATGTTAAACAATCTCACGTAAATATGGGTGATATACAATTCAGTGATTATGAGATGAAAAACCTGTTAAAATAGGAAGGAAAAACTTACAACTAGTTCTTCTCCTATCAATGGCTCAGATGGAAGACCTCTAGGACGTGGCGCTGTAGGATCAACAACAGGTCGTACAAGTACTTGATCCTCATCATCAAGGAAATATTCCGGTAATGGATATCGTTTGGGACGTTTCAAAGTATTGACCAATTTTTGAATTTTTTCTGATACACGATTATGACATAAAAGACCTGTTGTTTGACTGGTATCAGAGGAATGATCTTGTCCAATTGACTCTTCTGTTGCTGGTGATGAGAACTTCCTACCATTATTGGTATTATCAAGATCAGCAGATGAAGAAGACGCTAGTGAAACCTGTTGGTTTAACTGAGAGCATTGTTCTTGTTGACTTTGTTGTAGATCATATGCTGATGAAGAGGGGACAAATTCATGATTTGTGTACCCGGAACTACCATTCGTTATGACACCACTAGTAAAAGCTGGAAGTACACTAACACCGCCAACTATATGCGATCTCTGACCATTTTGAGTCATGGATACTGGATATGAATTAATTCCAGGCTGGGATTGATAAGCTGGGTTTTTTTTAATGAATTTGAAAATGAAAATATAAATCGATAACATTAGTAGCATAATTACGTGCAAATCTCTGATAATTCAATGAATAAAAGTTGGGAAATTTAGATACAAATGAAATCATACGAATAATCTGGGTGATTTTGCTACTTATCACTGGAATGAATACTAAACAAATACCTATAGGAAGAATCTCAGCGAAAAGATTTAAATAGGTGAATATATAAATATATAATTATTTCAATGAAATATCCACCTTGGAGTTGATTTTCTTTATTTATTGAGTTTATTAGAATCAAAGCCAGATGCGGTTCTGCTTTAACTTTATTTCATTTTCTTCAAACAAGTAAAAGTAACAACTTCTTAAGCTGAAAGGATTCTTTTTGATTGTATTTCTTCCTAACTGAACTGTTACTCGCATTACTATGACCATTATTTCACTCTCATTTTGTTTGTTTTATTATACTGACCGCTCTTTCTCAATATAAGATTTCGAAGCCTTCTTGTAGGAATACTTATGTGTTTTAAATACAGAAAAATTAGTAAAAAAATCTCCACAACTCTATACTAATGAAGATAGATTATATATATATATATATATATACCTGTAGAAATCGCTTGAGATTGATGAAATATAGTATTAACCGATTGGTCAGGATAATTGCACATTCCTAAATTATTAGAATTTAATTGAGCTTCAGCAAGAGCAGCTAATTGTTCAAATGAATCAGCTGCATTCAATGCTCCAGCTAAATTACCATTTTGTTGATCAGAAGGTTGATTTGCTGTATAAGCCCATGAATTGTTTACACCGAATTGATTTATTCTATTTGAAGATTGAATTGGTGGTTGAGCTGGAAAAAAATATTTTCAGAAATATAAAAAAGTTGATTAATACATGAATGATAAGATAAATTGATGTTTGCGACTAGCATAATTGACAATAGTACTAACAGTAGTAAAGTTGTTAACGTTGAACCCCCAGAACTCACTTGGAAAAGGTCCTAATTTTGTAATTTATTGCTGAAATTTTGAATTTCATCTTTTCGCGCCAAGAGATGCTTAGTTGAGCTACAGCTTACATTTCCCACTCGGAAATCCTTGACTGTCATTGGTTGACGGATTCATTTAGTAAGCTATTTTGTGGCTATCACCGAGGGCGTTTGCATCATTGTATAAATAGGCTTGATTTGTGTGTTTAAAAACCTCGTATTTTGTGAGTGCTTGTGGAATACATTCTCTACGCCTTATCAAGAATTCTTGATCTAGTTAGCAGGGCCTGGGATAAACGGATTAGAATAGCCTATCGTGTCACTGTATCGTTGATCTTCTTTACGTTTACCAAAGAGAGAGATACAACACAGAACTTCGTATGTAAGTACATCAGTTCACGTTGCCATACCACATTAGCACAGAGACGCAACTGTCAGTTTAAATCCAATAGTGATAGCAATAATAGAAGTATTAGCAGTAATGGAGATTAGCGAGCTAAGATATGATTCGAGAAATATAATTCAGTGAGATAAAGTTAGAAAGAGGAAGATAGAGATGATGAGGAATTCAGAAGGTTAGAATTTGAAAGAACACAAAGAGTGGATGCACCTGCACCACTGCAAACGATTTTGAGCCATGCCGTTCAAGGTCTCTAACCATTGGTGACTTTCGTCTCGCGGACCCCGACCAGGTAGTCTACATCTACCAACATGACTCAGTTCACTAGTCAGTGACTTCATGGATTTCTGCCATCTTTTGGTCTGATCGCCCCTAACATTCTTCCAACCTACTTCTACACCACAAAACATTGCTCGTCGAGGCAGTCCGTGGATTGGCAAAACATGTGCCGATCGAACTTCCTGTATCCGTGCTGATATTTCATCAGTCAACAGGAAGTTTACTCTAATCTGCTCTTCACGAGATCTAGTTAGGCGTCTAAGTATAATTGAGCCTAACAATTTAGAAACTATATTAGTTAGACTGATTTCCCTGTGATTGGCACAAGAGGACTTTTGTCCTTTCTTGTGATTGAGACAATTCAGATGGGATTACGCCAAGTTCCCAGATTCTACCTAAGATCTCAGTCAATCTAACTGTTAAAACTAGACCACCGAGTAAGATGAACTGATTTCAAACATATCAAGTAATAATAATGATATTCAACAAACAAACAAGAGACTGACTGAAAGAAAATCAATATGGTACATTCAGTTGACGAATAACTTTTAAAAAAAAGCCAAAAATCATTGGCACGATACATTTTTTAATGAATACTTTCATCAATTTGGTTTGTGAATACTTTCAAAAATGTATACATTTAACAGTTGAAAGTAAATAATGACCGTCTTAAAACATGCACACACACACACATACATATCTAAATACATATTAGATTAAGAAAGTTGTTAAGAATAATAATAATAATAATAATAATAACAATAATAAACAGAAAGGTATAAAAAATTAATTAAAAGTTAACATAATTCAATTAACTATTTATCAAAACTTCACTTTTCTCTATATGGTTTTGACTTGTATGTTATTAACTATACTTGAACAGAAATAATAACTTCGGATGTAATAAATATATTAGTTTCCATTAGACATAATCAAAAGATAACACAATGGAAGAAAATTAACTGCACACAATATAAAGTATAAGGAAACTGAATCAATCAGTTCACTATTTCAATGATACGCACAGACTAAAAAAAAAATAATAAGTATATGATGTATGATTATTGTCAATTACTTTTACTATACTTTACTTCTACTTATTACAGACATAAAACATTAATGATAAGATCCTAAAGAGTGAGTGGATTACCAAATTTTGCCAGAAATATTACAATAGTATATGAGAGGAGTGATCTACACAATTAATTTTATGCACTACGAACTCCACTCGCTTAGAATGATATTCAATGACTGTGTGTGTATGTGTGCATAGATGTAGGTGCACATTTTTTGTTAATTTCTGAAATGTCTGAAATGAACAGCGAAAAATACTATAAGATCGACCAGTTGTTAGTTGTCTTATCATATAATAACATTGACCACCTACCATAACACTAACCAACTAACTCTACCATATTGACTAAAAAATGAATTTGTATAATACAAAATGATTAATTATAATGATACATGAAAAAAAATATATATATATATATAAATATTAAATTTTCAAAACAGTAAAAAATTGGCGAAGAAATTTCAAAACTATGCAGTGGTTACAAACAACCATAGATGATCAGCCGAAATATAAAAACAAACAATTGAATATTTTTGGTGAAATAGGCTGTAAGCGTTTATATAACAAGGCGATAAAATAATAGATTTTGCATTGAAAGTAAAAAATTTTTAAAAATACTCAGACAAAACAACTTTCTGGTTTTGCCAGATAAGAGGTTAAACATTCAATTTTTGCTATGTGACAGAGTTTTGGATGTGCATTGTTAAAAAGAGTCGTATGTTACGATGAGATAGTTGTCTAGTGCTTTCTGGTTTCTCATAGTGGTCCAGTGAAAAAGTAAGAACTACTGTATGTTGTTAGATACTACAATGTTTCACTGGTATGTCATTGTCCATGTAGAAATAGAAGATGGATGAAAATGTAAAAATCTAACGGTTGGGATGCAAGTCGTTTCAACCACTAACAGCATCACTCAACTGACAAATATTTATCAATGGACTAAACACAAATAATAGAAATTTTAATTAAAATTCATTTTAGATTATCAAGCAAACAAAATGCTTACAGGATCGAATTTCATCCAAAGAAGGCACTTCATCATATCGATCAGCAGAAGATTGTTGTCTGCGGATTTGACTAGTAGTAGAAGTTGTAGCAGTTGTTGTTGTTACTGTTCTATGTTGATTTCTGTCGGACACACCATTGGTAGGTACACTTGAACTTGGAATCTGTGATGAATAGGACACATGATTAAATTTCATGATAAGAACTTATCGTTAAAAAAAATCACGATAATAAAAGATGAAATTAATTTATTCTGCAGACATTTACTACAATATTTTTTTGAAATGATCAGCTGCTTCGATTTTCGCAATAGTAATTATCATGTACTAACAACGGTTGAAAAGTCATTTAAAGTTCAGTGTTTTAATTCAGTTGCAAGTTAAACTTAACACTATCATATCTACCAGTGGCCAATCCCCAATTTCAGTTTCGCCAAGTATGGATTTCCGCACTCACTTTGAAGTCAAACTTTTGTGACAGTGTTAGCGACATTACCAGGATAATCGAATCTGAAGTGAGTAGAACGAAGCTTGAACTTATGGCCTAATAGTTGTAAACTGAGTGTTTGGATCATTTGAGTCAACCAACGTATCACTGAATATAAACATTGAAAATTTCCAAGTAATACTGATCTTCTTTTAATCACTGTTCATTAAGAACTTGATCCTATTTTTCTTTAAAAATAAATCATTCATTCTGTTAAAATGAACTCGCATCATTTAATTATTTCAAAGATAAGATGCATTCGGCTTCAGTTAGAGGTGTTTGTTTCAGCGCCAATAACATTACTATTTTGAAATAACACAGTTCACTTTATAACAAAAGTACTAATCTTTGAATTTAATAGATAACATGCTGGAGTAATCTTAGATAAAAACTGAGCAGCAGTTTAGTCTTGCTATGGGACTCTTCAAAAATGTCCACTCTCAACTCTGCTGATGATCGAACCGAAGACCCAAAGGCCCCTGAGCCAGCGCATAACATTTAAATTACCGAGTCGGCACCCAGTGGTTTACATGTCGAATCTCAGTCAGTGAAACATTCAGTGCTCAAATCAGACCAATAACAAACGGAACTACTATGTACTATTGTATGCACAAACAAGATACAATGTCTGCCCAAAGGCATGATAAATATCTGCATACAATTAATGTTAACTATATCATCATTTGAACAGGATGGAAACATAAGACGTCCTTGAAATTGTGATAAAACTTTATCCAAAATATCCTATGTATGGCTTTACATACTCTCTAGATCATGGTTATGAAAAATTTAGGTCAGATAAGGTCATATATGACAAAAATAAACACAGTAAAGCATACCAATTGATGGTGAATATGATAGGCACAGATACACATACACACACACACACACTTGTGCATTATACATGTATGACAAAAAAAATTACAAAAATCGTATATATAATGTTAATAGGCTATTCATTCAAAAAAAACGATAGAGATAACTATTGAAATAAACAAAAATGTTATGATTAAAATATAAAGTTCCATATAAAATCAGAACAAATCATACAATAGTATTCAAACATTAAACAAGCACTGGCAACGCTGAATCATAAGGCAACTTATAGGAATCTTGTATAGTGTGTATTCACAACGTATTGGGGACTGGAACATAAGAGTATTATGCTTTATTGAGTGGTTACAAAAAAAACAGATAAAAAAAATCTGGTTTCATCAACTACTTAAGAAAAATACGATTACCTCGATGTTAGTCAAGATAATTAGTGGCTAACAAAGTTTTTCTGACCGCACGTAAACATTCTGAACAAATCAAAATCTATCATTTAGGATGGTCAGAGGTAATCGAAAGGAAATCCTAGGCCCTAAGATTCAAACCAGTTGGCACTTAATAGTTCGCAGTACTTATGATCCTACACACTAGCCGTGACCAATTAATTCTGTTAAAATATTTTCTTAGTTTTAGACTTGGTAACAGTAGTGAGTACCTCTTAATTTCATGGAGAATCGAACATCAGTCTATCATCAACCATTTAAGTAAATATTTTGACCATTTCATAGCCACCAGTGTTCTGTAAAGACACATCAATACCATTTAACTTACTTCATTTAATCCTGATAACTGATTAAGATTGTTTCCTAAACGCGTAATGTTTGCAGACGTTGATGACAAATCTTCATCGGAATCATCTGAGTCTGATAATAGAGAAAAAAGCATCACAGATGATAAGTTATTGATTACATTAGTAGCACTAATAATCATAATAATAAAAATTTTATCGTATCACCAGTTCATAATTGTATGCATAGCATAAAAGTGAAGTTACAACTGTTAAACTAAATGATTTGGTAAATTGAACTACCAACCGAACATTAATATGAGGTCACTTAGATGGTGAATAGTCATCATTATCAACAGCAACGTAGAACTTTGCACGTAAGTACAGCAGTTCAAGTTGCCATACCACGTTAGCACAGAGATATAATTGTCAATTCAAATCCCATAGTAGTAGAGGTAGTAAAGGTTTTAGAAGCATTCGGAGAGATTAAGGTTCGAAGATGTTATTCAAGCAGTATAATTCAATGAGGTAAATTTAGAAAGAAAAAGATAGAGGGTGATGATTAATTTGGAAGGTCAGAATTTCATAGAACACAAAGAGTAAATGCACCTGCGCCATTGCAAACGGTTCTAAGCCATGTCATTCAAAGTCTCTAGCTACTGGTTATGATTATTATGAGGGCCACAACCAGGTAGACTGAACCTATTAACATGGCTCAGTAAAATTGTCAATGACTTTACGGACTAGCATTTCGGTTTGGTTGCCCTTAGCTTTCTTCCAGTTCACCTCCTACACTAGACAACATCGCTCGTCGAGGAAGTCGGTGGATGAGCATAATTAACACATGTTCCAACTACCCCAGGTGAATATTCACTTCGAATACTTGTCTTCAGGAAATGTACGATTTTTTTCCTAAGTTCCCATAGGCTTAGCGACTTATGCAGACTTTCCGTATTACATTTCAGTTACATCATTACATACTACCAACACTTTCCTCAGCAGGAGTTGACTTTTTATTCCCAAGTGAAGGAATTGAAAGTCAAACAAAAATGTCTAGGAATAAAATGCATTGGTTGTACTTTATTATATTTTTTCATATCAAAAAAGCCGTACAGACATGATAAACTACAGACAACAGATAAACGAATGTGCAGAAAACACACACACACAATAAGACAGGGAAAATGACTTGGATTCGATAAAAGTTACGTATAGATGAAAAATGATATGTATCATTGTTTCTTATCTTTACGGTACACAAACATGTACAAACATACAAATATGCACAATACTGTATGACTCATGTCTAAATAAACTTTTACGATCATGTAAGTTGTGTTAATGTTACATAAAGCGAAATAACATTGAAAACTACTTAAATAGAAACAATTCCAAAAAACGTCTTACGAAAAATTATCTTTTAGTGTCAGTATCAAATGGTAACGATTGCATAAAAACAACTAACATAAATACACACTAAAAGGGATTACACAATGTGACTAGCTGCTTTACATAGGCATATTAGTTTCAATGAAATGGATTTGTCTGAGACAAAAATTGTAATTTTGATGATCATTGTTCCACTCATCCTCCTGACATAATTGCTTTATAAGCCGGGGTTTATTCAATTATTTAGTCTTTAGATATGTTAACATGCCACAACAGATTCACATATCTGGTTCTAAATAACATTCAAGGTTTGAGGGATAATGATGCTAACCAACTGACCAAAATTGCAGTAGGTGAACCAAGTTCCAAACTTGCAACTTAATGGTTGAAGAAAGTTAAATACTTCAATCACTACATCAACTCCACAAATACCTTTAAACTTGTGACCATAAGTTTATCGGTATTTGAAAGTGAATACCTGTAGTCTCATTTAATGGCCTATTGTACACTCAGATTAAATGAACCACATTTTTGATTTAATCAATTTGAAACTATATAGGGGGACTCAATAAAAGAAAATACATCTAGTGATCAATAATTTGAAGCAGCAGGTTTGTTAAGAATGCAACAAATTTCCTCATTCTATACATCTCTTAATCCATGTAGTTAAATTATAAACCAGTAATTTAAGCGGTGACATACATGTTGCATTATGTCCGGGAGTTGGATGTATATAGGATAAACGACTGGGGTCACGACGTTTACTAGGTGCCAATGCATCATGACGTTCCTGTCGAGCTTGAACTAGAGCCTCCTTCACCGCCTCTTCTCGGATATCTAAGAAAATTCAAATTAAGTAACATATCCATGACGAAAGCAATCAACAAATTTAAGTTCAAATATAATAAATATAGATGTGGAAATACACTATTGAAAATATATATATATATATATACTATTGCTATAAATCCACTCAGTATTTTGTAATACATTCGACTAACTACTCATTTAAATGCAACAATCAGATAGGCTAATTGCATTATAGAGATTAGCTGCTGACTGTTAACTCGGATAGTTTGTAGAGTGGTTATTTGAAGATTAAATCACTTGACATTCAATCAATGGACCGCTGATTTGAGCTTTAATGTCCTATGTTTCAAATAGTTAAATAATTTTAAAAATCTCTTAAAAGAAAAGCCTTAAATATCCTTTTATTTCTCTGAATTTCTTCTATAGCATTACTGCAAAATGTACGATACCATATGTACCAGTGAATGAAAAATGTTCAACAAAACCGTTCGGGTTTCGAGAGAACTTTTCTCTAAAATATATTTCATAAGATATTAGTTATATATAGGCGGTTGAAATCTGTGAAATTAAATGACAACATTTTGAAGTCACTGTCACAGGATAGACATTATGTTAACGAACAGGTTATGCCAAATGAAGTTTTTAAATGTTTCCAGGTCGTAATAAAATGAAATTTTTCCTTAAAGCAGACGTTTTATTCACAATTTTTGAAAAGTAATGGACGGAACTAATTGAAATTTCAAAGAATTACTATGTATGCTTTATCAGATAACTACAAACGATTACTTAAAAGTTATATAAAAATGATCATTAGGACCGATTAAATTATTCAAACAATTTTTTGTGCTCTTGATACCAGAAAATAATTTTAAAACGCTAATATGATGGTTCCCAAGATTCTGTTGTATCCGTTACGAGATGAATTTCCCATAAACAGATAGAGCCAAAGTACTTAGAAAGGAATGCTTACCCGATCGGTATCGATGATTTTCTCGAATGTATCTGCGATTTTGAGCATTAATAGGGGAAGTATTTTGGGGCCCATTTCTGAAAGACTCTGCAACATTATCATCACAACCAACAACAGGACCACGTGAACTTAAATGATGCGTTTCATTAAGTCCAGGAAGTAAAACTCCACCATAAGGAATATGCGAACTGTTAGATGAATTAGTTGAGTTGACTAAGTAGACATACAAACAAATAGATAAACAGTTCCAAATATTAAAACTAATGATTACTTTTAGAATCACGTAACGCAAGAAGATGAACAGAAAACACAATATCTTCCCATAAATTACACCATAATGTGATAATATTGAGCCAAAACATAGCACAAATCCATGAAGTCACTGACAACTGGATTGAGTCATGTTGATAAGTGTAAGCGACCTGGTTGGGGTCCGTGAGATGTTAATAATCAATGGTTAGAGACCCTGAATGACATGGCTCAAAACCGTTTGCAATGGTGCAGGTGCATCCATTCTTCGACTTCTCTAAAATCCTAACCTTCTGAATTCCTCATCACCTTCATCTTTCTCGTTTTAAGTTTATTTCACCAGATTACACTTCCTGAAGAATATCTTCGAACTCTAATCTCTCCGTTTACTGCTAACACCTCTACTACCTCTACTACTATGGGATTTGCATTGACAATTGCGTCTCTGTGCAAATGTGGTATGGCAATTTGAGCCGATGTACAGACGTACGAAGTTCGACGTTGTTACTGACTGACTTAATATTCAGCTAAATTTATTACGTAAAACGTTATTCAAAAGTCAGTACTTACAACTCAATGTTATAGTCGAGTAAATTCAAATACAAATTTCTATACCGTGCATGATTATCATCTAGCACAACCTGCTTTAGTTGTGGCATCTGGACAGTATCCTATTCCACTCAAACTCACTAATTTGTGTAGCGTATAAATATCTACGTGCCCCATTTGTGCCAATGTTTGTGTTTAACAGCATTTAACATAAAGAGCCAATATCGCATATTATGTCGCCAATTTGTAATATTTTTCTGATAGGTAGCGAGATTAATAAAAGAATCTAGGGAGTGGCTTGGAGTCAGTTTAAAATTGTAAGTTAGAACAAGCATAGTTGAAATGACAAAGGTGTGAACAATGTTAAACTTGTCAATAGTCTCAAATGCTTATTTGGATGAAATTTGAAGCCTATAATTTACATGAGATTTATCGATTATAGCTTCTTATCAAAGCATAGAAAATCCTTCTGAAAGTTAACCAACAATGAAGTTATGTAGTATTTTTACACAGCCATTAACATGGTTATATGCATAATCCGGTAGCTGTTACAGGTTAGGCAAACAGAAACAGGTTTGTGATGCTAGAATAACATACGTAATATCAGTTCAAGTATGGGCATAACAAACAGATTCTGATTTCTACAGATAATTTACGCGATACTCTTATGGATAGTAAGAAAAAACTTCACGACGATTCGTAACACAACTGTTATCGCTACGCTAATGATACTACTGATATACGGTGATAACCTAACAACAATAAAACAAATAAGTATGGGGAGTATGTATGTTGTGATCTACTCGGATAATAGCTACCAAAGGATGTAATCTAAAACACATGACTCACTGGAAGCGTTAATAAATGGAGCCAAAAGCTTCTGTTTCTTTTTCTGATATCCTTTTTCTGTAATATCACCTGCAATTTATTACAACAAAATCCATAACATTTAGCTCATAAAATCTGAGGACTGAAAATTTGACGAATTAATAATTTAGTAAGTGAAGCGAGTATAGTATGTAAAATAGGATGCAGTCTACTTACTAGGCTTTAATAAAAACGAAAGGTCATGAACGTTAAATATGCGTACGAAATTAATACTTGGGATTTAATTATTTAGAAGAAGTGGATCTGGTGTGACAGGGCACTTAGAGATGCCCAACATCAAACGATAATATTATGAATAAACAGAACACGAATAATATGCAGTGAGGGATATAATTCAAACAGAATAAGCAATATGCATTTCGGTTAAGCAAGTTTGTGTTAATTTTTAGGAATAACCTAGTGGGTTTTATTGTGGGCTTGCATGATCTCTAGATCTCTATGGATGAACAAACAGGTGCCAGTTTTATATGACTATTTCGAACACTGCGACGCCGAGTGGTAAATTGAACAGCTGCCTAAATTTCCAACCCAGTCAGAATCAGCAAATAAGATGAAGTAAGGGATTATATTTTTAAACTATTTCTGAGCCACCAGGAGCAGTCTAAGTAGTATAACACTTAGATTCTCAAAACAGTGGCCTAAGGTACATTGCTGGTTTGTGACAGTACTTGCAGTGTTCCCAACAGATAGAAGTGATCCATCAAAAAGAACAATGACCGAACAGTCGACGAACTTATTTTCGATGAGGTAAACTAAGCATGTAAAAGCCCAAATGACTCAATATTACTAATCATTAACGTGAAATTGTTTACTGTAATTTACATAACCATAATAAATTGTTTTCGACAACACTGTCCCTACATTTCACATAACTACAGGATCAATCGCTTATTTCAGGCACTATTTTACTTTTTAGGTACATTGATTTTCTGCGTCCATTCCTTTTGCACACAATAAGTTAGTTGGAATAATACACAAACATCCATTGATACGATGGAGGAGGGCTAAGTCAAACCCATCAAACTGTTAAGAAACTTGATATCCAAATCAACTAGACAGCCAACCTCTCATAGCATCCCTAGGTTTTGAGCAAAACCCTGGCTGAAAAAGCTAATAAATCCAAGAATTATTTATGTTGGGATGTAAGCATGTTGATTTATTCTACCGTAGGATGAATAGACCCATTGCAGCAATAAGCAACATTTTGAAGGGTGGGTAGAGCATAGTATTTGACATACATATAAAACTAACCCAATCAATTGGAAAAGCTTTTCAGTCATAATGCAAGCTGTCGACTATTGTTAAAATAACAGTTTGATGGCACTCTACACACAATTTCCCATTGAATGACGTTGTGATTTATTTCATAGTTATTTACAATTAAACGATGCATAGTACATTCACCACTAAGCAATCTACGGAGTCGAATTTCAGTACGGCGATAATGAAATAAATTGGATATTTATAAGTTTACTTGGGCAAAAAGTAGTAGTTTATAGCCTGGAGATTTTAAAATATGTCCTGAATTTTCTCACATAGTGATTATAAGAGATTTTTCAATAACATTATTTTCAATCCTACTGTCTGAAACGTTGACTATGAAGCATGTTTCAGCAAGAACGACACAAAGAAAGATTTCACATGAAAAATTTACCTTCGGAAAGTTCGACTTCAAGCTCTGCTAGTTTAGTTTTGATCTCTAATGGCAACCTAGACTCATCAAAACTTTCCATTAGGAGAAAATGTTATGGAGAACGACCTTCATCTTTAAGGTCAAAAAATCGAAGCACGCTGGGAATTTACCACTTCAAATTCCACTTGGACTTAGCTAAGTAGAATTGTTTCGTAGTTTGTTCTGCATGGTTGTGAATAGATATTGATATTGTTTTGCACCTTCTAGAATATGAAGAGCAAGCCGACTCAGCTAATATGTGCGCTGGAGGAATAAAAAACAATGTGATCCCAGTTAGCCTCTAAAGTAATAAACTGACTGACGCACCCTCTTTTAAAGGATTCTTCAGAGACTATAGATTACGGTAGAAAGTTTCAGGACCTCTTGAGCTGAAGGACGGAACCTAAGCACAGATTTTTGTGCTGTCTCGTAGTTATTCTACACTGAGTGGATATCGCCTCAAAAATGATACGTTGCTGAAAAGCTTCTGTGGTTTATTAAGATGGCTAGAACTGTTAGTAATATGATTGGGCATAATAATCTTCTCCCAACCTCTCTGTACTTCACTAGCTGTTCTTTAAGAGTTTCCTAGCGAGCCCGGTGGAATTAGATTTTTTCGAGTACCTTTTCAGTTGGTCCGAAGTGAGGTGACCTTATTGAGGTGCTTCGGATGTCACTGGTCATGGTAGCCTGAATATGAGAACTTCCTACATATGTATTGATTTCAGAAAACATTGCAAATCAATTATAATAGCTTAGTATCTTTAAGTACAATTTCAACCAGTATTAATCACACTATGAAGGAAAGTTATTTCAAAGCACTTGGAATAGTTTAGAGCAACTCTACAGACTATAAACCGTCTGTTCTAGATCAACAATTCGGGTGTAAGTATACTTTATTGACTACAAACTTCTAGTTGCAGCAAACACCTAGCTTATCACACTGTTGCAAACGCGCCTGACGTAACTACAAAATCTCATATGCAAATTCACTCAATAGCTGCATGACTGAGTCCTCCAGTGTTCACTACCTCTAACAGTCATAAGTGTTCTATGTTTATTGCAAGTTTTCTTTTACGTTCGGTTTCAAAGATAGGGTAGTTGAAAACCAATACCACTGCAGTTGTGTTCCATTGCCTTGGTTTTACTGCTACAGATAGTCAAAGGGATTACGTAACAGGATCTGCTTGGTAGGGATCTTTGCTGCGATTCGTAAATGGTTTTGCTTGAAAGGCAGTTGTGTAGAAACTCATTAATAACTCATTCCATAGTTTTCGCTGCCTCATGTAGAAAAGATATTGGTGGGTGATTTGCTATGTACAAGAAGAACTATCTCCTTTCTTTAGAGAGAGTGCTTCAGTTTTAACTGCGAAGTATTTATAATAATTAGCAAGAGGAAGAAAGGCCATCCTTATATCCAATTGGAACATTGCGTCGAACAGCGAATGAGCAGACTTAAGTAGGTTCAGGATCTATAGAATCTCCTGGAATGTCTGGGGCTTAAAGCCGTCAAAGCTATGGTCACGATACAAACGTTGGTACAGGCTTAGTTTGAAAAATTATTGCATTTCAAACCCTTGTTTTTCAGCCTCACGATTTGATTTAGGTGGTTGGATACTGTTGGTAGATACTAGTACAATATATTCATCATGGTGTATAACTTCTTCTACATAAAGTTGGACAGAAACTTCAAGTCACTTTCGGCAAGTAATTGAGTTGGATAAATCTTTCATAAGATCTAGAGAGGTTAATAGAGGGTTAATACTTTTCGCACAAAATGATAATTGTTTTGAACTCTGGAATATCCAAAAAAAATAGTTGGCGCGAGTTATGGCGGTTGCATTGAGAGCAACTACCACTGTTTAAGGATCAGTATAACTTAAATCCGGGTCTGTGTATAACCAGAAGTGATGAGGTAAATGTGTACCGATTTTCTTGTTGCGAATCTCCAGATAATAATTTGAGAGCCTCAAAGCTAAAGCAACCAAGCTGCCCTGCAATTATCAAGGATAATATTCCAGGCGTAGTGCAATGTGCTGAAAAAAACAACCCGAAAAGGGTGGGTGGCAGCATAGAAAATAATCTTGTTTAAAGATGAGTCATGATTCAACAGATAAATTTTTGGATAAACTGGAGGTACGATTACTCAGACCGTTCTTTTTCTGTATTCAGATTTTAACTGTACACCTGCGCTTATGTAGGTGAATGAAGACAAAACACTAGTAGTATTATGAATGATCAAGAAACTTTGTGAATGAAGGACATTAGAAAGAACGAAATTGCTGGAACTTACGTCGATTTACAAATGACATCATTGAAGGCACAGTGATTCGATGCTCTGGAAATATTGTAGTGAAGGAGAACACAGGTGAGGGCAACCGAATTGTTTTCAAAGAAATTTACACTGTTACTCAGTAAAATAGGAAAACCATATCGTAACCGTTAATTTGCAAATCTTCAATCCATCATCAATCCATTGTCTAACATTTCACTATTCATGCATTTCATACAAATTCCATTGTGTTCCCACTCTTCCTTTCTTGATCTTCCCCCATCTTCTGCTGCCAGACATTACGTTTACATTCGCGTCATATACTACATATAAGTAGCGCGCACCACAATATTACATTTCAAAATTTTCTTCCACATAGATATAAATGTTTTGATTTTTGGTTATCGCCCCACTTTCATGTTTGTGGTGAGATTTTGAGTAATAGATAATGACCAGAAGCAAGATTGAGAAGATTTTTGTACACTCAGCAAATGGGGCTAAGTGCATTCAACAATTCGAGGAGACTGTCACAACATTCTGACATCGAAAGCAATTTTTAATTTAGACACGTGAAATGTTTGCACATTGAAGTAAACCGCTAAGTTCACCCAAGTTCCTGCATAAATGAGAAGATTCAGCCTGAAAGTGCTTGGAATGAAAGAAGCTGACTAGACGCAGGCTGAACTAAAAGGACTGGCTTCATCAGTGATGCTCTTATACCACGGCCTAGAGGAAGAAATTTTCTAACACAATTATTTGCTCCGATGCTATCTAAACGAGCACGAAAAGCACTGATACCATGGATCATCAAAACATCCTCGAAAACAGTGAGCAAAATGCTATATGTCTACCAGGGATAACAATGAGGACGACAAAGATTTATTCTATAAGAAACTGCAGTCAATCGTTTGGAAATGCTCGGGAGAAGACCTGATAATTTTGATGAGAGACCTAAACGCTGAGGTTGAAACCAATGATAGTAAACATGAAGACATTATAAGATGACACAGACTGGGAGAAAATAACCGAAAAGTTGAGCGATTTGCGAACCTATGTTTATTCAACAAACCGGTCACAGGAGACACCATATTCCCATACAAACGCATATACAAAGTGATATGTGTTTGACCATATCACAATACGGAGAACCAAATTGATCAAATCTGTATTTCTAAGAATTTCGGAAGGACGATCGAGAACATAAGAACCAACAGAGGAGCCGAAATAGCTTCAGACCATCATTTGTTAGTGGCCAAGAAAAAACTGAAACTAAAGGAGCAATAGACAACGAGGTGAATAGCATCACAAAGCTTTTCTTCGCAATACTGACAAACTAAATGAATTAAAGATAGCATTCAGCAACAGGTTCCAAGCGCAAGAAGATCTATTCAATGAACAGGAAGTACCATGAGGTTCTGGGATATGAGAAGCACTATTCCAAAGAACGAAGCACTTTTTACACTGAATACGATTCGAGAAACGAAGAACAGAAATATAACAATCACTAACTGTAAACAAGTGCTCAGAAGCCCAAGACACAAGCTGGATACCCAAAAGCATATGAGAGAGCAGAAAAATGTATTTGAAAAGATAATCAGAAATTATGCCGAAAACCTAGCAATCACGCATTGAGGACAGATCATAGACTCATTCCAAGTGAAGACCGATGTCAGCCATGTTCACTTGCTTTCGTTCTTGTTCTTTCTCTTGGTGTTTGCCTAGATTAAGAAGACATCACTATCTCTGGGGAAGCAACGAATACATTGAGCAGCTTGGATGCAGCTGGACGATCTTGACTTCAAAGATGATTAGGCTCGTGTACCCCACCCGCAGCAAAAAGTGCATGAGTAGACGATCAGTATGGCAGCAGCCTAAGCAGTGTTAGGTTTCAACATATATAAAGGGAAAAGCAAGACTCTTTGATACAACACAACGTGCGACAACCAAATCCAACTTGATGGAGATGCGTTGGAGGACGTCAGAACCTTTACATATCTGGGCAGCACCGCTTACGAGCAAGGTGGATCTGATGCAGATATAAAGGCGCGGACTGGAAAAGCAAGGGCTGCAGTTCGTTAAGTCTGCTACATATACACCGAGCTTTATTGTCTGGTAAGTATTTGAAGTCTTGGAGTCGGAAATTAGTTTATAATTAAAGTCTGGTAATAAAGGAACATTCAAATTCAGGTTTCTCATTAACGAGATTTGGTAAAAATTCATTTTTAAAGATCGCTCTATATTCGGGAATTTCGGTCTGAGCCCTATTACTTTACTGCGGAGCCAGTAAATGAGAGGGGCACGATTTCTGAGGAAGAAGAATATGGGATGAATTATACTAAGATAAGCATTGCTAAGCAATGAAACAGTCTTTAGTAGGCTGGATGTTTCCGTTTGTTACAAAATTTGAGTCTTCCTTGACATGTGTTAGTCACAATATTTAAGCTTACGTCGCCCCAAATCGCTGGATGTAGTTCTGTTTCGAGCTACCCTCAGTATATCCAGTGTAAAGGTTCAAATTCAAGTATTTGTTCTAACTACAGAGTCTAAGAACCAAAGTTAATCGGATCAGACAAAACTGTGTTCTTCAGAATAATGTACAAAGCCATTTCGAAAGTATTGTATTCAGTAATGTAAATTACTCTGTGCTTAATTTAATCATTTTTAACTTAAAGAAAAATAAAATTTCGAAATTACGAAATAACTCGAACGATACCGCTTGCTCTGGACAGTCAAAGGTGTCGCTAGCATAAAATAGTTTGCAACATGAGTTCAAACCCCAATAATCGTCAACTGAATGAATATTTAACCTTGTATCAGTCATGTTCATGAGTAGCCCAGCAG